TGTAAGACATAACAATTTACAATTCAGTGGACATTTTGTCGAAAATTGGGATAACTTAAATTATGATTAATAATCAAAATCTTACACGTTGCATCATTTAAATTAACACACGTCACCTCTCTGCTAAAGCAACGATAGCTATTTACAGGTTTAAATCATAATCAAAACAATTCATGTACCAACATACGAAGTATTGAAAATAGAGTAAGATTGATTTGTCTTGTTTTTTAAATCGTCTTACAATGTCATTGGCGTAGCCAGGAGGGGGAATGGAAATATGACCATGATGATAGAGGAAGAAAAGAGCCTTAAAATGCTTTTTATTTGAAGCTTCTAGCTCAATTTTTAAAGGAAGTAACATACATTTTTATAATTCAAAACAAATCTTACACGTTTTCTAATGATCTAATTATGTTGTATATTCGTATATTTCGTTTTTTGGGTACCCCTTTTTTCGACCGGGTACCAAGTTTGAACCCAGCATGGAGGATTTACTACCCAGTACCCGGTTTTTTCTACAAACCCTATCTAGAAAAGTAACCTCATTTCCTATAATTTGATGTAGATTAATCGAACCCCTAGAAAGCCCATGCCTACAGTATATGAATAGGTACATTTTAATATATAACATTATGGGGGTAAGCGTTTCATAGTTGGTCACGACGCCAGAAGTGCAAAGTATTGTTCCGAATTTTTGAATTTCGTGTTAGATTACGGTACTCACACCTGAAGCATGGTTTTTGTTTTTGATAAATTACAATGAAGTATAATAATATTCCTATGCGTATTTTGTGAAATTGTGTTGACGTTTATTTAAGTTACAATGTAACGGTGCATTATATTTGATTAATCAGTATCTGAAAGTTTGATTTGAGTACTTTTACACGCTTTTACATTAGTCCCAATCACGCAAATCCCTTGAATGTCCCGGGACATCCTGCACATTTAGGTGGATGTCCCGCGAAATCCCGCAAATTTAGGGCACTTTGTCTAAAAAATCCGTCCCTCTATGAAGTTTTTGGTGGTACCCCTGTTAACTGTCCCGCAATTAGGGTGTTTGTCCCTCGAATGGTGCCGCGAAATCCCGCGAATTTGATAAAAAAAATTGGCCTATTAGCACAATCACGCAAATCCCTTAAATGTCCCGCGAAATCCCGCGAATTTAGTAGATGTCCCGCAAAATCCCGCAAATTTTGGGCACTTGGTCTAAAAAATCTGTCCCGCGAGAAAATCTTTAGGGGTTGACAGTACTGCATTTAGTACACTCCTTGTGTGGGATAATAAGAACATCCTATGATTTTTTCAGAATATCATTTTAATCTACTCGGTGATATATGCACTCATTCGGTTTGCTCTCTTGTGCAGATATCAATATTTATCCCGTACCAGGACTATAGTCCTGCAAACGTCTTATTCTTTTGCCTGTACGATTACAACATGAGAGAATTTTCTACGTTTCATACACTTAAGATACTTATTTCAATAAATTTCTTGGTATTTTAGCATTCTTTTCTTGTAGTTGAATCCACAATTGTTTGAATTTATCGGCAGAACAAAGAAATTTTCGTTTTTAATCACAATATTTGCGTGTAATATTTAACTTATTTCAACCGTCAAATTCCTCCATTTTTGGTGCTTCCGGGCCACTTCCGGGTCAGTCAAACGGGGAATCCCCTTTTAAATCCAACCGCCATCTTGGAGAGTGATGGAATATCTATCGATAAAAAAGAAAAATGTTCCTGTTCTCCCGATATACCCAGACAATTGTGGATTCAACTACACGAAAAGAATGCTAAAATACCCAGGAATCAATTGAAGTAGGTAGCTTAAGTGGAAAGGGCGTAGATAATTCTCCCAAGTTGTAATTGTAAAGGCAAAAGAATGCTCTCAATGCAGGACTATAGTCCTGGAACGGGATAAATCAATATCACCTCGTAGATAAAAATGATATTCCTCAAAATTATAGGATATCCTATAAATATCCCATAGTTGTGGAAAAATATCATTTATATCAATAACTAGATATAATGGATACGTTTTCAAAACCAAGTCACTTTTGAAACCATCGAATGAACCATGGAATAACATGATATGTGCCAATTAAAGTGGGAGTATCGATTGCCGAGTCGTATCCAATGATCCTGGGCCTATCGTAAAATGAAAGCTTTGAATATGTTGTTGCCTTTAAAAATGTATCTATTTTCCATGTATGCTACTAGAATTTGTGCACATACCTTATAACGATCGATAATGGCAAAGGAAAATCCTCTAATTCTTCGTCATAATTTCTCCTTCGACGTCCGCCATTTTTTATTAAACCGGAAGTTTTTCTCTGACGTCCGCGCAATGTTTTTTCACTTTTATTTCAGATTTCGCTTCGGATCCAACATTTAATGCTTTCTAATATTAATTAAGTGTTTTCTATCAGAAAGATTTCATAAAAAGACTCACACTATCAGAGATTTTATCGATTCGAGCAGCCAGAAAAATTAGTTTCAATTTCACCCGCTAGGTGTTTCGACGTCGACTTGGAAAGAATTTGAAAAATCTATGAGTGGGACTCCTTGTATGGAATTGTAGATTCTAAACGATTTGCCAGTTCTACTGGTTGATGAATATTGCCATATGCATACATTTTTATAAAATAGGAATAAGGAAGAAGATGTTGGACCAAACTTCACCCCGATAGCTCAGAAAAGGTAAAATTTCTCCATTTTTCTCTCCACAGACCTTAGAGCCGCTTTAAGTAGTTTAATTCCCTTCCCTTTCAGGTGTTCATGACACACTGATAACGTTTTTTTTTTAATGAAAACAATTGCAACAAGATACATATTTAGAGATATATGATCCTTATCTGTCGCCGCCATAGTTACAGGTAGAGATTAAAAGGTGGATTGGATCGAGTGGATTGGATTCATGTAAAAGGTGGATTGGATCGGGAATCTTCAAAATGTGGAATTTCTGTTGATCTCCCTCTAAACAATTTCCCTCTACAGTATTAAAGGTCCCTTTTGAGAAATCAGAACAAAGCAATGACAAATACATACTCCAATTAGTTCATGGACACTCTTAAGTATTTAACCGCTTTCCCTTGTAAATCAACTTTTGTAAGACATAGATCTTTAGAAAAAGAAAACCTGTCATTAAAATTGATGTGTGAATGTTCACAAAACATTTCTGGTATGTTCAGTTTGGATTGAAAACAGATGATATGGATCTTCAAACCAGTCTGCCTCATGATTTATGAAATGTCTCAAATTACACTTGGAATGAATAAGATCGTGTATCAGAAAGCGGGTACCAGGTCATCCTTCTAGCCCACCCAAGCAAGATAATATTACATCTATTATTTGACATTGTGCAAGTGAAGAGAGCACCAATCTTCCTAAAGGGAGATCAATAGAATTTTTTAAGGGAAAATCCATATTTTGAAGATAGCCAATCCAATCCACCTTTTACATGAATCCAATCCACTCGATCCAATCCACCTTTTAATCTTTACCTAGTTACACGTCCTTATTGTCTCTAATTTTTTTATGGATGGCATTCGGCTTCGGCTGTCGGTGATTACCGGTGTTCGGCGGTCATTGTGTGTAACAAATTGCAGGTTGTAGCTGACATTTTGAATGTTAATGTATTGGTCATTTTAGATTACTTTGCAAAGGTATAAAGTTTTAAAAATTGTAATTGTACCTAACTACTCAATTGAATTGTTATAATGTTTATTTTTGGGCAGAAAATTTCCTATTTTTCCCACAGGAGGGACATGATGGCCAATAGACTGAATTCTCAAGATATTCAGTCTATTGGATATAGACTACTATTTCTTTTATATGATAAGATCTTATATATATATATGATCAGCCTATTACCAAACAAGCTTTTTATCTCATAGTCGTAAAAAGTTACGTGATAGTAGACTATTGGTGAGTTCAATATCGTATTGCAATTAAATATTAACCGACACTACATGTACTTTGTCACATTTCTCAAGATTTTGGCTAAACAACAAAAAAGTTTAATTTAGTTCAAGCCTTTTGTTGGATTGATTTTACCAAAAAAAGTTTCAGTTGTTTCATTTTGCAACAATGTCAGAGATTATAAAGGTAGGTCCTCATGATGATAACTTCTGTGTAGTTTTTAATTTTTTCATTATGATATTTCATGAGCTTTCAAAAGAAAGCACAGAAGAAAATGTAGCAAACTCCTCATATTTCAGATCTCCAAGTCAAAAAGTTGCCTAACCCAGGCCAGATATTTTTACATATTGTAGATTTAAATGTTTTCTCTTGAATATTTATAATTTAATTTGGATGTTCTTTCTATATTTTTCATTAAAAAAAAATTATCCCACTAAACTATTCTCCAAACCGAGACTTGTCTTTTGCCAAAGTGACCCCCTGGAATTTTTTAAAAAGTTCTAAAGTGAACCTCCCTTAGAAAATCCTTGCTATGGGCCTGCAGGCCCTGATACATCGGTTGATCCCAATTGTTTCATCATTTTAATGTACATAAAAAACCAAAGAGCAAGGTACTGGATCATATGCTTCTTTGTTTTGTTATGTTGGTTTGTTGCCAATGTTCTACTTGTTTTAGGTTTGAATAAAAAATATTTTAATATCTTTTTGTACATTGTGTTTATATGTTAATTTTTACACATTTTTATGATAAATACGTAGTTCAAAATCAAAATATTTTGCTTCCATGTTGAAATGACATATCCCAAAATTATTTTCTCAAAGTCTTTTCTTATGAAAGTGCATCTAGCTAATGATATCCTGTTCAGGTTTTGGTACATCTATGAAAAAAAATCAGGAATGAGTGCACTTGGCTGAAAATGATATCTGAAATGTGATGGCTAAACCAAAGAAGATTCTGATATTTTTATTTTATGGCACATAGTGTATAGTGTAACTGACACCCTTGATCTAGACACCCTGTCATATAGATAAATGGGAGAACTGACTATCACTACATAATACATATTGATTAGTGATACACTTTAGTATACTAAAGTATGGTATGGTAGTATTTAGCACATGAATTGTAGTATACAGACTTTACCAGGGATAAGGAATATTGTACAGGAAGCCATAATGGAGGTATTATCATCACTAGTAACTTTTGAATATATATGAACATGTAATGATTAATGTTTATAGCAATTACTTCACACTAGCAACTATGACACTCAAATATTCTAGTTTGCCTATAAAAGGCATGAAAAATTAAAATTTACAGGTAAGCATGCATTACGATTTCAAAGTAAGTTATATATGTTTTTCAGATTGAGGATAACTTCACAGGTTATTCCTTAGATAAATTCTGTATTCCCAAGCATTATGAGGAAGATCTAGACCACGTCCTGATCCCATACGGACTCATACAGGATAGGTAAGCAATCAATTTTCACTTTCTTGGATTTTTCCTCAACTTTTAATGTCAACATTTGTATTTACTATAAACATGTAACATGTGAAATAAGTTATTTAAAATCACTTTTTATTTTTGAAAATCAATAAAAAGAAAATTAAACTAGAAAAACTCAAACAGATTTTCTCGTATGTTTTTATTGTCTCTTATTGAATGCTCATGTTTGAAAGTTAGTTCAGGAATTTATTTGCATTGTCTAATGTCAAACTAGACTATGATAGCAAATATAAAACATCATTTTGATTTTTCATATTTATAGAATAGAGCGACTTGCAAGAGATATTGTTCAGGAGTTTGGAAATAAACCAATCGTTGCGTTGTGTGTTCTGAAGGGTGGCTACAAATTTTTCTCAGATTTACTCGATAAGATACAGTTGCTGAATCGCAATTCAACAGAATCTATTCCAATATGTATAGACTTCATCAGACTAAAGAGTTACGAGGTATGCTTCCTATTCTTCACAGTTCATATAGCACTCAGTTTTTTTATCTTGCAGAGCTCAGACAGAATTTGCAGTAGGCAATAGGCTTGCAGTATTTTGAATTTCCATCACATTTATTATTTCAACTTGCAAAAAACTGGAAGGATTGAGACGTTTCACACAGTTTTGCATCAAGTTTTGTAAGTGTATGTTTTAAAATCAAATATATGAATGATTTGACTGAACAAAAATTAGAAATTAAAAGCAAGATTAGTTCAGTGACTATCTGAAGGTAATAAGTCGTCTAAGAATGTCTAATCGTCGATCTTGTAACTGTAATCTCCTACATATCTTTATCATTACTGCAAAAGGCCAGATTTTGCTTCGCAGCAAGAATTCACCACAAATTCATCATGGCTGCCATTTTCAATATCTCACCATGGAAATCTCTCCCTAGTCATTTTATAAACAAGGGGTGGGTCTACCTGGTCCTCCAATGCTCATCCAGTGCATTTTAACTTTCATCCCAAAATGTGCATCTTTCTAAATAGAATTGTAATTCCATGTAAACTGATTATTTCCAGGATGACCAGTCAACAGGACAAATTAAAGTTATTGGAGGAGATAATCTTAATAACCTCAGTGGAAAGGTGAGTACAGTGAAGATCTTTTGTATAAATGTAACTACCTTATGTAGAACATGCATGTTGTTGTCACATCATGTCATAGAACAAGCATCTTGTTATGTCACATCATGTCAAAGAACAAGCATGTTGTTATGTCACATCATGTCATAGAACATGTATGTTGTTATGTCACATCATGTAAAAGAACATGCATGCTGTCATGTCACATCATGTCAAAGAACAAGCATGTTGTTATGTCACATCATGTCATAGAACATGTATGTTGTTATGTCACATCATGTCATAGAACATGTATGTTGTTATGTCACATCATGTCATAGAACATGTATGTTGTTATGTCACATCATGTCAAAGAACAAGCATGTTGTTATGTCACATCATGTCATAGAACATGTATGTTGTTATGTCACATCATGTCATAGAACATGTATGTTGTTATGTCACATCATGTCATAGAACATGTATGTTGTTATGTCACATCATGTCATAGAACATGTATGTTGTTATGTCACATCATGTCATAGAACATGTATGTTGTTATGTCACATCATGTCATAGAACATGTATGTTGTTATGTCACATCATGTCATAGAACACGTATGTTGTTATGTCACATCATGTCATAGAACACGTATGTTGTTATGTCACATCATGTCATAGAACACGTATGTTGTTATGTCACATCATGTCATAGAACATGTACAGTGCTTCTCTTTAGAAGACCGTGAGATAGTTAGAGCTTCCTTTTGATCTACCCCCCCCCCCTGTACAGTTTTCTTGAAAATGTTGATGACCAATGTATGAGCATTTGGATTGGACACCGTGAATATTATGCAACACTTTGTAATGTTCAACATTAAGGGCAATAAAAACATGAAGGGGGGTGCGATAGGTGCAAACGCACTAGATCGCAAAATGGTAACCAACTCAATTAGAGCATATTTCTCATTGAAGGCAGAAAGATGTGATGAGTATCAGAATGAAAAGACATGTAAGGAGTCCACAATTCCAAGTCCCAATAGTGTGAATCTTGTGAGCATCAAACAGCTTGAATGCCCAGATGAATTTATCAGTAATTGAATACAATCTGCATCAATTAACCTTTCTACTCAAGTGTCTATAGACAAGTGTCTAATATGGACATGAGTGAAGTGCATGTAGATTTGTACTGTCCATCATCACCCATCGTCTAGTGTGTTACAATGTTTCCAAATTGATCCTTATTTGTTTACATGAACTTCATAGGATATTTTGTATATATGCTCAGCATCATTAAGAGTAAACATTTTGTTTGTTCAAGAATTATACTGAATCGGAAAATATTTGAAATATGTTGTAAGGGGTGTATCTGATATGCTATCATTATGCATTCGACAATAGGGATCAATGAAATGTTTTACCCTCAAGATACATGTACATTTCAGTCTCTCAATAATTGTCATATTATCAGTGTGAAAATATATATTATGTTTATGTTTTGATATTTAAATAGATTATGATTTTATGTTTACTACTGAATAGCTTGAACATCATAATTTCTTCTTTTGTTTGTTTTTGCTGGGCATATAATCTTTTGTAATTATGATATAATTTCGAGGGGTTTAGACAATAGGAAGGTCAATAACCATAGTGTTATCAATGTTTCAGATGCCCTTGTAGATTTCCAAGGTTCTCTACTAATCAAAACCTGTTTGGCTTAATGTTTATGCTCTTATAAACGAGTATTCCTTAAATCCTTTAAAAAATGAGGGTTTTAAACTATGATCAATTTCTATTCTGATTCTCAACACATTTTTCTGTTTCAAAGTCAAACTAGTAATGTGCTTCAAGAACTAAACTGACAAAAGCATGTGATCTGTCATAATGACCAATCCCAAGACTTTGATTTGTAAATTGAACACTGTAAAAGCATTGTGGTAAGCCACGCCCTCTCCATCTCTATCCTTCTGGATGATGCAACAGAGAGAGATGCTATGAGTATCAGAATGCTGTAAAAGGCTCTTGAGACCATTATTTCACATGGTTACAAATTACAAGTCTTTAATAATGCATTCACTGAAGTTGGCTATTTGTCAAAGTGGAACCTATTTTACACCTCCCATTAGTGATAAAACATGGATAAAATCCTGCATATTTGAAGGAATTATACTATTGACCCTATGCATCAGTGTTCTTAAACTGCATATTAGTATATGCCTTTAATTCCATTGGGACTATTTCACAGAATGAGTATCTCTACAATATTGATGGGACTTAATTTCACTGATGATAGATATCCTTCCTTTGGTGGTAATGTTTCTAAAATAGTTCATGATATTTTAAATTTCAATGAAAATTATGTTTGATGAAGATATTTTAAAACACAGTACAGTTGTATATACATGTATTTATTTAAATGATATATGTATTGTGGCTTGTAGCTGTGTAGTATTATTGTTTTGTTCTAGCATAGTGTAGTATTATGGTGGTATTGAAGATATAATTTGTATATTTATACACTTATATGTCAATGACATCCTGAAAGTCGATAAGATATAGCCCCCTCCTTTTAAAAGATAAACTCAATGAACAGGGCACATTAACACAGTACATTGATCCTATCCATGTTATATTTATCAATAATTATCAGTAGGCATTTAATATTGATTGTAGATTCTATCATGACTTTTAATTCTCCTTATAACACTGATAACATATGGGTATCGTATTGAATGTTGTTTAAGTTTTTTAAGTCAAAAATCAATTTAATGTAAAGGTTACCTTATTTCTCAAGGTTGAAAAGTTGTTAACTCCCTCATGCCTGAAAAACTAAAATGTAAATGACTCTAGAAGCAAGAAAGGGAAGAAACACCCAATAAGTAATATATCATTTTGAAGGGCTATACCCAAACTTAATGTTTTTTGAAAAAAAATGTGAATATGCAAATGAGAAAGTTTCATTGTGACGTCCTAATTCAAGATGGCGCAGTTAGATTTTTTTTAAATGGAATCATTTTAGCATTTATTTTCTATTGAGACTTCAATTTAAAAATCTGAAAAAGCAGAATTATAGATCTTTTTATGCTGATTCCAGTGGTATTTTTGTCATGGCATAACTCCTACAAATAAATTTTTTAGAGCTTTGAGACTGCAAATTCTCAGAAAATCCCGATCTGTCGATTTAACATGGGATTTTATCGTTTTCGATATTTTTTCGCGACATGTCAGATTCAAGTGCCTCTAACTTTGCACAGAGTCATCAGATTCAAACAATTTTTTTTTTAATGTTTGTACTGGTCCATACTTTTAGTAAATGCATTATTCTTGCAGTTTTATTGAAATGAGGCCCCTGGAGACCCCTTAGAATAGCAATAAAGCAAAATCGATCATATATGATCGATTTTGTTCTAAGAGGTCTCCAAGGGACCCCTGATGATCAAAATGCATGATTTGAAAAACATTTTAAAAAAAAGTTCATGACGTTTCGTTAAGTATTTACAAAGTTACAGTGATCCGAAGTTGGTGAGCGCCCGAAAAATTGTGAAAACGATAAAATCCCATGTTAAATCGCCATAGGATTTTCCTGGAATTTTTAGTTTCGAGGCTCTAAAAAATTTATTTGTAGGAGTTATGCCATGCCACAAATACCACTGGAATCAGCATAAAAAGATCTATAATTCTGTGTTTTCACATTTTTAAATTGAAGTCTCAATAAAAAAATAAATGCTAAAATAATTCCATTTTGAAAAAAATGTATCTGCGCCATCTTGAATTATGACGTCACAATGACACTATCTCATTTGCATAATCACATTTTTTTCAAAAAACATAAAGTATGGGTATAGTCCTTCAAAATGATATATAACTTATTGGGTGTTGCTTCCTTTTCTTGCTTCTAGATTCATTTACATTTTAGTTTTTTTTCATTTCTTTCCATTTTCCCAAAAATATTCAGGCATTAGAGAGTTAACAAACCTCCATAATATATTTTGTATCATTATTTCCCCCTCAAATGCTGTATTGTGATTGATTCTGCTGGCTTTTGGCTAGGATCTTTGAATGTGAGGCATTGAATGTTTATTGAGTCAATAAAAGATATATGCAGTATTATATAAACACGTATTATCCCACCCTAAGTGCTTTATATGATTGTATAATAGCATTGTATAACTGCAATATAAAACCAACACTCATCGTATACATTTCTTGAGAACGATATACAACTCCTGGATAGCGTATACAACTCCTGGGCAGCATATACAACTCTTCGACTTGATATACAACTGCTGAATTGAGATTAATCTTTTATTGATTGAAGATTAGGGTGGGATAATAAGATCATATAATGGTTGATTCTGTATATTGTTATACTCTCGTGAGTATATGATATATTCACTTGTTCCCTTCGGTCACTCGTGAATATAATACATGTACTCACTTGAGTATAAACACGATATACGGAATCAACCATTATATAACCTCATATTCCGCTATTGTCTGAAAAAATCCCTGCTCTGAAGGTAATAGTTACAGCCATTCAATTTTCTTTCAAAATGTAAAAAACGATGTTTTTGTTTTCATCAAATCCATGATCAAATTAAACCACCATACCTTAATTTTGTTTGGCACAGAATGTCTATGATCTGAAAAATAGTCTTTAAATGATGTGTGGAATCTACGAGCTAATGCTCTATTGCTTAGGGTATGGTGGTAATTGGTAGTAGCCTGAATTAGGATATCTATCATCTAACACTATTATAAACTCCCAAAATGCACAACAAATTAGTTGCAGAATAATTGGCAAACAAAGAATTCATATTCACACCATTTTGAAAGTAACTAGCAAGTAACAACCATTATCTTCTAACACTGACCACTAAATATGATTAGTTTTTGGACATTAAAATTTTTATTATTATTAAGTGTGTTGTTTTTCTATTTCTGTAGAATGTGTTGATAGTTGAAGACATTATTGACACTGGAGGGACTATGAAGAAGTTATTACAACTACTAGAAGCCTACAAGCCAAAGAGTATAAGAGTTGCCAGGTACATCACTTTAACCATTGTACATATCACTTTAACCATTTACACACCATATTAAAGCAATCACAATAACAGTTACACTTATGTCACCATAAAGCAATCACAATAACAGTTACACTTATGTTACCATAAAGAAATCACAATAACAGTTACACTAATGTCACCATAAAGCAATCATAATAACAGTTACACTTTTGTCACCATAAAGCAATCACAATAACAGTTACATTAATGTCACCATAAAGCAATCACAATAACAGTTACACTTATGTCATCATAAAGCAATTACAATAACAGTTACACCAATGTCACCATAAAGCAATCACAATAACAGTTACACTAATGTCACCATAAAGCAATCACAATAACAGTTACACTAATGTCACCATAAAGCAATCACAATAACAGTTACACTAATGTCACCATAAAGCAATCACAATAACAGTTGCACTTATGTCACCATAAAGCAATTACAATAATAGTTAAACTAATGTCACCATAAAGCAATCACAATAACAGTTACACTTATGTCACCATAAAGCAATCACAATAATAGTTACACTAATGTCACCATTAGTTGACATCTCAGTGGTGACATTTTGTAACAGAAACAGTATTTTTGTGACTTGAGTGTGATGACATTCATCATCAGCATCTGTAACACCTGGTTACACTTTTGTAATTGCAGTCAGGTTGGTACAGTGTATCATATTGGTACAAACATCATGCAATGTAATATGTACATAGTGTACATGGATTTGACATATTTGATACAATATGTAATATGTATCAGATTATAGAATTGGATATTTATTTGAATTGGGAATATGATCTGATTTTGGAATGTGCTTTGGGAATTGGAAACTCTCAAAATTTTGGTATTAAATGTCTTATTTTATTCATGCAAAAAGCAACATCTTAATAATGTCAATTATACAATGAAAAGAAAACATATCAAGAGATAAAATGCCTAAGTTATTTTTTTCACTAATATACAGATGAAAATATCAGGCATCAAAAGTCCTCAAAATCGTTTCATTTTCATGTTATATTTATTCATAATTCATGCAATTGCAATTCTTCATAAACTGCCAGTCACTATTTAGCATTGTTAGTTGCCTCAATTGAAATACTCGATTCTGATTAGTTGATTAGCGGTCAACAATTGTATATTAGAGGCTAGCTTTTACTTTTAACAATTTAAAATAAAGTGATCCTCTTCTGAATGCCAGTCTAATGTTAAGTAAACATACAATTGCAATTACTGTTCTGGTGTTTTTCAGTTTACTAGTAAAAAGAACAAGCAGGAGTAATGGAGTAAAAGCTGATTGTAAGTACTATATGGATTCTATCATTTACTCTGAGGGTAGAGTACCCTTTCAATGTAAACTATTTGAAAGGGTAGCCATCATTCTAATATCTGCTTTAATTAGGCTATGTTCATTTTTTGTTTTGTCATTTCCTGTTAACTACCACCGGACCGTAAAGTCAGAGTGTAATGTGGCTTGTTGATCCAGGGTATCACAGTTTGTTGATCTGCTGATCAGTTGATTCATACATGCTTATTATCCCATCGAACGAAGTTCGGAGGGATATAGGGAACACCTCCGTCCGTTCGTCCGTCCGGGCAATAACTCAAATACCGTTGGCCCGATTTTATTCATATTTTGTACACATATACCCTATGGGGGTAGAAGTTCTGCTCGAAAGCCCATTTTCAAAATGGCCGCTCATTTAAAAATGGCGGCCATTTTAGTGCCGATTTTACAGTAATTTAGGTGCAATATGTAAAACTGTAATAGCAATATGTTTTAAATGTAAAAAAAATTATATAGGACATTAATAAAGCTAGAAATGTACATATTAAAAAGCACATGGCAGCCATTTTGAAAAATGGCGGCCTTTACTCGTTATTTTACGATTTTTGCTGTAACTCGAAAAGTAGTGGAGCGATTTTGTTCATATTTGGTATGTGAATACTGTAAGCATGGCACACTGTCTAATGACACTTTTGGTAGAAGGCGGCCATTTTGAAAAATGGCGGACATTTTGAAAAATGGCTGCCATTTTAACTTATTTTACTATAATTCGAAAAGTAGTGGAGCGATTTTGTTCATATTTGGTACGTGAATACGTATAAGCATGGCACACTGTCTAATGACACTTTTGGTAGAAGGCGGCCATTTTTCAAAATGGCCACCATTTTAACGTATTTTACTATATCTCGAAAAGTAGTAGAGCGATTTTGTTCATATTTGGTATGTGAATATTATAAGCATGGCACACTGTCTAATGACACTTTTGGTAGAAGGTGCCTGTTTTGAAAAATGTTCGATGGGATTCGCTACGCTTTGGCGTTGCCGTTGTTCTGGTTTTCTGAAAGCCCACGGTGTTATATGCTTATGATCATTCAGTATTTTCCATTGTTTCAAATGTATTGGTTTCACATAGAGAGTTCCAATCTGGCCATAACAGTGCTTTCATCCTATCAGCATGCTCAATTAAGTTTCTGCATTCATTTTCAATCATAATCTTATGTGGGTAAGATGGTATAGGCACATACACTAGTTGAGAAAGTACTCCAAACATAGTACAATCAATCTGAAAAAAACAAAGGTTTGTTATATTATGAACATCCTTTCTCCAAATGTTGGATAATATCTTCTAACTTTAGATCTTTAATTATGCCTTCTGCATTACTGTTGACACAAAATCTATTTTCTTTGAAATTTTTTGAAGATTCACTGGAATGAGTTATTCGCTAGTTAGCTTGAATATTATAGAAATATTTCATTCTATCAAGGTGAATAAATGAGCATATTTCACAAGTGATATTCCATGCTGCCTGAAGGGCAAGATCTTTTTGTGAAAACGTCCCAAGTATTCACCAAAACTACATGTAAAACGAAATCTTGTTCACTGTCATTTGTTTTCACTGTCACTATTTTCATAGTCATCGTGATCAGAATCGACCTGTTTTTGTCATCGCCATTTCAGGAACACCGCTCATCGGATTTTCTCCAAATTCACATACATGATAGAGTATATCAAGTTCTAGAGCTGAATAACTTTTGGGTGGCCATCTTGTTTTCTGGGAGCCATTTTGAAGGTTTTTTGGAAAATCTTATCACCATTTCAGGAAGACCGCTCATTGGATTTTATCCAAATTCGCACAGGTGATAGAGGATATCATGTTCTAGAGCTGATTAACTTTTGGGTGGCCATCTTTTTTCCTGTTGGCCATTTTGAAGGGTTTTTGATGGTGTGATCTCGTTCATGTTATGTGCCTTGTTATTGTTTATTAGAATACTTATTTTGACTCTCAGGAGGAGGTTAATTATTAATCAAAACTCACCAAAATGTGCATATACTTGTCAAATATTAATAGGACAGTAATAAAAGTCATATTCCACATACATTTAAAGCGAGGGACCAAAAGGGCATATTTCCTGACACATCCTTATGTTCTTTTGTTGTTTTCTTAGTTGGGCTTTCTAATGGAAAATTGACGAATTAAGAATAGATAAGGTTGCTTCATAAGATTGCTGACCTTAGATGGTTTATCTCCAAACATATATTTCTTGTCCCCTAAATATTCTGACAATGCCTTCAGGTCCTCCATACCAAGACGGTAGATTTCACTCGTTGGTTTTCTTCCTATTCCCTGTGCTTTTGCCCCATGGTCATACTACATTTGATAAATATAGATTGAATGTTTCAAAAGTAAATATAAAGCACAAACATTCCAGCATACTTAAGGATTTAAGCCCTGGACTCAGTTCAATGTGGAATGACCATTCCTAGAAGGTGTTGCTTTCCAAAATTTGCATGAGATGTGGAGCATCAAGTGTTAATTTTAGGAAACAATGGCTGAAAGCATTGACCCTTGGGCTTAAATTCTTTTCACACATTGCAAAATATTTTCTCCAAAATCATTTAAAAGATACGAAAAGAACATATTTTCGATGAAATTTTTTGCAAGGATCAACCTGGCAAAGTATCAATTTCAATATGCCAAGTCCAGTCATCACCATGACAACCGTTTACTGACCTTGAGTTCATTATTGGTTATATAATGGAATGCAGTTGCGTGAAATAGTGTGGCTGGAATTAAGACACACATAGCCTAGCTCTGTGTGAAATCTCTATGAAGCCTTGAACTATGTTTTTAATAGTTTTCAAACTTGGGTTAATACAAAATAAGAGTTTTGTTCATGTATACTAGTGATTAGATTTAATCCGATTAACTGGCGTATACTTTCATATGGTCCTCACCCCACTACTCATTTTATAATTGAGCAGATACTTTATCCCTGGAATATATGTCATCAACCAGTGGATTGGAAATAGATCATGTCTTCCCACAAATAGTTCTGGATGTTCTGCATAGCGATAATAGAACATGGACCTAAAAATACATTTTTTATGCATAAATGGAACTCATTACATTACATTACATATATTATATTAGCTATTTCGTAAATGAATACTGGATACCTGTTCATGCCTAGAAGCTGTGGATGATGTCCAGGGAACTGAACCTGAGAACCCTGGCACAGGAATTCAGGTAGTTCTGTATGTTTAAAAATTTTAATAGCTTTCTATGTGAGCCCCATGTTATTTTCAGGAACATATATATAACTCATGGTCGACAATATTGTCAGATTTGCACACATATCTAAATTATTAGTTGAGGGTTAATAAATATTCTAGATATGTAAAAAAGGAGAGAATTCGGTGACCTACATTTTTTGTACTTTTTTTGTAGTTTTCTAAATTCAAACATTATAAAAATTATTTACCCTCGACTAATAATTGAGGTACATTTGTATACTCTCTGTGCAAAACTGAAAGATTAGGAAGAATTGTGAAGCTATTAAAATTTCTGAACATACAGAATTACCTTAAAAGCCAAGATCTCATTAACACAAGTTGTCATATTAATGTAAATGATCTCTTACAACCCTATCTATTTACCCTCTAGATATTGAAGTCGAGAGTATAGAGTTCAGAATGACAACATTCAGACAGTATAGAGTTCAGAATGACAACATTCAGGCAGTATAGATTTTAGCATAACAGCATTCAGACAGTATAGATTTTAGCATGACAGCATTCAGACAGAATAGAGTTCGGAATGACAGCATTGATGCAGAATAGAGTTCAGAATGACAGCATTCATACAGTGTAGAGTTCAGAATGACAATATTCAGACAGTATAGAGATCAGAATGACAACATTCAAACAGAATAGAGTTCAGAATGACAGCATTCACACAGTATAGAGTTCAGAATGACAGCATTCAGACCATATAGAGTTCAGAATGACAGCATTCAGACTGTATAGAGTTCAGAATGACAATATTCGGACAGTATAGAGTTCAGAATGACAACATTCAGACAGTATAGAGTTCAGAATGACAGCATTCAGACAGTATAGAGTTCAGAATGACAACATTCGGACAGTATAGAGTTCAGAATGACAACATTCAGACAGTATAGAGTTCAGAATGACAGCATTCGGACAGTATAGAGTTCAGAATGACAACATTCGGACAGTATAGAGTTCAGAATGACAACATTCAGACAGTATAGAGTTCAGAATGACAGCATTCGGACAGTATAGAGTTCAGAATGACAACATTCAGACAGTATAGAGTTCAGAATGACAACATTCAGACAATATAGAGTTCAGAATGACAGCATTCAGACAGTATAGAGTTCAGAATGACAACATTCGGACAGTATAGAGTTCAGAATGACAACATTCTGACAGTATAGAGTTCAGAATGACAACATTCAGACAGTATAGAGTTCAGAATGACAGCATCCAGACAGTATAGAGTTCAGAATGACAATATTCAGACAGTATAGAGTTCAGAATGACAGCATTCAGACAGTATAGAGTTCAGAATGACAGCATCCAGACAGTATAGAGTTCAGAATGACAACATTCAGACAGTATAGAGTTCAGAATGACAGCATTCAGAGTTCAGACAGTATAGAGTAGACAGTGTAGGTATTGAAAGGTGTGATAGAAAGTTCATGAACCAAAATTAGAGTTTGTACTGATAAGATTCAAAGCCAATGTTTACTGCATGTATTACAGTGTATGTCAAGATTTTACACACTCGTGTTCATATAGCGAGTGATTTAAAAACACAGAATTAACTCCTGTTCTAAGGGTTGATGTTAGAAATTTCACTCTACTTCAACAAGACCTGAACCCAAGACGTTTCGATTTATATCAAACATAATACAATATACAGTGTATACAATATTACATCTTGGTACTTTTTACTTACTCACCAACATGTATGCTCATCAAGAGTTCTCTGAAATGTATGTGAGATCACCTTTTGTTCCTTGGTCAGATATTCATCTGTGTTCACCTTAAAGTGCTTGCTTAAATACCTGAAAATATAAGGATAAAGACACCACGTCACTTTATCATAACTAATACTGGATAAATCAAAGCAATGTTTTTTTTACCATGTATATTTTATTTTTATCAAGGCGCTGTACCCTATTCACTTCCTTTTTGTACAGCCTGCAATAAAGTGGGAATGGTATTATGAAGAAGGTCTTAATGCAAGATTTCTTACCTGATAATGTTATTGGAATCATTTATCTGTTCTCCGTTGACAGTTACAAATGGTATCTGATGTGTCTGCTTGTTGGCTCTTGGACTCCATGCATATTCTGTCTACAATTAAGTGGTTTTCTTAATTTAAGTTTATGATCATCCTTTTAGAAGTGATATTCCCAGTGTAACATCTTTTTGTGAACTTTTAGTTTTAATTCACAGGATTTCAGGTTACAGAAATTACAAACTTACTTCATATGGTATTTTAGCCAGTCTCATCCAAGTCTCAAGTTTAATTCCAAATGGAGAAATGCTGCATATATATTTAGACCTATGAAATGTAGTTAGTTTTACTGTGTCCTTGCTTGCCATTCTGTTGGTAACACTGCACTGTAAAGCTTAGCCGAAGTTGTAAGTCTTGTTTACATCTAGATCTAATAAATGTATGACATTAGATTGACCTTGAGCGACATTGGATCATACATATTGATAAAAACTGTTTACTCTCATTTAGAGATATGTAATAAAAGTGCCTAATGCCTATATATCCGAACACCTCTGAAATCTTAGTATATTCCAATATGAACACTTTTTGGTCCTAGTTTGTAATCTGTCATAGACTGCTTTGTTAAAAAAAACAACTCAAAATGTGAACACCTATCAAGGCAAATCATTTTTGCTAGTGTCAGTGGGGTTCAGATTAGTTACCATAGGCATAGCGCCCGGTAGGCTGGGTACGCACAGGCGTACCAGATGGTTGCAAATTCACTCCAAATACAACCAAATTTCAAAATTTTCCTGGGGGAGAACCCCTCAGACCCCCCCGAAATACTCGTTTTTTGCTTTGCTCATCTCTTGTTCCCGCGGTGGCGTACTACTTAGAAATATAGTGCAACGCTCATGGTTACTGCACATGTACTGTACTTGAGTGTCATTTATATGTGACATCCATAAACATAGTTTGGTCGTTGAAGTGTGTTTACTACTTTTTAGAACTTTTGTATGCACATATCCTATATAAATGCTTTTTCTATAAGACAAGATTTATATTTTCACATTCAACTCAGTTTTAAGAGGTATATTTTCAGATGCAGGATTTGAGATCCCAGATAGGTTTGTCGTTGGATATGCTCTGGACTTCAATGAATACTTTAGAGATCTTAGCGTGAGTACAGAATATATAAATCCAAGTTGAACCAGGGGTTTCACTCGAATTTCTCACAACAGGCTAAATAAATTAAAACAACAGGAAAAATTAATGGAAATCATAAAGTTAACATGGAAAAGTTGAAAAGTCTGTAAAAACAACAGGTGATTTTGTGAAAACAACCAGTGAAAATCACCTATTGCCTGGTGCTAATGAAACCCTTGTAGAGCACAATAGTGTAAGTAAAGAAAAAATTAATCCAAGTACATGTATAGAACACATAAGTGTAAGTACAGAAAACATCAGTGTATAAAGTAATAGTAAATTCAGGATCTGAACAAATAAAATTAGTGTGAGTACTTAAAGAACTTTCTTTTTTTCTTTCAGCATATCTGTGTTATTAACGATAAGGGACAGAAGAAATATGCCAGTAAAAAGGACTGAATGATAGGAAATGACACCTGTTAGTGTATACAAAATATATGTTCAGACAGAGGGCCAAATGTTACAAAGATATTTGTAAATATGGACTTGGGATTCATGAGACTACATGTATATCATTGATCATGTTTTTATTATGTCACCACCACATAAGGCGACATATTGTTACAGTCTCTAACTTTTTGTGGATGGTGTTTGGCATTGTGTGTTTGCTGCCTGTCAACCCTCACGCATTAGGCGTGATTGTCACGCATTTGCTGGAAAAATAGAAATCACGCATCAATTTAGCGTGTATGATCAAATATCATGCAAATCACGCATTTTGTTGAAATTTAAAAAAAAAGTTTTTTGTGAAATGCCGATATGGTAAAATACCGAACGGCGAAAAAAAGCGAACACATTCCGTTCGGTCTCTGCACGCGATTGCCATTTATATCACGCATTTTGTACAATATATGTGTATAGATCACGCATTAGTTTCGAAAAAATTTACACCTTTACATGTTGATTCTGTCTGAACTCTCAACATTCTTTGTTTTCATTATATTGATACAGATCAATCAAAAGTACTCTGGGCTTTTCACATTTCAATGTTTTTGGCATACATATATAATAAGTGAGCCTGTGGTTTAGGTCAATGGAAAATAAAAGATTTGGGACCAAAAGAGTGTTCAGATTAGCGAGGTGTTCAGACTGTATGCACTATTACAGTTTATGGTGTTTTACTACAGTTTTCATGTCACCCCCACAAGTGGTGACATATTGTAAGTCTCAAACTTTTTTGGTGGCAGTCAACTGTTGGTGTTCAGCATTCACAAATGGCAGGTGGTGGCATCTTGCATGTTCATGCCTTTTTTATTTTGTCTCCATTATTGTTGTTTATACAATTTCATACGGAGGTCTATGTTACAAACATACTACATGGAGAATAATGGTAATCATTAGCTTCATGTGTATATTTTGTAGATTATTCACATATTTGTCTGCACTAAAGTCATGTTCTTTTTCTTATTTTTCTTTTTAATAATACATTCAAATTATGAACTGTACCAAGCCTGGTTATACTTAATATTATACCAAATATTATATAATTGTACATGGTATGAGTCCTTTGTATCGTTGTATGACTTGATTTCATATATTTTTTATTCATAAACATATTAATTCTTCATGATACTTCCACCTGGGCTACTATATTTGTTTAAGACTATTTAAGTTATCTTGTTTAAGAAATTGTGACAGTAATCATATGAATTATTATTTCATTATTATTTGATGAAGAATAAGTTTAAAATGCCAAAATTCATACTGTATTGTATTGTATTGTGATTTTATGTGTGTTCATCCAACTTATTTGGATTAGTATGTAAATATAAAGCATTAAAGAAGGCATTTTGTATGTTACATGACAGTGTACCTCAAAACTGTTATAAATATTTATTTTTATTGCAAGCTGCCAATCTGTATTGCTGTATAATAGCATAAAGAGGTTGTAATGGGGAATAAATCCTGGTTCATGAAATTAAGTTTTATTTATGCAACTACAATGTAATAATTTTCACTTTACAACAGCCTAAAGGTTATTTAATCAGATCGAAAAATGGAGTCAAGTTTATCATTACATGCTACTCTAAATGGTTCAGTCGAGGATTTCTCCATTTCCAGATCAGATATAATGTATTTTAGTATACATTTTTTATTCTTTTGTCCGCGATGAGATCATGATTCATATGAAACAGAAAGATGTGATGAGAGAGAACTATGTGTGAAATAAATATTTGTATATGCATTGGGTAGAATTACTTGGTGTTTTGACAGCCCTTCGTAGTATTTCTCAGCAAAATTTAACTTGTTGTACTCTCATTTTGTCCCGAGCTGTGCTCTTGTGTTCAAAACTACACTTTTGAGAGATGATGAGAAATCATGAAATTCCAGTTGTTTCCAGTTGACATAAAAAGTATCAAAGCGAGGTTATTGTGATATGCCACATCATCAAAGGATATTAACATTATCTAGTGCCATTTAGTTATAATTTATGTACATGTAGTAATTTCAATTGTTGAAATAGACTAAACAGAAATTAAATTGTATTTTGTGAATTATATATAACAAACTATGGGAAACTTCACACCTCCTCCTCTCGTCTCTACAAAGAAACACAAACCCTGTCTCTTGAGAGAAATAATTACTAGTAAAACCTGTCTAGTCTGAACACCACTGGGACTAGCCAAAAGTATTTGTTATCTTTGGAATAGCAGGTATTGACATTTCAAGATTTTAAAGTGAGATAAAAAAAATTGGAATATTCATATTGAGAGGTGTTAAGATATACAGGTTTTCCTGAATTTTCTTGATCCCAACATTTTAAACTCTTCCAATATTTTGACTTACTCTAGTTGACACTTTTAGCTCACATGGTGAGCTATTGCAATCACTCACTTGTCCGTCCATCTGTCTGTCTGACCATCTGTCAACAATTGGCCAGTTTTAAAACCTCTGTCAATAGGAATTCCCGTTTTAAATTAGTTTTGTTCAACACCAATACAGAAAACTCCCTCATCACTCCTGGTTCAAAAGCTCGCCTATTTTCAAAATGGTCGCCACTTTTGTCTCGCAAAATTCACTTTTGGCCCATTTCCTACATTTACAAATAATTTCAGGTGTCCTGCCTTGTAAAAAGCCATGTTACTGTAAAGAGTAGTTGTATGAAATAATTTTGTACAAAAAATCGGCAAAAATTACATTCATTTTTTCTCCCATTTTAGCCATCATTCACTTTTGAGCAACACCATGTGAGCCCAGTACCCACGGTACTATTTATTATTAAAAGTGAACAATTTTTGGAATTTTTTACCATATTGAATTTCAGTTTTTACCTCGTTATCGAAACAAAACCTTTGAATTTCCAAAATTCTGAATTGTGAGTCTGAGAAAGTGTTCCCTGGGTTTTACTGGTCGAGGCTTTCACAATAAGCAATGAAACATTTTTTAATTGGTTCTTTTTGTTTTTTGAGAGAGGCAAAGAAGAAGAATCTGACTAATAAACTACACATTTTTTGCACACTGAAATAAAAAAAACACATCCACTAAAATATTCTTCATTTTGATATTTAAAAATCAAATTAACAAAAAGGTAAGCAATAAACATTAAATTATTTTCTTACATTTATTGACTAGAGATGTTACTGTACAAACAACATATCACATTATTCTCCACTCTTCAACAATTTCTTTTAGAAGGCTACAAGAAGCTCAAACCCTCCAATTAGTCGACAGAATGAACTAAAATATGTGCAACTGGAATGGCACAGTCATGGTATTCGATTTAAAGCATGTATTGAATAAGTCTGGGGTAAATACAAATCTTTTGACAGTGTTCAACACTAACTGAATTTCAGATTTTGTGGTATTTTATGATAATTACAAGATAAATTATATTACTGAAACAACCATTTCACAGTAGTGTGTAACACCAATGAATTGGAGGAGCCAATTATGAAGTTTTGAGGTGATTCTTACTATTTAATCTGGAGACTGCAACATTCAGAGGCAATTTTTGAAGATTTGGCAGGGTTCAGTTGATGGCAGATGTATTTTGTATCTTGGCTATAAAGCCCCAATTACATTTGCTCTACAGGGGCCGTAGCATCAGAAAATCGATATAGAAAATCTACATCGTACTGCTTATCCCTATACTTTATGCTGCATATTTCTCTCAATTTTGGGAAGCCATGGCTACCATACAGTTACCGTAGATCAAATGTGACTGAGGCTGAGGTCTAATTTCTTCCTTATTTTATTCAATATGATTGCACTTGATCTATATGGCACTTTGATTCAGTCTGTTCTCTTAAAGGCCATTCACTGTCCATTTATATAATTATATAATAAAACTATGCCTAACATTATCATCCATATTTCACCCCCAGACTCAATTGATAACTTTATGTGTGTTCAGTGTTTTCTTAGACCTTGATACTCCATTTTGAACTTCATTTTACAGATTATTATATGATCATATTTTTTCTCCTTTGAGCTGATAACTTACTGTAGAATGTCATTTCACTTTGTTCATTTTGTCCATAAACTTGCACTTTGTCCATATATATCATTATACAAATCCATTCCAGCACATTTTGTGATATCATATTTTTCTGAGAGTTATCCCACAAAAATATATCTTATATGGAGATTGCTAGCTTCATTATGACATCATCAATCTACATGATGACATCAATGATTTTCAAGATGACATCATCGATCTATATAATGACATCATCAATCTACATTATGACATCATCAATCTTCATTATGATATCATCAATCCACACAATGATATTATCGATCTTCATAACATCATTGATCGACATTAAGACATCATTGATCTTCATGATGACATCATCGATCTATCGTTGAGTTTAGATCAGCAAAATACGAATGTTCCATACCATCATCTGCTGAGAGTCTGTGTGAAGGATTGCACACAAGAAGTTTCTGTAAAATAAAACACCAAATGATTTTCAAATTACAAACGCCTGTCACTGGTCACTCAAATAGAATCTGCCGATGAGGGAATGACTAATTTGCAAACAATGACAACATTTAAAGCTCTTCAACCATTATAAGCTAGATTTCCAACCTCTAAAGAGATATGAGCCAAACTAGAATAAATCTTAAATATTCTGAAACCAGGAAGGGAAGCAGCTATCCTGATATTTGGTTCATTGTTTAAAATAATGCTTCACTTTAACATATAGAAAACACCTTCTAAAAGGATAATTTCCCTAGGTGGTCGGTGAAAGGTTTTTCTCTAAATGAATTATTATTATTATTCCAGGGGGGTTCACTTGAACTTTTCAAAATGGTGAAAAACTGCATGATTTTGGAAGAATTTTTGGCCAAGGGTTCGAACCCCCCCCCCCGCTACTGGCCTGGATACTCCTCTAATTTACTTTACAAACCTGTAAGAGATCCTTGCCCTTTGCATTCAGCTTGGGAACTACTTGTTGCCATGATGTGGTCACATGATACATCGGATACTGAAACCAGATTTAATATTGAATTAAATTCTTTAAGTACAATGTACAAATGCGAGATGGGGCGAACATATAAAGCACAACAAAAGTTTTCAAAGATTTTCACCCCTTGTACATTTGAACATTAGATTGTAAGAATGGTACCAGTAACTGTTTCCAAAAATAGAGAAACATGGTGGTCAATGTCTAACTTTACAAATTAACCAGTGCTTCTTAAATACATGTAATAGAAAGCGAGAGTAGGTTGCAAAATAAGCACCAGTCCACTTATTTTCCATCTGGACCAGCTGATTTTTCAGAAAACATACATTGGAACATGACTAATTATTCAGTTTAGACCAGTCAGCTGATTTTTAGAGTGCATACATAACATCACAGCTCCTTACATATTCAGTAAAGACCAGAAAGAGTGAATCCTTCTGAAATACTCTGGGGGTGAGGTAGAGAGACTTTACCTTGTCTTTGTACTCTGGTAACTGGGTCATACCAGGCCATGTTTCATCAGTAGGAGTACCAAGTAGTCTGAAATATCATATTTATCATATAACAATGTGAGTATAACACTAGTAACAACCACTCAGCATGTATAAAAATATTATGCATGCTTTAAAGTGGCAATGTATAATTTCTTAAAATAATTTTCTTTTTTTTCAAAACATTGTCATATCAAAATCAGGAACAATTTCAAAATGTTCCAAAATTTATTTTTATAGCCTCTAGAAGATACTTTTACAATAATGTAAAACTTCTCAATGGAGCAAGTCTTTATTAGCCTATCTCTTGTGGTTGATCACCGTGGTTACAAAGCATTTGCAAGTCCATTAAATGACACAGTAAAACATGTAAAGTGAAACACTTCTTGAAATGGAACGCCCCACAAGTGGAAGTCCTATTACTAATATACACAATGGTAATTGCTAAATTAATTTGTTATTCACACATGAGTGATAATATCTCTCTATGGAATTGTGCATGCTGAATTTGAAATAGTCAACTTACTTAAATATACGTTTTAACTGGTCGTCCACATCATTGCCTGGAAATAGTGGTCTCCCAGCATTGGCAAGCTCTGGAAACAGAAGTCAGAGTATTAATCTAACAATATACCAAAACCTGGTTGCAGACTTTAAAATTACAAAACGATAACAATTTTTGTGTGTTGAAGCTTATTGCTGGTCTGTTAATAAGTATAATACAAAAACCAATAAAGACAGTCATTCGCTCAGAAAAGATTACAATTTTAGTTTGTATTTTCAAAGAGAGCTTTTATATGGAAACAAAGTCCCATTTATGCTAGAGTTTATGGCACATAAATGAACTCACCAGCAAATATACAGCCTGCACTCCACATATCTATAGAGGTGGAGTAAAGCTTGGCACCAAAGAGAACATCAGGGGGCCTATACCAAAGGGTAACCACCTAAAATGATGTATTAGTGCATGTTATTCAGTATTTTTTTCATTTCTGTTACTATTTTTTATATATTACATTATTTATTTTATTTCTTTATTTGCTCTGACTACTTGTACATATAAACGAGTACATGTACAGTTTAATGAAAAAAAAGAAAGAAATTACAGGTGATACAGATGAGTTTTGGAAAATGTTTGCACTTTCTATTTTTCAGAAAATAAAATATGAATTGTATAGTAAGGGAACCTTGGCATAATTCTTGAAATAATGATTCTTTATTTCTTGCCTAATTTTCTACCTGATTTGAATTTAAAATATTGATCACCAGCAGATCTAGACGGCGTGCGCCCCCCCCCCCTAAAAAGTTGGAAAATTCGTGTCTTGCCTCATTGCTTTTTACAAAATTTGAATCTTTTTTTAATTTGCTCACAGTTATCATCACCCCCCCCCCCTAACACAAAATCCTGGATCTGCCCCTGTTGATGTGACACTTTTCTTGGTGTAGTAATCTTACCTCTGCAGAATAACACCTTACAGGTATACCAAATGCCCTGGCCAGTCCAAAATCTGCCAATTTCAACTCCCCATTCTAAAGTAGACAATTAATAATACAGTGTGGACTTGTTCTGTCGATACTTGTTCATTGAATAATGTTTTCTAATAATATGTATTTACAGTATTTCCCATTGAAATGCACAAAACTAAAAACATATTTTTTTATTTATGTTCATGTATCTTATGAAAGCCTAGGCCATTTCACTGGATTTGCACTTTGCAATCATGGTGTGCTATCTCTAAATACAATATGAAATGCTTTAATGAATTACATATATTTTAAAACAAAAATGTATTTATTTACTTCAAAAAGGAACAATAGAGTAACCAAAAATGATTTTAAAAGTGTAAACTACTATCTTTTCGAAGAGATAAAAAAAATTTATGAAAATATTGTCATTACACTTAATGTACATAACAATACATTCTTGTAAAATCCATTACTTGCTCAGATTCTTATTTATTCTCACCTTATTTATGAGAAGATTCTGTGGCTTCAGGTCTCTATGTAATACATTGTGGCTATGACAGAAGCCCAAACCTTTCAGCAATTGGAACATAAATGACTGAAATAAAATAACAAAATTATTAGCTGTATGTATTCTGCTTTATCCTATGCCAAGAAGAGTTTTAGGGAGATAAGTTGGTAAGATATATCCCGTATCCTGATTTTGAGGTTTCGATATCCAGAACCTCGTGAGATATGCACATATGCACATATGCATATCTCCCTCTGGATAAACCCCATATCCAAAACCTCCCAGTACATAACCCTTATATATCCATATACAGTATGTGTTCAAATGACCCAGTATCTAAAGGCATTTGTATAAATTTAAATCTACATCTTATTCCCCAGACAAATAGTGTCTGCCTTAATCACATACATATAGCTAAGCATGATATATCACATTTCAGCCAATCAGAGTACAGTCAATAATAATGAATAGACAAGAAGCACTTACGAAGATCAAAATGTGGACCATGTTAAATTACAAATATAAATGTAGATGGTATGAGGAGTGATAATGGGATATCTTTTGATTCTGATTTACTGAGGCAGCACAATGTGTGAATGACCCCTTCTCTCTAAAAAAGTAAATTGCAACAACTTACCTGGGGGGTACTCTCATATATTGGCTATATCAGGACGTGCCGCTAAAGTGGGTTACTTTTTTTGCCAAAAAATCCCTAGATGTGGGTCCCATTTTAAAGAAAAACCCTAGATATGGGTCCCATTTTAATGAAAAAATCAGAACCGTGTCTACTTTTGAATAATCCAGAAACTGGATTGTTTTTGAATTATATCGCTGGAAATAGGTCTTGTTTTTAAAAAATTATCTTGAAGAGGGTTTATTTTTGAAAGAAAAACTCTAGATGCGGGTTCATTTTTAGAGAAAAAATCCCTAGATGTGGGTAGATATTTTGGGGGAACTTACCTTGACTGTATCTTGGTCAATTTCACCATTGCAGCTGTCAAAGTATTTCTTCAAATCTTGATCACAATATTCAAAGACCAATGTAAGTTTCTTATCACTATGCAGCACATCGTGTAGCCTGTGGAAAAACAATCAAAATATTTAAGTTCGAGATTCATTATACATTTAAATAATAATTACTGTTATTTGATATATGTAGCCTTGCTTCTTGATAATTGGTATAAGGTACAGTGAAACCTGTTTACCTCTTTAAACTGAACACCATGACCACACATCTCAATTTGAACACGTTTCTCTGTCCCCAATTTGTCTCTCATTGACCTACATGTTGAAAAAACTTGAAGTGTGAACACCTGCTGATCTGAACAGTTCTGACTGATCCCAGACAGGTTTTACTGTACTTTATAGGATTAATGTTATAATTAAAAAGTATATCATCATACCTGACAATGTTTTTATGCTTCAGTTCTTTAAGAAGTGCTATCTCTCTGAGAGCTGAACTGGGTACACCCTGTAAAACAACAATTTCATTTCAAATTAAAAACACTTTTAATATCCCATCCTTTACTAGTGTTGGATTTCATTTAGAAATTGACTGTCTTGTACTGCTATGGTTCAAGTTAAAATGATACACGATGGTTCAATAATGATGGTAGAAAAGATGGTACAGCAAGATGCTACAATAATCATGGTACAATAAGAAGCTACGATACAAAGATGGAGAAGATTGAGTTTAAATATTTTTAAATACCTCATCATCATCATCTAGTCGAACTCTCTTCAAAGCAACTATCTCATGAGACTCTCTGTTCTTGGCTTTGAATACAGTACCATAGGTTCCTGTAAAGTAATGTATACATTTGAAATGGAGCCTTATAGAGGCACAGATGCTTTAAATGTAGGAAGTCTATGGGCTTGAGCAAGCTATAAGTCTATGGTATGGTCAATAAAAAACAAGATTTGTCCAGTTTTCTGTCCCTCTCTGTAAGTCTGTGATGCATAAGGAGGTCAGCTTGAAAACAGTACCAATTTGGAGGGATGTCATGGGGACAAAAAAAATTGGGAGGGGGCAGGATAAGAATCATCCATTTTGGTATGGAACTTAGGGGATGGGACCTAACCATCCCAAAATGAATAATTCTCATGTCTGTATCTGGTTTGTTACACTACAGTTCATCCCGGGTCGGCCCTAGGGTTAATACATTTCTGTCTGTTGTGGGATTCACCCTTGTATATATCCTGGGGGTGACAATGACAAGCATCTTTCTTTAGGGGGAATGGTGTAATGACCCTTGATAACAAGTTGAAGCCCTTATGGAAAACATCAGACTTTGGAGCAGAGTCCTGGGTCCATCTATACAATACTCCTATTCGCGATAAGAGTTTAGGTGGTAATTTACATAAATATCTCCCATGATGCATCGCTTTAGAAGGGACAAATTTCCATTGGCCCAGAGAACGAGTCGAATACTCTGAACATTTCTCAGCTTCTGATCTTCCATCAGCCCTCAAGCATAATTATATGATCCAATCTATTATTGAATAATCAGAAAGATAATTGGAGATTTAAAGTAACATTATTTATATTTTTCGATCTTCGATGAAGTCTGAGCAATTTCTGGGAAAGCAGTGACATCACTGGAATTGGACAGCATTTTCAACTACAGATTTCTTCGGATTTGGGGATTATAGTTTAAAAAACCTTGTTGTACAAGTTGTATATCTTAATTACATACATACACGTACATGTATCTATTGTTTGTGCAAATGCAACTCTACATAAATGTTTAATAGAGTCGCATTGCGGCACTGAAAATATCACTCCTGTGTAATCCAATAGGAAAGAACCCGGATGTAGACAAAGTTGTACCGTACATGAGAGCTCTTCAAACAGGAGGTAACTAAACTGAACTAAACGCTATCGCATAGTGGAGTAATTGAATGAGATTCGAACTGGATGAGCCAAGGCAGAGGTGCTCAATGACCAGTTTGTGTCAGTTTTTACACATGAGCCAGAAGGTGCCATTCCAAACAAAGGCCCTTCTCCCCATCCTAGAATGCCGAATATCAGTATTCATGTTGATGGAGTGCTCAAACAACTTAAGAACTTAAAACCACACAAAGCTACCGGACCAGACAACATATCAGCACAATTCCTGAAGATGACAGCAAGTGAGATTGCACCAGCGATTAGCCTGATTTTCCAGGCTTCCCTTAATCAGGGCAAGATCCCAAAAGTCTGGAAAGATGCCAACATTGTAGCCCTCTTTAAAAAGGGTGATCGATCATTGGCATCTAATTACAGGCCAGTCTCACTTACATCAATATGCTGCAAAGTTCTCGAACACATCATCTTCAGCGAGACAATGAAACACCTGGAAACAAACAAAATTCTCACCAACTTCCAGCATGGGTTTCGAGCTGAGAGATCCTGTGAAACGCAGCTGATCGTAACCATCCACGACCTTGCGAGAGAACTGAATAACGGAGATCAAGCTGATGCAATCTTGCTTGACTTCTCCAAAGCTTTTGATAAAGTCCCACACAGAAGGCTGCTCCACAAACTTCAGTTCTACGGCATTACAGGTTCAACCCATGCTTGAATCAAAGACTTCCTCACAAATCGAACACAGTGTGTTGTCCTTGATGGTGAACAGTCCAAATCAGCTCCAGTAACATCGGGAGTGCCCCAAGGGACTGTTTTAGGACCACTGTTATTCCTTGCATACATCAATGACCTGCCAGAGGCTGTAACTTCTACCACTCGCCTCTTTGCAGATGATTGCTTGATGTATCGCAGAGTGAAATCTGAGATGGATGCAAAGAGACTCCAACAAGACCTGGACATTCTACAAAGATGGGAGGATTCTTGGTTGATGCGATTCAACCCAGACAAATGTGAGGTACTACACATATCCAAGAAAAGATCACCTCGTTTACATCAGTACTGCATCCATGACCAACCATTACGTGCAGTTGACTCTGCTAAGTACTTAGGTGTAAACATCAGTAACACCCTATCTTGGAATCATCACGTGTCTGCCATCACCAAGAAAGCCAACTCCACCCTGGGCTTCCTCCGTCGTAACATCAGCTCCTGCCCCAGCAATGTGAGGAAACAAGCATATACCACCTTTGTTAGACCACAGCTGGAATATGCCTCTTCTGTATGGTCCCCTTACACGAAGAAGGCAATCGGGCAGGTGGAGGGAGTTCAGCGACGAGCAGCCAGATTTATAACACAAGATTACAGACAAACCAGCAGTCCTACCACTATGCTGAGGAATCTGCAGCTGCCACCACTACAAGACAGACGTAATTTGACAAGAGTAGTCATGCTTCACAAGATAGTCCACCATAAGGTAGCCATTTCACCAGGGGCATACCTTGAGCCAGTAGGATCTGTGACCAGGGGTCACAACCTACGCTACCTTGTCCCATCCTTAAGAGTAGATTTACATCTTTACTCATTTTTCCCTGCAACCATACAACTATGGAACCTTCTTCCAGCAAATGTAGCCATGATTAATTCCCTGGACATTTTCAAGAAGGAGGCAGGGAGTGTGATGCTTTCGTACTAAGTGATGACGATTTTAAAACGATTTTAGAAACGATTTTAATGCACATTCACACTACAATTGTATATACACCGCACGCAAGCACACATAGCACGAAATATCCTTAAGAGGAGTCTGTACTTTAAAAGAAGAAGAAGAAGATAAGGAATCAGAGATTGACAGTTCAGACCATTGGGATTCTGACAATAAGAATTCGGATAGTTGGGATTTGGACCGATGGGATTCAGACAATTGGGATTCGAACCATTTAGAGGAAGACGATTTGACTTCAGAAAATTGGGATTTGGACCAATGGGATTCAGACCTATGGTGCATGGTGTGTCACCATTTTGCCAAGGCGTATGAGTATCAGCCCTAGGCTAGTCTAGTGTAGATCTAGATTCTGTTTCTAATATGTAGATTAGCCTACACTGTAGATCTTCGACTTCTGCCTAAATTATTTTGAAAAAATCAAAACTGAAAAAAATTTCAGGGACATGTTATATCATTTTAGATTAAACTATAGCCTAATCAGCATCACATTGTATTGGTCAATTCTAAATCAACTATAAAATTAATTTACCTTCTCCAATTTTCTCTAATTTCTCATATTTCTGCATTTTTAGAAAATTTTCATTTCTAATTTGGAAATCTCATTGAAGTCTCGTCTACACGTGAAATCTCGTGATCCTTTCACTTTTCCAACTTATGTTTATGGCCAATGTAGACGCTTTTATGAACAAAATACAAACCAAGCAAATCACTGTATCATAACACAATACATTTGTTCATCTCATAGCACGCTGTCATGAGATAAATCGGATAAATAAGTGATCTATTATATGGTCACGTGATATCAAGACAAAAGTAAATATGGCGGCTCGCCCGATGGGATTTTCGCAAAACATGCAACAACAACCCCGATATCCTCCACAAGCAGCACAAATAAGGCCTTATGGACAACCTGGTTACTCGGTAAGTATCCAATGAACACGTAAAAGCATTCATACATCGTATGACTCATTTTCTCGTGAGAAAATAAAGTTTTAGTGATGACCTACATTTTTGTAACAAAGCCGGTCAGCCTCGGTTAGACTATATCCTATTTAGTCTGAATTATATTCAGACTATAAGGCACCTATGTTAAAGTTTGGTATTTTCTATTATTTGTTTACATAGGAAGTGCTATTCAAAATGGCCGATTTGGTAAAATTAATTTGCACATTTTTACTTCAACTAGCCTTATTTCCACTTGACAATATGCTGTGTTACTTTTTATTGCATTTAATTGTACCTTACTACTTAATTGAAATTTTGTAATGCTTATTTTATTGAAGAAATGGTTCCTCTAATTGATAATTTTGTGCAAAAAAATTCACTGCAATTTCCACAGGAAAGTAGTACATCATAACAGACTGACTTCTAGTCAGTCTGTTGGATACATACTACAGCCTCGGTGCTTAGGCCTACTGTATATCTAAAAGAAATAAGGAAATGTAGGTAGGGAGGTACTGAATATTTTCCGGAAAATACCAAATCTGCCAGTTTGTAAGTTCAACGGCAGTACGCATGTCACCAGTCATCTCAGTTCCACCGGTCATCTCAGTCCCATAGGGCAAGGGTGTAACGTCGATCCTATTTCGTTTCAATCTGGGTTAATTTTGACATAGAGGGGTAACTTAGACACCTTGTATTTTTTTTTGTCAGATATCCGATTTAGGGGGAAGCTTGCTCTACCGAGCTGTTAGATGGTGAACACCTCTACAGTTGGGGACAAAAATAAATGACAGGTCGATTTTCGATCACCATTTCCTAATTATGGTGTTCTGAAAGCCCATAATTTCCAATATTGTCTAGATACATATCCCTTAAAATTTGTATATTTTACATTTTGTATAATCTCATCCACTGATTTATGGCCTCTTGTAAATTCTCTTATTTTTAACATGGGAAATCCTCACTTCAGCAAATCCACCTGTCATTTATTTATGTCCCCAACTGTAATAGTGTTGTCGCGATGTGCCATAATCGTACATCGGCAATTTTCAGTATTAAACATCGATGCACATCGCGATGTACATCGAGAAAATGTCCGAGAAAAGTGCACTGAAATACGGAACGCTATTGCGCTAAAATACTGAACAGAACAAATAATAAGAGTATGCTGGTACAACCGGGAACTTCTAGTAACGATGAAATGAAAGTAAAGTGAATTTTTTTAGATTAATGGTTCATTTCGACTAGCTAAAACAGTTTTGTTTCAGACATCGATGCATCGCCAGAATCAGCTTTGGCGATGTATATCGCGATGTATCGATTAATCGCGACAACACTAGCCTCTAATGCATTGGATTGTCGTATGGAGTCTATGGACTTGCATTAGAGGCGGTGTTTATCCTTGTAAATCCATGCCAATCTAAGTTTTTCTTGATTATTTTTGACGGTTCACTTTATTTTAATCTTCTGCTTAGAATCTCTGCATCATTTATAGAGAAATATAAACAAAATGGATACATTGATGATTTATACAAAAACTTACCATACCTTTTTGTGGTTGTAGAAGGTTGAATTGTGCTAATTTTGAAGCAAAATCGCCGTTTGTCGCTACTGCTCACAAAATATTTATGGCGGCTTCAATTCTCACGAGATTTGATGAGAGTAGCCATTGAATATTGCTGCCATCTATTTAACTATACAGAGTTTATATCATTCATTCGACCATCATGTATTCAACCGAAGAAATCAAAGATCTCTATTCGCATAGCATAAAACCAAAGTTTGGATTTGATTTGAAGCCAGAACAGTTACAAGTGATAACAAACATATTGAATCAAGAATCCACTATAGCAGTTTTACCAACTGGTTATTGGAAAACATTACGTCAAGTGATCATCAAATAACGTCACGTGATCATCTCATTGATTTATGCAATGCATGCACACTTGAAATTAAGTCAGCGAAAATGTCAAGTAGACCGGTCGGAAATGCAATTTCGTCTTATCTGCAACGATTACACATAATTACTGTAATAAAGCGAGGCATTTATGGGTTCATTTTGAAGATTTTTGGTCTCGCTATCCAGTGGTGAAAGAATTTTCAAGATTGAGGTAAGATCTTTGGAGAAAAGTCGAAACATCAGATCCGAACTTTTCAGCATTTCTTAAATTTGATAAAGTTACATTGCACGTTATGCACCCCTGGGGCCAACACGATCCTCAGAGACCCAGAGGGTGCATGAATGCACCTACCGAGCTGTCAACTCTGGGAAGCTGGATTCAAAATTCTTAAAGAGAAAAAAGAGCCTATTTTGACTGAACGCTGTACTGATTAGCGTTTATAATACGCTATCTATTTGAATCAATACATAATTTATTTGTTGTTACCTTATTTTGTTCTGCAACAGTCTGTTGTTGTAGTAAATCAATGCTCTATTAGACAACAAAACTTTTGAATTTAGATTGCAGTCATTTTAGGTCTCCGACTTTCGAAAGTAAAGATTTGATACAAAATAACTCGTGTTAGCTAAATATGAATAGTCACGTGATCTTATAGCGACAATGCCCATGCGCATGTAAAGTACGAAGAGCATGTGCATGTATGCGCAAAAAGTTAAAAAATGGGTCTGGAATATCCCAGATGCGGGTAGAAATAATCTTGATTTACGTCATTAAAAATTCACAATTCAGTCAAACTGATGTCATATTTGGAATCTACATGTAAATCTACACTAAGAAATGTGGTTTTGAAAAGAGTTTATCATCTTTGAAAATTTTATTTTCTTTAAAAATGTGACTTCTAGGTCGGCGAGATTCCCCATAGAGCCCATGTTGTAAAACCACAAAAAGTGAAATATCTTTTCTTGTGTTGGGCAGATAATATTTTCTTTTACTGGACATATTTTAATTTGTATAACTATCACATACATTAGGGTAATTTGAAAAATGAACCACTAAAACTGATGCATATTCAAGTTTAAGGGAATTTTGTAATACCCTGCCATGTTATTTCCCCCGAATCAGCCACCTGGTGGCGAAACTGGTAACTACCTACTTGCATCTGAGTAATTTCTCTACTTTAACTTCAAATTACACAACAAGTAGGACTTATTGTCACCACGCGTCATGAAAAGGGCAAGTTACATTCAATTATCTTCTTAAATACCGTTACTTATTCCAGCGCGCCTGCTGGAAGTTGGAGAAAACTACTTCACAAGACGGTATATTTGAACGTTCCCTCAGCTGGCTTTGAGCCAGCTGTGTTCAGTAAGGGGAAGCCATGTTTTTCCTATGGATCGAGATCTCACAAGATTTTCATGTTTCTTGAAATCAATCATGGTTTAGAAATTTCTTATTTCTAATAAGTAAGTGTCGAAGTTACCTCATTCAGCATTACCTACCCCCACACACACATTGACGTTATACCACTTTGCCCTATCTGTCATCTCAGTCCCATATCCGTCATCTCAGTCCCATATCTGTCATCTCAGTCCCATATCCGTTATCTCAGTCCCATATCTGTCATCTCAGTCCCATATCTGTCATCTCAGTCCCATATCCGTCATCTCAGTACCGCCAGTTATGCTGAAAACATGTGTAAATATTATCATGTCACTATTATCTATGATATCCCCAGCATCATCTTTCATAGCGCAGCACCTACTTCAACTGAAAACCGTGCCCACAATGTACCCACCTTAAAGTTTGCACCACTCACAATCTGTCTACGCACCCATTTCACTCAATACTGACTGAAAAGTCAAAACAATATTAGAAAAAATACATTCACAATATGCAAAATCAAAACATGTCTATTGTGGCAAGACAGAGTAACAAAACTTGATGTGTTATGTTCAAAAATTTTCTGCCCCCTATGATTTCAAACCATGTAGTAGTTTTACCGATATTAGATCAAAAACAAGACAAATAAAACAAATTTTAAAAAACCTGCCGGTGAAAATGAAATGGTGTATGCTCTTGGGGAGTATGAGATCTCAATCTATCAATCATCTTATTTGAACTGGACAAAAGTGTGGTGACCATGGGGATTTTGAAACTCCTCTTTGTTCTATTGCAAAACTATATTCATAAGCGAACCCACCTGACGTTTGACCAGTCAGATTTAGCATTTCAAAATATGATTATGGCAAGCAACATGAAAACTTTAAATTGGAATTCCTATTTAATTTATCAGATATATCTTCCTAATACAATATATTTTAGAATTTATGCAAATATTTTGCACAAAAAATGAGAGAGAAACACCTTCTTGAGAGAAAAACCTGGGGAAATCACTGGTTATGTCATTAAAAGTTCAAAAAGAAATGGTCCATTTTAGAACAAATATTCTGGCACTATTTTCAATAGCTTAAATACTCATAGCATTATCAGACAGAAGTGAAGGTAACCAGCAAATGCTATACCCACCCATTGCATCCAGAGGGTAATTTTCTTTGGTACAATGTAACATTTGAGTTAGAAAATAATTTGTGAAGTTATCTGTGAAGTTTTATGAAAAATACCATGCTCCACCAATCACCATAGCGGACAAATCTTTCAATCCCAACCAATGATTATCATTATACAGGTATAAACATTTAACTTAAAAAAAGTATTTGATATTAGATACCATACTGATGATTAATCATACCATTTCTTAATTTCTAGGGTGCCAGGCCAGCCTATGGACCAATGGGAGGCCAGATGGCCAATCAGATGGGAGCACCAATGGGAAGTCAGATGAGTTCTCAGATGGCCAATCAGATGGGAGGACCACCAAGAATGGGAATGCCTGCCCAGAATATGATGCCACAAGGAGGAATGAACTATGGACAAGGTAATTAGATAATTAAGAATATTTTTATTGACAACGAGTAACATTACATAAACTGCAAATTTATGAATATAAAAGTCGATGATGAATTGTTTAAAATCGCTATGCAATTGATCACCATAACTGTAAGAAAAAGATTTCTAAAATCCTTTTCTGCATGGCAATCATCCACCAAAATTATTCATTTCAATTAGTCTTGTGTGTCAAGACAACCCTATAAAGACCTGGAATGACATCAACCTAATGCACATCTAGGAATTAGCAGTGTAAAAGTTATAGGGATGTGATTTTGATTTATTCCTGTATGATATATGATCAAACCACTACATCTTTGTCTTTGTCAGGGAATGAAGAATGTGAAGGCAAGAACTTGGGAGGCCTTTGAAATAACTAAATTGTAAAAAATATTTTATAATTTGTTTCATTACATAATTTTTTATAGATAGAAGCCAAAATGTTATTCAGGGATTAAAAATATTGGTCAAAATATCCTATCGATTGAGATGATTTATAAAGAGCAATCCACAATATTTCAGTATGTCATTATTATGTCTTTTATAGAGGTTAAATTCCTTCTTCTAGGTTTTATTGATCTACCAGCAAATTAAATGTCACAATTTTCTTGTTTTTGAAATGTAAATTGGTTTGAACAAGCTCAACTAACAAAGAATGCATTATGTAGACTTGTAGATGAAACTCAAATTGCATAGACATCAATAAAAAATTTGATACTTGTTTCAAATTTAATCGAAATGTTGGAAAAAATAAAAGTGACAAAAGGAAAATTTTAAACCAGGAAGACATTGGCATCCATTCATCAATAAAGACATGTATAATACTCTAACATGATTACCTACTTGATTAATGTGTATTTTATGTAATATTCCCTTGCAGATTTATAACCACGTTTCATTTTTTTATTTTATATTGTGATAAATGCTGCAAAAAAGTGTGTTTCCGTAGCATTCAAGATCTGTATTTCATTATGGTATTTCAGTATCATTTTGAGGTCTTTTTTATGTCAAATATACTTACAGATTTGAATCATTGTTTTTTGGGAGCTTTTAAGAAAACTGAAAATTATCTCAGTCATCATGACTCACTTTGCGGTGATATACTGTAGAATTTAGGGGTGGACATTTTGATGTTGAGGGATGTTATGTTTTTTCTGAAAATAACTGAACAGGGAGGGGTATAGTATGGAGTACATGGGTTCAAAAAGTGGAAATACAGTATATGGAGTATTTTGGTCAGTCTATAATATAATGTAAGGGGTCCCAATTATGATAAACCTAATGGTACAATTAGTGTTTTTGAAACTTGAGAACCGAAATTGTCAGAGGTGATTAGTGAATCGATATTTTCATGTTACATATATTATAGACTAACTATTGATGGTAAAATAACATTGCTTAACAAAATATCCTCCGTCTATTAGCTCTTGTAAAAGTTGAACGGAAAAATATTTTGGATTAATCTAATGGCCAAGTGTTAAAGGGCAGGCCATTCTCAGGATCTAATGGTCAGTCTATTGCTTGAAAATTAAATAAGAAATGTTTTTTCTCTAGTGTCATCAAGTATTCCAAGCACTAGTAAATCTGGAAGCCAGAGTAAGTGGAGATTATGCATGCATGCATCAGAAAATATATCCTTCCAAAATCGCTTGAGTATGATCAGAGCAGGTGAAATACATTTATGGAACATTTAAAAAGTAATAGTACATGTATATTCAATTATGCTACATTGGAAATCATCGTAAGAAAAATATGGACTGATATCATAACCAATAAGATATGTCAATATCGGGGATAATATCATTATTATGGAGAAAATATGGATCATTTTACAGATCATAGTCACGAACAATTTTGATAGTCTTACTATTTTATTTACCTGTCTAAATAAAGCAAAGGATGCTTTTAGGATTCCTAGTTATGGATTAGTACATAATAAAACATATAATGCAAAAAGCCATTTGCAGACACTGGTTACCTTGAATTTAATGTCTCATATATTGGTAGTGTTAGCTAGAAAAATCGCGATCATGCTGAAGTATTTAGGAAGGATATCCAAGCTTAATGCATGCTTATCAGCATTTTTATTACTAATTTTATTTTAGTTTGTCGAGGTATCCCAGGAATATGAACCTCGGGTGTAGTGTGCTATAAATTAATGTAGGTTTACAAGTTTTCATAAAAAAAACTTGTGATTTTAGAAACATGATTTAACAAGTCAGTGGTACATACTATGAGAAGATCAGATTGATCAGAGGGGTACAATTTACCCTGTCTACTCTGTATTATATGTCAATTTATTTAATTTTGTATATTATGGAATCTGTTTTTGAAATTGTGTCAACTTTAGACCTGAATATTCACAGTTGATTCAACCTGCAGTCTGTCTCAACATTGATGTTTAGGGTTACCTTGGTAACTATTATAGTATGTGTGAAGCTTTAAAAATCATGAATATATGTATATGTTTTGTTCTTTTTTGGGTTACCTCAATATGTGATTAATATATATAATGTGTAAAAATAGTAAATATAAAATATGTTGTTGAATTGGATGTATCATTGAATTAGAAATACAGTAAAAAGCATATATACTAACCAAACATCATGATACCTTGAACATTTTAGGTTCTTTCTTGACTACTTTTGCCTCATCCATGATCTATGAAACTGCCAAGCAAACTCACGGTATCATAACATCTGGATAGTAAAATACCATCCTTTCATCTACTCATATCCATTTCAGAGTTCAGAGTGATACTCATTTTGAGTTTAACTGTATTGTGATGTTTTCACTGATACTATTTTCTTTTCTCTATTTTATCCCATATGAGCTGTACTTTGACATGTTTTAACTTAAATTTTATGCTTTTAGATTGATATTTTTTATGTATTTAGTCTTACTCTTACTGTATGAATCTCTTTATTTCATTCTAAACTTGATCTTTTTTTGTACTTTTGGTCTTCGATTCTTACCAATAGAACCACTTATGTTTATAACTGACCACAACAATCCCAGTTGGATCTCAGTAGATCCTATTACTATATATCTATTTTGTCACAGTATATTATAGTTAATAATTTTTTTGTCAATATAGGCATTGGTTCTAGCAAATCTAAAGAAAGTAAGTTGGAGCATACATTTAGAATTGCATGGAGTTTTTTATTCAACATTGCAATATTTTTGTTCGGATTTTTATGGATGCATAATCTACAGGGTGGCCCCACATATTCTCTTGTAACTTCTATATGACATCTACTTATTTTTTCTACTGCTTTATCTCCACTTTGTGTGGGATAAAGTATTATATCTAACTATTATCACTACAACTGTGTCTTTCATGATGTCATGGACAAGTATTAAATAGACAAATGTGGTAGGAAATGTAGTATGCGTTGAAAGTAGCATATGACCCCTATCATATTTGTGTGAAAGTCTCGGAAATGTTCCTGCAACGAGTCAACCACAATTGTGCTAAATTATTCTTTGTGCTTTATTCCATATTTTTGGCAAGTTTCACACTTCAAAACAAAGTTTTTTCAGGAGGTTTCACAAGATGTATCTTGACATTTTTAATGATAATTTAACAAATACATGAAAATAAAGCATATATGGAAAATGAAATTAATACTCCAGAAAGTTTGGAAGTTATTTAAGCAATTGGGGTTTGTTCACTTTATGGGTCCCCCTGTATGTGCTAATGTTCTATGAATGTTCTGTGAGCAGAATACAGAAATGTATATAAATTATATTTTTTCCATGATGGTGAAATTCCCTGCAACCTGATTTGTCCGTGTGACTTAAATATATTCTGTATTTACACACACTTAATTTAGCATGAGATACAGAGTGAAAATTATGTCACTGTTGGGATACGGTTAAGTATCCCAACGCACCGGATTTCTATCAAGGATATGACTGAAACTGAAAAAATCAACAGTGATTATCTTACGCCAACGTGTGCATGATGCATGACCCCATCTTTGATTTTGCTTAAAATTGGGCCATAAGTAACTGATTTAAATATCGGGAAATGATACTGTGATCATGGCAATTAATAATTTTAGGACAAAAACACTCATCCGTGAATATAAGAGAGCAATTTGATGTTCATGACGTTTGTGCCAGCTTTTGGGCTTATTTTTGAGTTTTTCCTTGATCATGGAACAAAACGTTATTCAATGATTTCTTGTGAAATAAGGAAAATATTTTGCCTCCAAAGTCTGCATTTTACTCTGCTAGCGCCTCGTGAAATACAGACTTTCTTGGGCAAAATATCTTCTGTATATCACTCAAATCATTGAATAACTTATAGTATATACTCCTGTGCTTTGCTCACAAAACATTTGTATTGATTTTTCAACTTTCAACTAATTATATGGAGTAAAAAAGTTTAAAAAAGACAGAAGTCATAGATTGTTCAATGGTCTGTGTTTGAGCTTTTGGTCAACCAACAGTTTAATTTTATAGATTCCTTATTTCAGTTTTTGCCTTTTTGTGGTGTGCTTTTGAATTTGTTCATTCATATTAATTTGATTTTATAACTGTACAGCCAGAGTTATAAATGCGTGATGGTCCAGGAGAAAGACTTGGTTGGTCATCCATTTTCTGAAAATGTGAGATTTCATGAGAATTAGAAAAAACTTATAAGTTATAGTTATGATACTATATATCTACTGAACTGCTTTTTAAGAAATCTGAAATTAATTTTATACTATAGTTTAAAAGTGGTTTCTGGATATTTGCTAGAAATTCATTGAGATCTGTAAGCATGCTTATGTTAAAAGCTATATATAGCTGTAAGTGGTCAGATCAATAAATTAACTTCCTCCAAAAACAAATTTACCCCTCAAATTGACCTTCTCAAAATGAAACCTGAACTATTGATTTGTATATATCCAATAAACAGATATAAACAATAACCAATCACAACTTTTGATGGAAGTTGATGTTTTGACCTGACCCCAGACGAGTTCATCCTCCGAACGCAGGGTTCCAGACGAGTTCATCCTCCGAACGCAGGGTTCCAGACATCATCCACTAAATTCCTTTCGGTACGAGTTCTGGAGGCCTGTGTTCAGAGGATGAGACGAGTTGAATGAACAATGTTCATATTTGTTGATATATTAATTGTATCAGGTATGCGAGGTCCAGGGGTTCAGGGCTTACAGGCTGCCTTAGAACAACGTAAACGTGCAACCACACAGAGCACCATGGTAGCAGCCCAAACACAAATTGCAAAGAAGTAAGAGCCATGACCAGCACTAATGGAGCATCTTGGTTTAGATAGAATCTCTACAAATGACCTAATCTACCAGCACTGTTAATGCATGGATTCAGTTGTGATATCTGTGCCATGTCACATAGTTGAAATCTCATGGTGGTTCTATATATTATGATCACAGAATGTAACTGCTCTTTTAAAACCATTTCATTAATTAAGGTTGATCTGCATGATGTTAATTTCTGAATAATTTTCATGAATGTGAATACCGATAAAAGATGGGTGGCATTTTTGCATTTTTATGTGGATACTTATATGTTATGGTCGTTTAAATCCTTTTCTCAATTAATTAATGAAATGTCAGTTCTCAATTATTGGTTTTCAACTTTTTTTTGTTAAAGTGTGAAACTATCTTAGTACAGTTTAAGGAAGCAGAGAGTGACACTAAAGAAAAGCACAGGATATTGTAGTTTCGGTATGTGTAATTGTAACAACAAAATAAAATGTGACCACCATGCGATTTTGACTGACTTTCATGTTACTGACTGCATATGTCCTGTGAATGTTAAATCTACTAATATCTACTATATTACAATTTCAGGTTTTGGTGCATCACTTATAACTTAACATATAACTGATCATAAAAGAAATACCGTCTCTTTCTGACATTTTTGATCAGCATCATTTTCTGTTCAGATTGTCCAGTGACAAAGAATGAGTCTGTTATCATTCTTACTCTATAATAGCCAAATTATAACCAATTTTAGATATTGCCAGGAAAAGATGTAACTTTCCATAGAATGAGTCTGTAATGTCCATACTAAAGAGAGAGATAATAGCTATTCAGATTCAATTAGTTGACAGGGATGGGTAGATATGATTACCCAGAACTGCTTCTTTGATCACTATAGTAACACAGTTTTTGAAGTAGCAATATTTTCCATCACTAAGGTTACAAAAATGAAGACATTGAAAGGCATGTTTTTTTGTCTTTTACGGTCCTATTTTTTCTTTTATTGATTTGACTAAATTCTTCATTTATTCAGTCTAATTCTTCATGACTGAAATAATTACCCTATTTCAGCAGCAAGTATAAGACACTCTGACTAGGACAAGTCATTTTACAGTTTGTGTCGAATGCGAGAATACTGAATTGCAGGTGGCATGTGACAAATAACACCATGCTGTTGAAGTGTATTTACCCCCTCCCTTCTAACTGCATGTACAATTATAGAATACTAATCCACTAACCATATATGTGTTCTAGGCATGCATAGACCTATGGGCCCTATGCATATGGGGCAAGGGGCTGGGGACCCTCGTAAAAGGCCAGCAGATCAACGCATGATACACATGGGTGGCCACCCTGGGGGAAGGTAAGTCAGCATTTAGCAGTGAAGAAAAGCAGCCTTGGCTATCACATATTTAGATTCACCTTGTACTGCGTTATGGTTGTTATCGCACCCTGTACTGCGCTATGGTGGTTATCGCACCCTGTACTGCGCTATGGTGGTTATCGCACCCTATACTGTGGTCTGGTGGTTATCGCACCCTATACTGCGCTATGATGGTTATCGCACCCTGTACTGCACTGATTTTTCATGTGTAATATAACAATCACAGTTTGGTTTAGTGTACATTTGCATATGTAGAAATTGTTATCCCTTTTACAATAGTTTGTTTGATTTTAAATTCCATTGATGATCACTAGGGACCCACTGGCATTAACAATTTGACAAAATGGCACCACTTCAGTCAAACAGTACTGTGAGATGTATTTGTCTTCTGAATTTTTTCTTTCTTTTCTCACTGGTCCATATTTCAATGTCCTTCAGAAAATGTATTTTTACGTTAGGGGGAGGGGGTAAAGCTCCATTTAATTAGGTTACGGACACTGATTTTTAGTTTCCTGGAGATTCATCTTTTGCAATAGTATGATCATCAAATATGCAACAGCTATGTAAGAAAATAGCAGTAGCAGATATTGTATGCTGGGCTTGTACTGCACACTGCATGCAAATCAACAATTTGACTTTCGTTAGAAGGGGGAGGGGGGTTAAGACCTAACTGAATTAATTATGTTTTTATCATACACCAGTGTTTGTTCATCACAAATTCTGGTTCCCAAATACTTGTTATTATAACCATATTGACCAGATATTTTTTAATATATATGGGTGTCCCCATTGTAAAATCCATCCATGGTCAAACGAGGATCGTAATTCTCATTACCAGTTGGGTCTCCAGTGATAAACATATGGTGTTAAGTGTACTGTGAAAAAATGCCCAAATTTATGTTTGGAAAACATTTTAAAGTCCCAATTGGATAAAAGTTTGGATGCATTCACATTTATTTAAAGAATACACTTTAATGTCACTTATAGGACAGGGGAGAATGTGGTATTTGAAAGACCCTTTGTTCAGAGGTAGTTATTTGTGCTATGTAAATATCACAATGGTTATGATATGAGGAAATATCACACGATGATTCATAGTTTGCATCATGTCTCAGTATTCTTAGGCTCCCCTTCCCCATCAGGCAGGGGCACTGGAGCTTGATGTGAAACTAGAAGCTTCTTATCATTTTCTCATAGCAGATGCAACACTTTTTGGCCTGTCTACAGACCAATGATTTTTTGATGTAGAATTATTTTTCAATAGACTAGATGCGAGTAGATTTAATCTTGATTTACGTCATTAAATATTCAGAATTCAGTCAAAGTGATATCATATTTGAAATCTACAAGTAAAAGTACATCTAAAAATATGGTTACAGATATTGTTTATCAACTTTGAAAATTTAGTTTTTTTTGAAAATGTAATTTCTAGTTCGGGGAGATTCCCCATAGAGCCAATGTTATAAAATCAGAAAAAGTTAAATATCTTTTCTTGTAATGGACAGATAATATTTTCTTTAACTGGACATATTTTAATTTGCATTACTATTAGATACATAATGGTGATATGAAAATTGAACCGCTGAAACAGATGAATATTAAGTTAAAGGGAACTTTCTCCTATACCCGCCATGCTATTTGACCCGAACGAGCCACCTGGTGGTGAAACTGGTAACTACCTACTCGCATCTGAGTCATTAATTGGTTTCTTTAAGTGTTGTGTTGTGATCAAATGTGATAATGAAGTAAGAATAGAGTGAATCAGGGTTTTGACTTTTTCTATGACCATTTTGATAATATTCTCAATTATACCACTTATTTAATACCATTTAACTCTGTATAACACACATAGATTTTTACACATTTAGCATTACCCACTCACAGTCTATCATGGAGTGTTCCAAAAGTAACTGGACTGATTAATCCATTGTTTTTGAATGTCTCTCATATAATTTTGAAACGACCATTCACCTTTAACTCTAAATACATTTTCACCCAAAAATTAGAAATGTTTTATTTAGTCTTTGTATTCTGTGAAATTAGTTTAATTCCATCTTGTTTTATGTGCATCAATCGATTGCTTCATATAAAAAGATCATATATGTTGATTAATAAGATATGTTCGATCTTAACTGTGTGGTTTGAGTGAATTTTATCAATAATAGTTTAAAACTTGGAGTGTAATAAAAAAACATTTTGTCTATATTTCAAAAATGATTATTTGTAATTTTACAAATCAGAATAACAATTGTAATAAGATGACGTCACATTTTGAAAACAAATATCAGAAAAGTATTTTTTAATAATGAAGTAACAATCTTGTTAGAAATTATATAAATAAATTGTTCTGATCTGGGGTTCATAACAGAAACTTTGTCAAGAAGTAATGACATCATTATAAGTGAATCGTGTACTTTTGCAATTCTTAACTTTGCAAAGTTTCCGTTAATGGCCCCCTATTACTATTATTAATTCATATTTTTAGCAAAAAGAAGAAAAAGATGGCTGATAAAGTGTTGCCTCAAAAGGTAGTTGAAAAATTGTTTCCATTATTTATTGCTTTTCCCTCGTACACAATGAAAAAATTACCAGGTTGCATGTTCAATAAGGTCATGGAAAGTTATCTTAAATTAAGATGTATGCCTTAATTGCCTCTAAATCATTTTATGTCTCCACCACATTTGACCACCACAAGTGGTGACATGTTATTATTGTCTCCAACTTTTCTATGGATGGTGTTTGGAGCTCAGAGTCTGTAAAAGGGGTGGCATTTTGCATGTTAATTCATTGTACTAACATTGCTGGGTTCATTTTCAGGTGCGAGATCTTGTCCCAGAGTCCCAGGCCTATATGGATCTGTTAGCTTTTGAACGAAAACTTGACCAAACCATTATGCGGAAGCGTTTAGACATTCAGGAGGCCCTGAAAAGACCCATGAAGGTAACATAATGTGTGTTAAATATGTTTTTTTTGCTTACACATTAATTTTAGCATGTCATTTATAAAATTTTACCCATGAACATTTATGAAATAGAGACATCATAGAGCAAGATTATGTGACTTTGTAAAAATTGAGTGCAAAAATTAAATATAAAGAAATTCTAGGGTATTGGTGTTTAAATTGCCAATTTTGTAAATCCTTGTATTAAGTTGAAACTCTTATTTATAGCAAAAGAGAAAGCTGAGAATTTTCATCTCAAATACATTCTTTCCGGGAAAACCTGAAGCAGAGGAGGGTGATGAGACTGCTGTTGCATCCTGGGAACTTCGAGTCGAAGGCCGTTTACTGGAAGATGTAAGATTAATCATAATTCAACTACTGTACTTCTACTTAATTTGGTGGCCATTTTAATTTGGTAGATCTGCCAAATTGTTAAAGTCTGCCAAATTAAGAAGTCATCAAATGTTCAAAACAACAAATCCACCAAAATAAGTAGCGCCAAATTAAGTAGAAGTACAGTATAAATGAATTTAGGTCAATATTTTTTTGAAACTCTTGGGATATTTTGGTTGACACACCTGCATTCATAAATCCCATATCTTTTTGTATTTATATTCAGTTTTACCCCTTTCGGTAGCAAAGCAATTATCCCAAATGCTTACCTATACATTCAGGGGGAAATGAAAATTACATTAAATAACCCATGGAAATTCAATTCTAATCTAAGTTTGCTGAAGCCTTAAAGTTCTATGTACTATTTTCAGCCAAGTGGCAAGATGACGACACCAGCTCCTCAACAAAAGCGTAAATTTTCATCCTTCTTTAAAAGTCTTGTGATTGAGTTGGACAAAGATCTATATGGGCCTGATAACCACTTAGTAGAGGTATGTATTATGTAAACAGTAGTCTCATTACAAAGACTTGTATATATGCAACAATAGTTTCATTATATTGGGTTTATTACACTTGAGTGATTCCTATTTTTTTTTAAATTAAATTAAATACTAATTTTATCTACTTTACAAATATACAGGGTATGCAGGGTGCAATTATTTTCAGCAGGGTGCCATGCATTTTCATTAAGCACCTAGTTACTTCAATTCTTTGGTTACTGTGATTATTCATGTTTACGAGATAGAATGTATATATGTATATTTTCGTTTGAATCACCATTGCGGTGGTTCTCGAGGCAAGGGTAAACTTTTGTCCATGATAATAGCATATAATCCTATTTAAAGGGTCAATGAGCCGATAACTTCTTCTTAGACATACTCAGCCTAACTTAAATTGTTGCTTGCTACTACATATTTGCAATCATAAACTAACAGCTTCGTTATGAAATGTCATAACTTCATTTTTGTCATGATAAAATAAGATCATTTGAGGCTAGTCTAATCAGTTATGAATTCATATTTCTAAAATATTCCCTTCACTGGAATTATATACCATATGAAAATACATGAACTCAGAAAGAGAGATTTTTCAAATTGGCTGGTTTCAATAGATGTTTCCGATAAATCGTGCCCTCTTTTGATCCATCACGGAAACTATAACTTATTGGCTAGATTGATGATGTCATTGGTTGTAGGTAGCAAACTGCCCATTCAAAAATGGTATTAACTTTTTGCTAATTTTATAAAGTACAACCTATGACATCATCAATCTAGCCAATATATTATGGTTTCTCTGATGGATCAAAAGATGGCACGATTTATCGGAAACGTCTATTGCCACAATTTTTGATTTTTCTTATTATTTTCTAGTCCATGTCTGTAGTGAACCCCTTGCAATAGGCACTCATATTTGATAAAATGAATAAACAAAGTATAGCATGTTCTTTTATGACATCACAAAAACATGTGTTGAATGATTATTGGATGTTATAGTGGCATCGCAAAGCTGACGGCCCTCGGGTAAAGAGGGCTGGGGACTCAAATGTAAGTCAGCCATTGAGCAGATGAGTTATGTTGTAACATCTATTTTGTACTTATTCATATAGTATTGCTTGTAAATGGTGCATGATTGTTCTTATTGTATATACATATGTATATATACAGTTGTGTATATACTATAGGGCCCTCTGCTTGAGATTTTCCTATATCCGCAAATGCACACAGAGACTTGTATAAGTTATGGTGCACTAAATGAGTAGTAAGTTCTCTTAAATACTGAAATTTACACAGCCTTTGCAATGTCGTATTAATACGGTGTATATGTTGTTTAATTTTTACATGTTTTTTTGTTGTTATAAGTTTCCAAATTAAATGGTGTAAATATCTGGATCTTGTACCAATTTGACTTGGTTATTGAGAAGGAAATCTTATACATTGTATATCTTTCAATTTCATCATCCAGTACTCTATGGCTGATGTCAGTTGCAATTAACCCTTTGCTATACAGATGAATAAATAGATGGTAGCATATGTGTTGGTAGGGCTAGATATACAACAGTTATACAATTGGAAAAACTGTTAAAACTTCATTGGCATATAACTAGATGATCTTGTTGTCACGTGGATTGAGATTTAACCTCAAAATTGTGGTCCTTAAAGGCCCCATATAAAGTTTAAACCACTTTGGCTTATATTGTTGTCTTACCCAATGTTATCAAAGTCTGATATGTGAAACTTTTTATTTTAATTTCAAAAAGTGGTTTTTGAAGGACTTTTTGTTCGAAAAATTGTGAATTTCTTTAAAAACTAACGTTTAGAGGTTACACGTATCTTTAAATAGTGCAATAGCGTCATTTCGGAGGGCAATATAGTGAAATATTGGACCGAGTTCAATATTTCACTAAATCTTACACACTGAACGATATCTAGTTTCCTGGGAAAATTGCCGGTCATGAATTGCATTCTTGACCGGCAATATGGACCGCCACTATGACGTCACATATTGCTCAGGTCGATATAGTAAAATGAATGCCTTCTAAACTAGCACTAAAACCCATAGAACTGGCCTGGCAAGGTTGTAATAATAAGCAATAATTCATACCAATGCACAGCATTCATCCTCACATGTTTATTGCCGAAAAAATTAAGAAAATTGGTACATAAATAAGCGAGAAATGAAATCATCAGTGCCTGAAAATGGTTCAGAGAAAAATGCATTTCAAAATTTTTAATTCTCATAGAAACCAATTGTACAATAATATCTAAAACATAATATATTCTTCTTTTTAACTTGGTTAGGCAATCAGCATTATTACCACCTTGCCAGGCCAGTTCTAAGGGTATATATTTTCAAAAATCACATGGAGACTTTGAAAGAACAAATCACATAATTCAAATATATTATAAGAAAATGTAAATCTTTTGTGGTAAAATATGCAAATCTCTTAAAATCTCAACTAAAAATTATATAGGAAATGGTTAATTGGCAATTCTAACAAGTTTGTTTGAGCTAAAGAATTCCATCAATATCCAGATTTTTTTGATATTCCAAATTTTTGCTATATATTGATCGTAAAAAGATTTTTTTTCAATTGAAAATGAATTTTATTTATATTACAATCATCATGGGGAATAAACGATAGAGTATTCATAATGTCACAAAATAGCATGTATATTGTATCTAATTACAACCTACTTGGCAATGGCATGACTGTGCTTAAACGCATGCTTGGAAAACCAAGGTGAAAGACTATCTATGCTGCAGAGGCAGTTCTTCAAAAAATAATATATACAAATGCAATTGCTTCATGATTTTTATTTTATGATGATTGACATATCCAATGCATGATTTTTCAAGTTCACAGACCAACAAAGTCAACAGAGCCTTTCTCCAGACATGTATATGTCATTCACTCTATTCTTAATGATGGAGTGAGCCAAATAATTGCTTTCAATATTAATACATCCTCCGATCACAGGGCTTCAAAATCCAGAATATATTCTTTCTTTTTACCCCCTGCGATAAGTAGTTAGCATTTCCCCGATTAAGAACTCGCAATCTGATTGGATGTCGCAACACTGCGACACAGAAATCATGTATTAGTCATTGCGCATAATCAGATCACGTGATTCAGTTTAATTGGGTGCTTCTAAATTGGTTATAGCAGGGGGAAGAAGGAGGTACGGATTCTGGATACCTGCTTAGGAGGATGTATTAGTAACACCTAAAGAAGAAGGGATAAAGATGAGTAGAGAGAAAGATTTGAAAAAATGTCAGAATTTAGCAATGTCTTTTTATTACTCTTTTTTTATTTAAAGGTTGTCCTTACTTACACCAAAATATACAGGGTGATCCAGAAGTAACGTCAAAGACATTGTAATTTCAAAAGTATTCATCAGATCTTCATGAAATTTGGTATACATGTACCCACAACATTTCTGAGTTACCATCTCAAAGATTGGAATTGAATCATTTCATTGGTTGAAATTATGGTTGCTATAGTAACCCGATATCGCGTAACCCGGGGCAAATTGAAGAGAAACCATAACGTTTTTGTGAATTTCTCTAATTTAAAAAGTCAGTAACATTTGAAAATGTTCATTGTTTGTTTTCTATGATTTTTATATTTGTTGCCATGGTAACAAATATGTAATAGTTGTGATGTCACAATAGGCATTCATAAAAAGCTTTCAATTTCTTTGAATTGCTTCCATCATCCATGACAAATACTAACATGACCAAGGACACTAACCCACCCAATTCAAGATGGCGCCAAGTCAGAGTAAAATAGAGCAAAGAACAAACATTAAGTTCTGTGTAAAGTTGGGGAAAGGTGTAAAAGAGACTATAAGACAGATAAAGAAGGCATATCGTAAAGCTGCCATTGCTGAGAGAAACATTTACAGGTGGTTTAACAAGTATTCCAGTGGATATGATGAAGTGGTAGACAAGCAGCGAGGAGGCAGGCCAGTGTCGTCATTCGATGATCAAACCATCAAAGCAATTGAAGCTGATGTTATGGACAATAGGCAAATTTCTATCAGAGAATTGGCTGAAAAACACGATCTGAGCTATGGGACTGTGCAACGGATACTGACAAAGAACTGTCTGTTAAAGAAGGTGTCTGCTAAATGGGTGCCGCATGACTTGACACAGGAGCAGAAAGACCGGCGTGTTAAGGCTTCAAGGGACTTTCTTGCAAAATATCGGAGAGATGGAGATGACTTTCTTAACAAGATCATTACGAGTGACGAATCATTGCTATCATTCTACATCCCAGAGACCACGCAACAAAGTTCATCGTGGAAACATGACAACTCCCCAACACCAACCAAGCCTAAAATAGTACCAGGAATTCCACAAAAGAAACAAATGGTTGTGACATTCTTTGACATTAGAGGAATGGTGTTAACCCATTTTGTTCCCATTGGCCAGAGAATTAATGCCGTTTACATTGCAAAGGTAAGATATCATTTGTTCTAATAATACATCATACTGTGAATTTTATTTTTAAATTAAAGTATTTAAATGTTGTTCACTGTCAATATAATTATAACTCCATGGCCATGATTCAAATCCAAATCCAATCAATGAAACAACTGGTTTAACAACCATTAAACATTTGTTTTTCAGGTTCTGAAGCGTGATCTTCAACGTTCCCTGAGGAAAAAGCGTCCCGGACATCTGCAGCAGTTTATCTTGCATTGGGACAATGCCCCTACGCACACTGCAATCCTGACCAGCAACACAGTCCAAACACTTGGATTTCAACAACTTGAACATGCCCCTTATTCACCTGATCTTGCCCCCAGTGACTTTTATTTGTATGGGGAACTAAAAAGAAACCTTAGTGGAAATAATTTTCAATCCTGTGAGGAATTGAAAAATGCCGTAGTACTAGCCCTACAAGGAATGAGTTCTAATGGATTTAATTCTGTGTTCAAGGAATGGGTATCCAGACATGAGAAATGTGTTGCAAATGGTGGCAATTATGTAGAATGAACTATTATTAGTAACTGTGCAATAGTATGATTTATATTGTTGTGAAATAAAATGTTGAGGATATAACAATTTCAGATCTTGTTGATATTTTGAGATTACGCATTACACGTTAAGTAATTTGCCCCGGGTTACGCGATATCGGGTTACTATAGCAACCATAATTTCAACCAATGAAATGATTGAATTCCAATCTTTGAGATGGTAACTTAGAAATGTTGTGGGTACATGTATACCAAATTTCATGAAGATCTGATGAATACTTTTGAAATTACAACATCTTTGACGTTACTTCTGGATCACCCTGTATATTTGATTATAAATATGATTTATATTTGTTTATTTTAGTGGCACAGGACTGCAACTACACAGGAAACTGATGGGTTTCAGGTCAAAAGACCAGGAGACCAAAATGTTAAATGTACAGTCCTCCTTATGCTGGATTACCAGGTATGTTGATGTTAAAGCTTCATTCTAATAATAGGTGCATATTTGCGACTATGATTCTGATTGGCTGAATATTTGTGAGGAGTGCGAGCCAAAAAGCGAGCAAGAAGCTTCAAATAAAAAAAACATTTTTAAAGTTCTTTTCTTCTATTAATAATGGTTCCATTTTTATTAGTTATCGCACATGCACCCCCAAATTATATTAAATGTAGTGATGCTGCCTTTATCTTTAAGAGCTCAGCAACTAAGCTATATCCACTAGTACATAATAATGGTTATCTGGAAATGATAAATAAACCTTTTTGTCTTCAGCCTCTGCAGTTCAAACTGGACCCACGTCTAGCCAGGCTGCTGGGAGTTCATACACAGACTAGGCCAGTCATCATTAATGCTCTCTGGCAATACATTAAGACACATAAACTCCAGGACGAACATGAAAGAGAATTCATCAACTGTGACCGTTACTTAGAGCAGGTAAGGAAGTCCTCACTTTATTTTATTATCAGTTGAGGTCATGTTGAAGTCTCTTCATAAAAATGGCAATTTAAAAATAGAGATTGGTGCAGGTCACTTTGACTCTGGCATTGTGCTGGTTCAAATGCTTGAAATCAACCACTCAGTAATGGCAATCCATCAGTTGGAAAGTTGAAAGCCCATTGTTGCCACTGTAAAGGCTTGTGAGATCTGCCATGTCATGTCCACCCTTGAAGGGAATATATAATTCACCAAGCAACATGTCACCTGACCAACCATGATGAAAAAGCGTTTTAAGATTTTTCACAAATTTTTCTTTTATTGACTATTGCTTTACACTCTGTTCTTTGGAAACACTATATCCATTAGAAACTCTATTGTATGAATGTTTTTTTCTTCTCCAGATATTTGATACATCCAGACTGAAGTTTGCAGAGATTCCACAGAGACTGCACCCATTATTAATGCCCCCTGACCCCATAGTTATAAACCATGTCATCACGTAAGTTATAACATCTTCATCCAGATTTAAATACTTAATAGACAAGAAATCAACAAACTAAATCAAAATGTAATTTATTTGAAATATTTTATGAATGTTTGAAAATGAAGATCAGGACTTGTGAGGGTAGTTATTTCCCCTTTCATGATCCTTTTTATACAATGTTGATTTTTTGAGATTTTCAATTTTTAAGTAGTCCTTTTTCAGATATTGTGCATGCAATTGTTAATGATGCTATGTGGACACTTTATAAGGTAATCAAAGATGTAGTGAAACAAAGGTTTAATATCTTTCATGGTCCTTTTCAGTGTTGATGGCCCAGATGCTAAGAAGACAGCCTGCTATGACATTGATGTAGAAATAGACGACACATTGAAGCAACAGATGAACTCATTCCTCCTATCAACACAGAGTCAAAATGAAATAGCAACACTTGATAATAAGGTATACACTCCATTCTTGAAGTTTTACACAGAGTCAAAATGAAATAGCAACACTTGATAATAAGGTATACACTCCATTCTTGAAGTTTTACATAGAGTCAAAATGAAATAGCAACACTTGATAATAAGGTATACACTCCATTCTTGAAGTTTTACACAGAGTCAAAATGAAATAGCAACACTTGATAATAAGGTATACACTCCATTCTTGAAGTTTTACATAGAGTCAAAATGAAATAGCAACACTTGATAATAAGGTATACACTCCATTCTTGAAGTTTTACACAGAGTCAAAATGAAATAGCAACATTTGATAATAAGGTATACACTCCATTCTTGAAGTTTTACATAGAGTCAAAATGAAATAGCAACACTTGATAATAAGGTATACACTCCATTCTTAAAGTTTTACACAGAGTCAAAATGAAATAGCAACACTTGATAATAAGGTATACACTCCATTCTTGAAGTTTTACACAGAGTCAAAAAGAAATAGCAACACTTGATAATAAGGTATACACTCCATTCTTGAAGTTTTACACAGAGTCAAAATGAAATAGCAACACTTGATAATAAGGTATACACTCCATTCTTGAAGTTTTACACAGAGTCAAAATGAAATAGCAACACTTGATAATAAGGTATACACTCCATTCTTGAAGTTTTACACAGAGTCAAAATGAAATAGCAACACTTGATAATAAGGTATACACTCCATTCTTGAAGTTTTACACAGAGTCAAAATGAAATAGCAACACTTGATAATAAGGTATACACTCCATTCTTGAAGTTTTACACAGAGTCAAAATGAAATAGCAACACTTGATAATAAGGTATACACTCCATTCTTGAAGTTTTACACAGAGTCAAAATGAAATAGCAACACTTGATAATAAGGTATACACTCCATTCTTGAAGTTTTACACAGAGTCAAAATGAAATAGCAACACTTGATAATAAGGTATACACTCCATTCTTAAAGTTTTACACAGAGTCAAAATGAAATAGCAACACTTGATAATAAGGTATACACTCCATTCTTGAAGTTTTACACAGAGTCAAAATGAAATAGCAACACTTGATAATAAGGTATACACTCCATTCTTAAAGTTTTACACAGAGTCAAAATGAAATAGCAACACTTGATAATAAGGTATACACTCCATTCTTGAAGTTTTACACAGAGTCAAAATGAAATAGCAACACTTGAAAATAAGGTATACACTCCATTCTTGAAGTTTTACACAGAGTCAAAATGAAATAGCAACACTTGATAATAAGGTATACACTCCATTCTTGAAGTTTTACACAGAGTCAAAATGAAATAGCAACACTTCATAATAAGGTATACACTCCATTCTTAAAGTTTTACCATCTTGAAGTTTTTGTGATGGGGGTTGGTGTTTGACGTCCGGCAGTTGGTGTCTGTTACAAATTCTTACAACTTCCAATAACTTAACAAATACTGTTTAGACTGACTTCACTTATTTTTATGCTTTCACAAGAACTTGTATTTCTTTCCTATCGCATGAAACTTATTAAAGGCCATGCCAGCTACTTTTGACATCATTGAGATCCATCAAAACTGTATATTTAGTTCCTTCATTCAGAGCTATACAAGGCACTCACCCTCAGGGTACTGGATGTCAGACAAAGTGGCAAAATATATTTCACATTTAAGCTTAAGCTGTGACTGAGCCAACTTTATGGGAGGAGTGAGTAACCAACTTGAATATGTTATAAATGACTCGTTAAACCAATTTCTTGGAAGGTGTTGTCAATAAGCCTTTAATGTGATATTCTATTACAGATTCATGACACAGTGGAGACCATCAATCAGCTGAAGATCAACAGAGAATTCCTCCTAAGCTTTGCTAAAGACCCACAGGAGTTCATCAACAACTGGCTCTGTTCTCAGAGTAAAGATCTCAAGGTATGTACATGTGACCAGAAAAGTCTGAAATCCATGCACAATCTATATGGGGGTCCCCCACTTGTTTGAATTATAATCAGAAAATTGAAAATTTGAAAGAATATGTTGAAGAATCTCGTCATTATCAATGATTGATAAAATTAAGTTAAATCAGTTTCTCAAAATGCAAAATCATTCATTCATAAATTAAAGAATGGTTGATTGATCTTTGAGTACATTTGTTTTTCTGGTTGTCAATTCTAAATTTTTCTTCATATTACCCAGTGTATAAACATATAGTCAACTCAGTTTTGATTGGCTAAGTATTGTTTTAATCTAATTATTTTGTATTGTTTGATTGTAGACTATGACAGATGTGGTCGGCAACCCAGAGGAAGAGAGAAGATCAGATTTCTACTTTGAACCTTGGGCCCAGGAAGCTGTTTGTAGATACTTTTATGGCAAGGTAAGGTCATTGATAATGTAAAGCATTAGCCTCATTGCCATGACAACATCAATTGAGAACTTATCTAAGACAGTCAAATGAAAATTAAATATAGTTAATGGAAACACAGAATGAAATAGTGGTGATGTGAGTAGGTAGTTACCAGTTTCACCACACATTCACGCAGGTGGCTGATTCGGGTTCATTAACATGGCAGGTATATAAGAAAGATCCCTTGAACTTAAATATTATCAGTTTAAGTTAAATTTTCATAAAATCGTTATGTGTCCGATAGTTATACAAATGAAAATATGTCCAGTTAAAGAAAATATTATCTGCCCAAAACAAGAAAAGATATTTCACTTTTTGTTGTTTTGTAACATGGGGTCTATGGGGAATCTCCCCGAACTAGAAGTCACATCTTCAAAAAATAGATTTTCAAAGTTGGTAAATACTTTTTTAAACCACAGCTGCAATTTCACTTGTAGACTTCAAATACCTATGATATTCTTTTAACTAGATTTTGAATATTTAATGAAGTAAATCAAGATTATTTCTATTCTGTGCTAAGGGCTGATGTGAAAAAGTCAGTCTACCGTAGTGGGATCGTACAATATATAAGTTTGTTATTATGTCACCATATTCTTATAGTCTCCAGATTTTGGTGTTCGGCATTTGCTGTTTGCTGTTCAGCATCTGTAACGAATGGCAGGTGGTGAAATTTTGCATGTTAGCGACTTGTTTATAGTAAATTTTTTGTATGTTCCTTCAGGTGAACCAACGTAGAGCAGAACTTGAACAGATGTTAGGGATCAAATAATAGATGGCGCTTTCAAATTTCCGCAAACAGAAATACTGACATTGTATATACAATATGATACTGCAATACAACTAGCCTCAAAAGGCACCGTGGAGGATAAGGGACTCATGTATACAAGGATAAAACACCTCATCATTGAAATGCCTGTCTTTCCAAGTCTGTCAGCCTGATATTAATATTTTCCTTACATTTCAAAAATTGGATATTTTATTTTTGGAATTTGAATTTTATAATGTCATACTTTTTTTTACATTGAAAAAAGCTCAGCCAAGAGCTCTGAGAGTGTAATAATTATTATTATTAGATATTGTAATCAATATTGTAAAATCATATTATTAGGTGAATAAACATGTGAAGAAAACATATTCAAGTATTTGATGTCAGTTCAAAGTTGGCTGTGTCTGATGTTAACCAAAACTTTATATCGTTAAAATGACCTGACATCAATTTGAATTCCCTGCGATGTCACATGGTTCTTTTACTTGTATAACACTCTTTGAACATCTGCTGAAACGTGAAGTACATTATATTGCTGAACCAATTACCAGGTTAGGTCTCGATTTTAAAGGCTAATGCATTATGGGTATAGGACCTCTACTTTAAAAGATATTTTTTATAATGTTGCCTTGTCATGAGTGTAGATTTTGCCACTTGCCTGGTTGTTTCTTTTATGAAATGTTCAAAATTATGAATGATATGATAAAATATTTTGTTCGGCGATATATATGATATGGAGACTGTATATAATTAGGTAAAAATAGAAGCCTTAACAACCGACATTGTACATTGCCCTTTTCTGTTACTCATCGGTTCTTGACCGACATTCTAAATTTAGTGCACTGTCAATGTGATTCATATTGCAGAGGAGCATACAGCCTCAAGAAATGCCAGATTTTGTGGAGACCTTCAATTCATATAAATGGTCCAAACACCTATTTGATCTTATTTTCTTGCAGAAACACACTAGACTGTAAATGTCAAGAACTGGGGCTGTCGAGAATTGAGACTGTTACCAGATTAATGACCTATTTGATATGATAAGAACATTTCCTCTTCACATTAATGTAGAATGAAAGTTAATCATTAGTAAATCTACAAGTATTAATGAATGGTACTTGTAGTGTTTGTCAAGGTCTCCCAATGAGGGTTTGAAAATAAGGTTGCAAACTTGTGTCATATCCTAGGGTTGCTTGCATAAATACATGTCAAAGTTTCAAAACTTTATGTTATTCTACATTTGATAACATTAGTGGTTTACATACAAAATTGATTTATTATTTCTTGTGTAACATCATTTCCCATTTGTCATTCTGTTGCGCTGTTGTGTAACGTCATTACCCCTTTGTCATTCTGTTGCGCTGTTGTGTAACGTCATTACCCCTTTGTCATTCTGTTGCGCTGTTGTGTAACGTCATTACCCCTTTGTCATTCTGTTGCGCTGTTGTGTAACGTCATTACCCCTTTGTCATTCTGTTGCGCTGTTGTGTAACGTCATTACCTCTTTGTCATTCTGTTGCCCTCGTGTGTAACGTCATATTCTCTTTTTCATTCTGTTGCCCTCTTTCCTTGTGTAACGTCATTTCCCCTTTGTTATTTTGTTGCCCTCTTTCCTTCAGTTACACCCGTTCCTCTTTTTATTGTATTGTTCTCAAATTCAACACTTTCCCATTTGTCATTCGTTTGCTCGATTTTCTTGTGTAACGTCCTCTCCCCTTCCTCGGTAGCACCCTGTTTTTCATTCTTTTGCCCTCATTCATCAGTTACACGACATACACAATTAGAAATACTGAAACATGTTTATTTTACATTTAAAGTACGCTGGTGTGATTATTCAATATCGAAATAATTCATAAATTTTCTAAATGCTAAGATTCCACCTTCAACCGTCATGTCACCTTTTGCATATGCTACTCCTGGTGACCGTTCTTTGGCTGCAAACTCTCTATATATTTGTTCGTCCATTGTGGCTTTTATATCCCAACCGTCCACTTCATAATCCGTTACCTCTAATACACAGTTTCGTAAATGTAAACTAAATGTTGTATTGGTATCAGGAAAATGTAAAACTAATGTCTGATTCACTCCAATTGCATCTTCTGCTTTAAGTCTTCTTGATAATGCGTCCATGATGTAATTGACTGGAATGATTTTGACTAAACTTGATCTTTGTACTGGATTGGGTGCTATAGTCGGGATCTCCCCGCTACGTTCCAAAGCCCTGGTCAAGTAATAGTTCCTAGCGTTTGGGCTAGTCTGGCGTACGCCTAGACCTTGTAAGGCTTTGATGTTGATCTCTTGTGCTTTAGCGTTACTTGCGTCTGTTATGAGGACACTAGATGACAATTCTAGGGCCCATTGTAGATCGTCTTCCTGGAATGCTTCCATTGCAGCAGCTACCGCAGCGTCAGTTCCTCCTGCTAGTTTCACTATACGAGAAGCTTTATCGCGTGGGGATAGGGGATTCAGGTCAACTGGATCGCCACTAAACCAGCCAATATATGAATCAAACACACCTCGAACGCTCCATGCCACTGTACCGTAAAACTCCTGGAGGAATGGGTTAAATGCTAAATTGTCCGGTAAGTGTACCCTTTCTACGATTTCATCAGGGTAAAGACCTTTATTTATCCAACGAACGGTTTGATCATGGACGAATTGAATAGCATCGCGGTAGTCTGTGAATATCTTGAAAATAAATTCCACGCCCTCTAATGGTTTGGTGTGACTCGGTACAAGGAATTGAGGTCTCAAATGGCGCATCTTGTCGATAGAGTTCACCCAATCTATAGTGTTTCTCGGTGGTGTTCCTCTAATGGCGTAGAGATTGGGGAATGCCTTGTAAATATCGTCAGCCGGGAGAAGTACGCGTTTTTCTGGTATCCACACACAGATCTGGTCGGGAGTTTCTCCCGGCACGTGAATTAACCTAAGTGTAAGTCCTGAAACAAATGGATAGACGTTGGTATTTCTTTCCTCATAACCGTAAAAAGACGTATGGTCCCCTTACGTTTTGGACCATACTAATAAAATGTAAAGTTGGGCCATATCAACCTCTCCCTAGAGAAATGCAAATCTGGTCCAAAACTGAATTAATAAAACGAATATATGTGTAAGGAACTTAATTCTTTCACGAGTTGGAAATTACGGCTTTTCCGTTGATCGCATTTATATTGTAAATTCTGAATTAATTTGAAACATTTCAAATCCTGTGCTAAGGACTGATATGTGAGTTTTAAAACATACCTGCTATAGTGATTGTTTCGTCATTAGACGACATCAAACGATTTGGGAGAACTATACCAAACTCCACACTATGGCCCAGTCTTGGTCCAATACCCGAGTTCAGATGGCCCCTTCCCTCCAAGAAGACCCCGAATTGGCGCATGGCCCGGATGTAAGTGATATGATTGACGACTGTGAAGACTCGTTTGAACTGTGTGGGTAATGTGTAGTGGGACCAGATATCTGGCGGATTGGCTGGGTCCTCAATAAATGCCTACAAAGAAACAAAGGAAACAATTCCTTCTTTAAACACCAACTCCAGCAATATCAACCCTGCACTACTCCTGTATATACTTTGTTATACTGTATTTGGGAACCATCTTGCTGCTTGTTTACATGTAGTTTTTTGGCTCACACAGTGAGCCTATGGGATCGACCAGGCGTCCGTCCGTCCGTCTGTCCGTCATCATTGGCCGCACAAATTAAAACTGCTATTCGTATTGAGTCATGTTCACATTCATTTTATGCATATCCATAATGCCTGTTTGACCTGTCATCGCCATTTCTCAAGTTCGCCCGGTTTCCGAGAAATTGCCGATTTTGACGTCAAAAAGTCAAATTAATTGACTAACTGAACAATTGACTAACTGAAACTGATAGGCAATTTAGCAAATCTGACTTGAGAAACTGAGTACTGAGTAACTAAAAAACTGACTCGGTCTTAAACTGAATACATAAATTGAGTAATGAATAACTAAGAAACTGAGTAGTAAACGAAGTCCGTCCGTCAACATTGGCCGCACAAATTAAAACTGCTATTCGGATTGAATCATATCCACATTCATTTTATGCATATCCACTACACTGTGTGAACACAGGACCGTGGGTCCTTTATTTTACTTTTAGATGTAGGTCTGAAAATGTAACGATCAAAAAGGATGTCAATTTTTATGAAGGTCTGTCCGGGTGTCTGCTAATACAATGTTCATCTCATATACATGTCATACAATGTACGCTTCGGAAATTACTATCGCACTGGTGATCCGCTCGATTACGCTGGTTACCGAAACGAGTCGTTTCGGTAACAAAATGTCGGAACGTTGAAGGTACGATTTTTCTTTTTTCCTTATTTCGCGCGTTGTAGGCAGAATCCCCACGACGTTTTTTTTTCACAAACGTATATCAGTATCATATGTTTCAGAAAATCCACATGTAAATGCGAAAATTAGCTCAGAAGACAACAGAATCGTCGATATAATTCCTCACTTAAGTTACAGAAACGGTTTGGGTTAAAAGTGCAGATCTCAACTGTTTTTCGAAATATCGTTTCTGTAACTTAAGTGAGGAATTAAATCGACGATTCTGTTGTCTTCTGAACTATTTGTTCGCAAATATGTACATTTTCTTAAACATATGATACTGATACACGTTTGTGTTAAAAATCTTCTGAGAATTCTGCCTTCAACGTGTGAAATAAGGAAAAAAAATCGTACCTTCTATGTTCCGACATTTTGTTACCGAAACGGTACCAGCGTAATCGAGTGGATCACCGGTGTATCGGTTAAAAACAAGGTATATTGGCATAGGTCCTAGTTAATCACCCCGTTTACGCTACCCAGTTATCTTACAGTCTTAGATTATTTTAAATTAAGGTAGCTGCCTACACGAAAATACTCATCATGCGAATCTACCTGCATGTACTCTTTAATAGAAATATGCTTTAATATGTACGGGTATAAACATTAAAAATTATGTCACCTGTTAAACCTTTTATATGTACTGTATTTTATTATATTATTTAGGAATAAATTGAAATTGAATGTGAAAATGGGCATTTACCTTTGCTCCACATGTATGATCTGCGTGGTTGTGGGTGTATATCAGAGCTTTGATTGGTTTATCACTGATCTCTCTGAATGCTTTCAACACGTTTCTACCAGATTCAACTGTCTCCGTGACGTCGACTATGATGAGCCCCTCTGGTGCTTCTAACATGATCGAGTTGGCGAGGGCAAACCCTATTGCAACATATACCCCATCGGTCACCTGGAAGTATGACCATCATAATGCCATTCTTGATTTTTGTGAAGTGCACAATATTCCAGATTTAGCTACAAATGTGAAAATGCAGTCCAAATGTAGTACTAGTAGGCCTATACTTCTTTTAGCCTTTTCCATCGCCTAAAAACCGAGGACGTAAATTATAACGTAATAAAGACTATTGAAGATTTTGAAATATACATCAAAGAGAACCAAAGTATCTTGAAAAATATTGCTTCACACAAATATCTGAATATGGCGGTCAAAAGAACCTCATGTAACAAACATAAAAACGATTTGGACATATTATGTATTCTAGTTTATGTACCTGATAAGGTCGATTAATAAATAAATAAGGTCGATTCCATATAAGATAAATTATTTCAGTTATAGCCGAGTCTGTATCTTGGGTTACTTTGTAGATTGGCCCATGGAGATTAAATCCGTCAATTACATGCCAAAAAAGTTCAACCATAGCGTATTTATATAGCTACACACTATAATCTTTCAAGCAATTGATCTAAAAAATGTAAACTCTGACTTACAATGCAAATGCATTTATCGAACTTTTGTAGCCGTTTAAAAGGAAATATATATCTCGGTGTTATACGAGAATTGCAGCAAATCAGCAAATTTTTAGATGTAATGAATTGCCCTCTCAAATAGTTTGATTTTGAAATTCGTCTATCGCAGACTCTGTCCCTTTGGGTAATAACTGATCTCTTGTCTGTGTACCCCGAGTATCTGAGTACAGGATATCTCTAGATTATTAAAACATTTTAAACATTGCTGGTGTATTTAGGCCTTATGTATAGAGGTGTTGGGATAATAATTGCAATTTGGCCCTTGAAAAGTGAATTGAGAGCGAGACAGTAATTCACGTGCGTCGAAATATTACACGTTCTCGTACATGTTATGGTTGGCCTATTAGTATAAAGAATGCATGCGTAGTAACCATGTTCTCCTAAAAACGATCCCTAATTATACCGGACACGGTGCATCTTCATTCACCAGATGCCACTCGCACCATGTCCATTGACTCGATATGTGTTGCACCACTGACACCTGATCACGGGTCTTCATGATACAGTAAGCTTGCTCGAGGTCAGGTTAGAAGTCTAGAACCCCCATTACTGTGGAAATGGAAGATTTATACGGTGTGGATTTAAAATACTTACTTTTCTAACAATCGGATTGTTGAACTCTTTTGTATGGTTTTTCAGTTTTTCCTCTCCTGGTTTGTTGGACCATTCCTTCAAGGCATTGGCTCCATCATGCCTACTTTGTCCCACGAACCAAGCTCGTGTTACCATGGCAACTATGACCGCTGTCGTGGATACACCTATTAAAGCTTTCCAAATCATTTTGGACGGCTTATTTTCCCAAACTGCTTGTCACTTGTTTCGAATTTAATGTTGGTCGTTTTCATCAAGTTAATCATTAATCAATTATATATGGGTTGTAGCATTATAATGCTACGCAACTGGAATGACCGAGCGAATTCCCGATTCTTCAAGGTTGGGGTTTAGAGTTTGAGGTTAAGGGATAGGGTCCGATTGCGTACCAAAACCAAAACTTGTTACCCTATATGAACCTCTATCCCTGGGCAGCAATCAAAATCTGATCTGTCCAATCAGAGGCTAATGTTTCGGCACACCCATTTTCCAACTGTTGTCTGTTACCCCTGCGCGAAGAGTCTATAGTTATAAACGAAGTGAAGTACAATTTGTTCAAATGGTATCCAACCGTGTTTATCGGGGTAGCGGTCCAGGATTTAATCCAGTCGTATTGCAATAGTTCGATCAGCTACCCACATAATTAAACATTAAATCTATGGTATTCAAACGGTTTACACATTCACACCGGAATAGCCTGACTACGGCAATTCAGATACCGTTGTCAAAAATGGCGGACATAACCGTCGCTTCAACTGTTTAATCACTTGGTCCTCATTTCATGGGATTTTATCGTCACTAATTCTGTGCATGCATTAAGTTCTTGTGATAATGTATTATATGAAATCCCATTTTAGATTAAATTGGGTCGTGAATCGCCACAATATAGCGTCTTCGATATCGTTTATGACAACGGAATCTGAATTTGAGTAATTTAGAAAGACAACAGCATATAGTAATTACAGTGTCCGTTGTCCCGTATCTAATTTTGATCGGTTAAATCAAAGACTTTATTTCGATGGTAGAACATTATTAACTGTACAATGAGTATTTAGACACTCTGATTGATTGTTCTTCCAAAGGAATGTAGTCTAGGTGCTCTATTAAACATACAGTTCATGAAAACCTAATTGAAGCGACGGTTATGTCCGCCATTTGTGACAGCAGTATCTGACTTTACCGTTGTCAGGCTATTCCGGGGTGACATATTAATCCCAAGATTGCACTTCTGATTTATCAGAGTCTCTCTTATCTAAAGTTTGTGATAGACAATGCCAAGATTGCAAACTCCAAAGACTTTGATTGAGTCAGATTATTTTAATTCGTCCTTTTCACTGTTTTTGACACGACCAAGTCTTTGATAAGAGTCAGATTGTTTTATTTGTCCTTTTTTCATAAGCACAGAGTTTGTTCCGGATATTGACACGCACTTCATACTAACAGTCAATACGGTCAATAACTAAGTCTATTTAAACACGTATCTGGGTCTATAGTACCCCGAACAAGAACCGAGCTAAACTATGGTAATCGTTATAAGTATTATTGTCCCAAAGAGCAAATGTTCGTATGGATATAGAAAAGCCGTCCGTTCGTCTGTCCGGACGATAACTCAATAAGGGGGGAAACGCTGAATTTTAGACGAATGCATACCTGCCAACCTCTCAGAGAAAAAAAACAGGAGTTTTTTTTTAAAAAAACAGGAGAATCCAGGAGATATTTTGCAAAAAACAGGAGAAAAACAGGAGACTTTTACTGAAAAAACAGGAGAAAACAGGAGACTTCTTTTAAAAAACAGGAGAAAACAGGAGATTTTCAGTTTAAACAGGAGATTTTCTTTAAAAACAGGAGAAAACAATTTATTTTAAAAGCATGAGAAAACAGATTATCTTTAAAAACAGGAGAAAGCAGAAAACTTCAAAGAAAACACATGTTCTTATAAAAAATACTCTATTTATGGCCAGAAAATACTAATGGTGAAAGATATGATGGTCAAAAATCACTTGCAATACCGGGTTGCAATCTATAGGCCTACTGCACATGGCTAGGTCCAGGATCAAGGAGGATTGGCTCCCAGAATGCAACATCGATACTCTGTCGATATTCTTGATGTCATGATTGCAAAATTCGAATTCAAACAGCCGCTATTTTATTCACTTCAACATTTGTATCGTTAATTTTGGTCTTATTTTCAAACGAAAATGCAGTTTGAATTCGAATTTTGTAGTCACGACATAGGGAGTATCGGTATCGATGTTGCATCCTGGGAGCCAATCCTCCTTGGTCCAGGATGGAAAAACCAAAAAGCTTACCGTAAATGTGACTGATAAATCTCAATCTTTGACAAACTTCAATGGTAAAATCATTCAAACTTATTTAACATGATTTCTCTTAATGTATATACATGCTTAATCTTGGTAGGCTTACGCAATCGTGCATAAATAGACAAAATTATTCTTACCCCGTTTCACGGACATACTTGCGCAGATTCTTATCGCCTCCACTCAGGAGATTATCTACGTAATACGCATGCGCTAGGATCGTAATAAAGGATGGATTCGCTCTTACTGATTAAAATTGTTGCGCGTGCGCTAATTTCCTTGTTGTTGATTGAACATTTATATTAGATTAACTTTGTTTTTCATGATTAGAGGTCGCTGGAGTTAATTGACTTATATAGATACTGGAGACGATCGATGAGTACTCGGATTCAAGTTAAAAATCGGGAGGAAGAAGGAAAAAACGGGAGGACACAGACAAAATCGGGGGATTTTTACCTAAAACATGCGAAGTTTTTTGTAGAAATCGGGGGAAATCGGGAGAAAAAATCGGGAGATGATGAAAAATTACAAAATTAGAAAATCGGGAGATGGCAAAATTGCGCAGGAGATGGGTTAAAAAAACAGGAATCTCCCGATTTAAATCGGGAGTTGGCAACTGTGCGAATGCCTGTGGAGCCTAGTAGTTGTGTGATTTATTAAAATATTAAAAGAAATACACCCATACGACCCCAAACGTACCCAAATTATGGGTAAAAAGGGAAAACTACAGAATTACATCCATTGTGGAGATTTGATGGGCTTGAAATCTATTTAATTTATCGAGAAAATGATTCACTTATCATTGGAGTTAGATTGTCATTCTTTCTGGATTTCTACCCATGAGTGTGTAAAGTATGCATCACGCCAGTTGACAGTGTTTCTTTGTTCATTGTCTTTAGGGATGTTGTCAAATTATTAAGATTTATTGAGAAATGATTAGTTTCAGGATGGCCCAACCCACTCTCTCCCCCTGTAATGAAACTTGAGGAAGTATATTTGCCATTCATTTGATTACTTTAAATTACATAACAATCAATTTCACATATAACAAAACTGTCATTTACCCCCTCCTAACAAAATCAACTACGTCACTCTAATACTGTTGACTTTTGGACACAATTCCTTATTTTTGATATACAGAATAAGCCCACGCATGAAGCTATGCAGATCTGGACCAAGTAGCATACGAGATTCATCATTATGAAAACCCAAATTGATCTTTGCGATTATTATCAGATTTTACGATTGATTATATACATATATATGAAGATATGATAACCAAATATCACGGCCGTATATCGGACAAAATAAATGGCGGCATGGTGCATGGTGAAATAATCGTTTTTCAAGAATTGTTTTTAAACTTATGCTTTTAAGGAGGGCTCGATACTCGTCAAATAAATTGTAATAACAGAGCGTAAATTGCTGTTTTTTATCTGTCAATTACATAATTACGTTCGTTGCTTCATTGATTGCCTGAATGATTGATTGCCTTGCTTTGTTGGTTGGTTGGTTCGGGTAGATCCGTCTGTTGCTTGGTCGGTTGGTTGGTTGCTTGATTGATTGGATAGCTGGTATGTTGAGTGGAAGGTAAGTTTGGTGTTGGTTGATTGACCTTTTAATTCCTTTTTTGGCAGGTAATATAAACGTAAACTGCTTAACTCTGATAAGGCAGTTGCAGAAAATCAGCGGGAAATCTTATATCTGATTCAATCGGGGATTCAATGTTCACTAGAGACAGGACAATTCACTTGATTTTGCCAAGACTTAACTGTTCACAGTAGGTAGGTGTTCACTGTAGGATTGTACTTTAACATGGGAGTCAATGGGAGAACGGGGTTTTGCTGAAAACATCGTTCACTGTTGAAAAACACAAAGAGCACACGCGTCTCGAACTCGCAACCTCGTGGTTACGGCGCCCAATCGCCTAGCTGTGTGCAAGGTGTTCACTAGAGAGATGTGTTCACTAACTCGGGTTTGACTAACATGTTACGTTAGTTGAACTCTTTCTTGATTTTATTCCAATATACCCGCTGAATACATTATACCAATGATAGGTCTATTGATCTTTGAAAGAAAGAAGGTTTCTCATCGCGATAACCACGCGTTTTTGTCTATTTGTGTTTGTATTTCACGGTTGAAGTACACGGTGGACGAATCTCGATCCACCCCGTGATTCTGCCGTAACTAATCCAGATACGTAACTTTTCCAAACAGTGCAGCTAGCTTTGTATATCAAAATGGCAACTTCCGGTTCAAAAATTTCAGAAATTTCTGAGCAATTAGATGGAAATGTTAACCAGAAGAAATATCTAGCGTTGAAAAAGAAGTGTGAACAATGTCAATTGGTAAGACAATATTTTGTGTAGTTATTTATAGACAGGCTTGACTTGCCAATATTACAACGGCATTTGTTTGACAGGCAGGCCTGTCAACTTGGGAACACATGAGTGAGTTACAATTCTTGCTATAGCTATGAAAAATACGTGCTGTCGCACATGTAATTAATTCTTACCTCATTGTATTCAGTGCTCTATTTTCTCCGTCCTAGTAAGTCCAAATATAGTGGATTTTGTGTCTACAGTGGGGAACATAAAGAATTACAAAAGCTATGAAAATTACATGCTGTCGCACATGTAATTAATTCTTACCTCAGTGTATTCAGTGCTCTATTTTCTCCATCCTAGTAAGTCCAGCTATAGTGGAATTTGTGTCCATAATGACTTTTGAAGTGGACATTCACATGTAATGCCGACTCTTCAAATGTTGAGGTGATTTTGGAGCCAGATTGCGCCGCAATGTGGATTGGCTCCCAGAATGCAACATGACACATGCCAGCTTTCAAAATGCTGTTCGGCCATTTTGTAATCTGTCACGAGTAAATATGATGTTGCATTCTGGGAGTCAATCCTCCTTGGATCACAAACATGGCGATTAATGAAAACATTCGTTCGATTTGGTATAGGGATTTATCCATCATTTGCAGGTATGAAGCTTTGGATTCATTTATTGTGCTACTAAAGTGAATGGGATTTATTTTTCTACTGCTTGGGAGAGTTTGAGACACGAAACTTAGAATTTAGCTCATTATGACAACTTTTGATGGTTGAGTTTTATTTTTGGTCCACACTTTAATGACAAATAGGAACTTAAAAATTAGAAGTGGATGCCGACTCTTCAAATGTTGAGGTGATTTTGGAGCCCAATTACGCCACAAGGAGAATTGGCTCCCTGAATGCAACATGACATGTGCCAGCTTTCAAAATGCCGTTCTGCCATTTCCCTCGAGTCACTGTTAAATTCTCTAAGTCTTGACTTAAGTATACTGAATAAAGTTGGTTTTACTATTTGACCATTTCATATGTGTTTTCATTAGAGGGTCATTTTCATGTTTACCTAATAACTTGGTGTACTCTTGACTCTGCCTCTGTCTTATGTGAATGTCCATAGGCTGGGTGTTTGTGATTACATCCAATGCATCCATACTTGTTGTTTTGTAGCAGCCCGATGCTTTCAATAGTGCAAGTCTCTAGAGCTGTTGGTACTTTTCCACCGCAGCTCTATGTACTGTGGCTAAAAAAGAGCAACTATAGTCAACATTTGGTAATACAAGTGTCTTATAGAGATACACAAAAGCAAATTGAGTGCATCCTTTATTATTGCTAGTGAAATCTGCTATTCTTTTTAGGGCTGCAAATCCCTTTTTAGTCCTATCCTCTATATGTTCATTAAATTCTAGTTTGTCATCTAACATTAAGCCTAAGATCTTTCACCTGTTTCAACTTTTATAGCTTTTGGTAAGTTGTTGTCATTTTTTGAAGGTGAAAATATCAGGGCTTTTGTTTTACTGTTGGTGAAACTCATATTCCATTTAGAACACCAATCTTGTATTGATTTAATATCATTTTGTACAGTTTTTATGGCCTCTTCCAATGATTCATTTGAGGTCCGTATTATGATGTCATCTGCATATTCTCCATATGCATATTGGATACCACAAAGAGCATCTGCCGTATATGAGTTACAGAGCTGTGGGCTGATCACAGCTCCCTGAGGTATACCAATAATAGAGGTCTTGAGCAGTTGAGGGCTGTTGTGTACTTGTTACATTTTATTGAATAGCTCCTGTGTAGAATGTATTCAGTAATATAACACAGAAGCCTGCCTTTGACCCCTTTGTTCATTAATTTGTATAGGAGGCCCTCCCTCCAGAAAGCCTCGTAATCAATAGTTGTTGCTACAGTATACTTACTACAGTTCTAACCCTGTTGGATCTCTTGAATTAGTCTCATTATAATCTGTGAGCAGTTATGTTGTTCAAGAATCGAGATACGCTTCTTGGAAAGGTGAAATGATATCTAATATCCCAGATGCGAGTAGATATAATCTTGATTTACATCATTAAAAAGTTTTGAAAAGAGTTTATCAACTTTGAAAATTTAATTTTCTTTGAAAATGTGACTTCTAGGTCGGGGAGATTCCCCATAGACCCCATGTTGTAAAACCACAAAAAGTGAAATACTGTATCTTTTCTTGTGTTGGGCAGATAATATTTTCTTTTACTGGACATATTTTTATTTGTATATCTATCAGATACATAAGGGTAATATGAAAAGTGAACCACTAAAACTGATGCATATTCAAGTTTAAGGGAATTTTGTAATACCCTGCCATGTTAATTCCCCCGAATCAGCCACCTGGTGGCGAAACTGGTAACTACCTACTCACATCTGAGTAATTGCATTGCTCCCCAGCTGTATTTGCCTGGAGTTTTTATTGGACATGGGAAATCCTCACTTCACTAAAACTCATTTATTTATGGTCAAAACTGGAAATATAGTTCGACATTCGCCCCCAAAATGCAATATGATTTTCGACGCCGTCTCGGTGCCGAATTTCGGTGCCGTTTCGGCACCAAATGGACTGACTAGTCCGGTGGCAAATTTTGGTGTCAAAAGATTTCGGTGCCGGACGGAACGGTGTCGAAACGGTGCCGGAACAGGTCCAAATTTTTTCGATGCCGAGGTGGCGCCGAATTATATTGGCTGTGTATATAGCTAGCCTAGTCATTTGTTCTACATTATATAATTTTGATTCATGCCCCCATGACCTTCTATGCTATTTTGCTGGAGAACCTGAGACTTGATGCATGGCTGAAAAATGCATTTCTTGTATTTTTCAGAAAAATGAAAAGTTGGTTAATCGAATTTACCAGTGTAAAAGACTTGTAAAAAGATACAAAAAGGAAAGAAGGTAAGGAGTCAGGTCAAAAATAAAGATAAACAAGTAAAGATAGACAATCCTCCTATGTAGGGGTAGATCAGTGAAACAATCTCTTCAATAAAAGGTATACCGCAAATGTGAACATTTGTGTGCCAAAACTGTTTGGTGAGTGAAATGTTCTTTTACCCCTCCCTAAAATTATAATTCATTATGTTTTTGACACAACCATTAAATGATATCTGATAATACTGAAGTCAATATTTTCAAATAATCCTATACTCAGTTACCCTGATGCCTAAAGGTTTATTACTATCCTCTGAATAGAACAGGTAAATATATAGTTTTGATGCTGATATTGTATTAACTTAATATGAAATAAATGCAATGTTACTTATGAAGAAAGTTCTGATTGGATAGCTTGATTTTGATTGAGTTATTCTGATTGGCTAGATAAAATGGTATTAAGGAGTAAATGAAGCTCTCTTTTCAACAGCAGTTTTCTAAGCCATCATGAATTAGTTTTAATTTAATATTTTTATCCCATGGATAAGATGTGGCTAATTATATCTGTAGGTTTCTCACCAAGAGATTAGAGAGCTATGGAGACAATTACAAAGATGCACAGGTGCCAGCTGTTTGGGAGGTGTGTATTGTTCATAAATTATGTTAAATCTTGTGGAAACCATCTTAACAAGAGTGAGTTCAATTTATGTGCTATCATTCAATCGTAAGCTTGTTGATATGTATGGTCAATGTCATAATGGCTAAACAAACACCAAGCATTGGTTCGGATTAATGATCAAAGCGTTAAGATGCATCTACATCTCCCAGTCTAGAAATAGCCATCATGATAAACCATGACATCTCAAATCTTCTCAGCCCTAAGAGTTTCAAGTGAAACAGAAAGATGCTATGAGTATCAGAATGAGAAATAGCAAGGATACCCTCATTGTGACCACTTATACTATTGCCTCTTTTAATTTTATTATATTACTTTTCTAGGAAAGTCAACTTCATCAGTTGTTACAACCTCCCCCACCCTATAACAATAGTTCGTCCTCGAATTCAACTAAAAAGATCAAGTCCAAACCACAAACAATACAGCAGAGACTTGCTAAAGCTCAAAATGCAAAAATTGCCAAAAGTAAATCGGATCTTCCACCTAGTGCACCAAATTCATCTCCACCAAAACAAACACTGCCAGTAAAATCTGGCGGATCACAAAGTATTAAGACTTTAATTGCGCAACAAGCAGCTCAAAACAGTGTCCCAGCTAGTGGAGGAATCACATCCCATGTGGTTGAAAAGATAAAGAAAGAACAAGATATTGCAGTGCGGAGAGCTGGAAATGCCTTTGTGATATTCTGTCAGCAGTATCAGAAACCAATACAGGAGAAATTTTTCAAAGTAAGTTGAACACAGTTACTCTGCCAAAGATATAGTATTTCCTCAATATGTGTATTGATGTAATCTTGTCTTGTATTAAGCCTCTGAACCACCCTCCTATCTACCCCCTCTTGTGGGGTGTATTTGAGAGGGGTGTGCAAGTGCTTGAAGCAAGAATAGCATTTCTCCATCTATCTACCAGTTCATAGCCTTGCCCAAATCGGTATTTTTTTACTTATCTGACCTTGAATTATTACCGCCTTGCACAATCTAATGCATCGCCGCTGATATTATGATAAGTTATTCAGCGGTCTCGAGATTTCTATAATTTCTACACTGTCAGCGGTATCGCTAAAACGTATTGATAGGCAAGATTGCGTGCACACGACGTGTGACTTCAGGCTGATTGACCAATCAAAACATTATCAGGTTTACTTGCATAAACAAAGCAAACTACCCATCTACGACTTGAAATTTTAGATGATCTGATCGAGTATTTCTTCAGAGTTACAATATATTCTGTAATTAAACGTACATTGGAGTGTAAGCAGGCATTAATATAAATTAAATCATGCGATTTAATGTTGATTTAAACTGAATTTGGGATGAAAATTCACAAAGACTTATTCCATATAGTTGTCGATCTGATTCAGTGATTGATCGGAATCTCAGCCTTGGTCTAGCTATCATGTTTGATCATTTCAGAAATCTGTTCCACAGTTCTTGTTGAAAACTTCTCACCTCCGGGTATCCGATCAATGCTCCCACATCCACTAAACTCTGATTGATCTTTTATCTGGTAAAATATTTGTATTTTCATAATGAATTGTGCAAGATTTGTTCGTGAAAAGTGTATTTGTTTTGACTGTGCATAATAATGAGCCAACGCTGGAGGGCCGTTGTTGATTGGTCAAATTTACTGACATAAATATTTGGTCGGTAAAGCACGTGGCTTTTTCATTGGTACAAGGGGGTCATAATAGAAATCAAGATAAGTTAAAGAGACCAACTTGGGCAAGGCTAACCAGTTCATTTCAAGTTGACATAATACAGTTTGTGTCAGTTTCCTTATATAACTTTGGTATTTTAAGTTCAGCCTGGCATTTACATGTAAAAGAAAGAAGTATGAAACTTATTTATTCCTCAAATATCATTAAATGTCAGTCTCACATTCCAAATGATGTGGGCCAAGTAGTATTGACATTATGCTAGCTTACATGTACATGTAAACGTTTATTACCTAATGTATGTGTTCATTTGCACTATTTAAAAAGTGGGAAAAATTAAATGAAAATTAAATGAAAACCCATGTATAATTTAGGACAATCAAAGGGATATGAACCAGCAGGAGTTGGGGGAAACCTTGGCTGAAATGTGGTCTAAAACACCAGAAAATGAAAAACAGGTAAGTGTACATATATACATCTATAGTGTATTGATAATATAATGTTTTGCTACAGGTTCTCTTATATCTAATTTCCTTTTATCATACAATTTTACCCGATTCATGTAAATACAGGTATACTGTATTTTTATTTATTTAATATTTTACTTGTATTGGGATCTTAAGTTAGCATTATTTTGAAGAACGTTAGACATGCACAATTACAGTCCTTAAGGGACTCATTTTCGCCTTCATGACCTTTATTTGCCTGAGTTAGTATGAAAGTTTAAGGAAAATAGTTGAACTGAGGTCCCTGTCCGGAAGAATCTATAAAGCCTATTCTATGAAAAATTGTGACTATACAAACAGTAACTCTAATATTGATACATCGGAGTGTCTTTACACATCTCATTGGTTGAAGTCTTGAAGAACTTCTCCAAGGTGAACATCGAGTTTAAATTTGGGTGTAGTCATGTTAGACATGAACCAATGAGAGCCAATGGGAGGTGATAAAAAGGAACCAATAAGGAGTCCATCTTAAAGTGGTTTTCAAGCTAAAATGTTTTACTGTATATCAGCAGATTTACAATTTATTATCCCATCAAACGAAGTTCGGAGGGATATAGGGAACGCCTCCGTCCGTCCGTCCGTCCGTCCGTCTGTCCGTACGTACGTACGTCCGTACGTCTGTCCGTCCGGGCAATAACTCAAATACCGTTGGCCCGATTTTGTTCATATTTTGTACACATATACCCTATGGAGGTAGAAGTTCTGCTCGAAAGCCGATTTTCAAAATGGCCACTCATTTCAAAATGGCGGCCATTTTAGTGCCGATTTTACAGTAATTTAGGTGCAGTATGTAAAACTGTAATAGCAATATGTTTTAAATGTAAAAAAATTATAAAGGACTTTAATAGTGCTACAAATGTAGATATTAAAGAAGCACATGGCAGCCATCTTGAAAAATGGTGGCCTTTACTCGTCATTTTACAATTTTTGCTGTAACTCAAAAAATAGTGGAGCGATTTTGTTCATATTTGGTATGTGAATACTATAAGCGTTGCACACTGTCTAAAGACACTTTTGGTAGAAGGCGGCCATTTTGAAAAATGGCCGCCATTTTGACGTATTTTACTATAACTCGAAAAGTAGTGGAGCGATTTTGTTCATATTTGGTATGTGAATACTATAAGCATGGCACACTGTCCTATGACACTTTGGGTACAAGGCGGCCATTTTGAAAATTTTTTTGAAAAATGGCCGCCATTTTAACGTATTTTACTAAAACTCGAAAAGTTGTAGAGCGATTTTGTTCATATTTGGTATGTGAATACTATAAGCATGGCACACTGTCTATTTCTGATGACACTTTTGGTAGAACGTGGCCATTTTGAAAAATGGCCGCCATTTTAACATATTTTACTATGACTCGAAAAGTAGTAGAGCGATTTTGTTCATATTTGATATGTGAATACTTTAAGCATGGCACATTGTCTAATAAAACTTTGGGGAGTAGTCGGCCATTTTGAAAAATGGCCACCATTTTTATGTGTGTTATTTTACAAGTACGTGTGCGATTTTTCAAAAATTTTAGAGGTGGCTACTTAAAAGCATATTATTTCTTCTGATGACAACATGGCTAGTGAGCAACCATTTTGAAAATGGTGGCCTTTCTGGTGTGTTGTTTTATGATATTTGCTATTCGTTTGTAAAAATGCCAGCCATTTCTGTTCGATGGGATTCGCTACGCTTTGGCGTTGCCGTTGTTCTGGTTGTATTCCAGATTTACTTGGAGCCCTATGAAGCCCATCACGGCATCAGATTTACAAGTTATTGTATTTCAAACTTACCCGGAGCTGTGAAGCCCTTCAGAGTTTCAATTTATTGTCTTCCAGATTTACCTGAAGCTGTATAAAGCCCGTCAGATTTACTATTTATTATATTTCAGATTTAACTAGAGCTGTATAAAGCTCATCAGATTTACAATTTATTGTATTTCAGATTTAACTAGAGCTGTATGAAACCCATCAGATTTACAATTTATTGTATTCCAGTTTTAAATAGAGTTCTATGAAACCTGTCAGATTTACAATTTATTGTATTCCAGATTTATCTAGAGCTTGATGAAACCCATTAGATGTGCAATTTATTGTATTCCAGATTTACCTGGAGTTGTATGAAGCCCAGAAGGCTCAGAGGGCAGTGAAGTTAGACCAAGAGAAACGTGACAAACAAATGGCAGCAGTAAAAATACAACAAGTGAAAGAATCAAATGAACTGAACGCTGCCATATCTGGCATTCCTTCATAGCAGTACTGTATCCCAATCAAGGATTATTGCCACATTCATTGGACACAAATTGCAGAATTCTGGTACTTGCCACAAAAGCAAGTCATGTTGACATAATTATGAGCAATTCATTTCACCATATATCACATCTATAACATCTAAATTCAATATGACATTGAATAAGGGGAGGCATCAAAAGTTCAATGTCTGATAGGAAACTAAATAAATCTAGTTTTGAGTTGGACCCCCCCCCCCTCCCCCTCAAAACTTAATACAATGAAAGTTGATCGCGGACTTTCACATGTTTTTGCGACTCAATTTGGACTTTTATGGGGGTAGTACTAGAACTTATTCATGATTCTTAAAACATATGCCAACAACAATAGGCATAATATTCCATGTTGCATGCATATTTGTGAAGAAGGCATCTGGTAAAGTCTTTATTTTTAAACCATTCCAAGGCATTTCGAGTCGAAATTCCCAAAAATTCAAATGTTGAAATTTGTCGGATAGCAAACTGAAATAGCTTTGACCCCCTCCCCCCAAACTAGATTTATTTAGTTTTCTAGCAGACATTGATCTTTTGATGCCTCCCCTAAGTAAAGCAATTTGATCAATTTTTCTTGCTAGACTGAGGATTACAAATTGCATGGTGTAGTTAATTTAAACACGGGCTTTCAATAGGGAAAGCCCATGTTTAAACAAAAATTACTACAACATGTAAGCAGTACCATTTCTTTAAGGTGAGTGTGCCGTGGGATGACTTTTGGATGGGTTTTAAGAAGTACAACCAAACTAATTAGACATATTATCCTACTGTGCCTTCCTTAATTTTCCATGTATTTCTCTTTGCTCAAGCTGAATAATTGATTGATGGGTGTGATGACAAACTGAAATAATGTTAATTCTGAAGCATAAACAGGGTTTACTACTCACAGCTGCCACACTGCCAATAATTTTGCCCCACTGCCAATAATTTTTCACTCTTACTTGGAACCCCGAGCTTACACCAATAGTGCAACACAATAATAAATGCTTCATAGTTCTGTTTAGTTTATCATGCAATTTTGCAATTTAATAACACTGATGTTTAATATGAAAACTTTAAATGCACATCTTTTGTCATAAAATCCTTCTACCTCTCTCAGGATTGAGAATTAGGGGGACTTGTTATCATGTATCATGGTATTGTCTCCATCAGCATTAGTTCTGTTTGGGCTTACACATCTTTTGTCATAAAATCCTTCTACCTCTCTCAGGATTGAGAATTAGGGGGACTTGTTATCATGTATCATGGTATTGTCTCCATCAGCATCAGTTCTGTTTGGCCTTGCATCAAACCACACAGAGATGCCAATCCCAACCAAGGCTCCAATTCCCCTCAAACAGTATTGGGGAGGTACATGTACATGTCTTTAAGTGTGGGGATTGGACTGAAGACTAGGAACATGCTGCAAAATTCTTAGCCTTTGGTAATTTACTGAATGAAACATTTATAGATTTTTGATTGGAAAAAATATAATATTTATTATTATATGAGCATTACGATTCATATACAATTTACTTTTGTACTTTCCATAATACAATTGAGTGTTTTGTCCTGTGTCTATGTAGTGTCCAGGCATTAGATGTACATATGCATGTCAATCTTTGCAATAAACTGCCATTTTTGCTATAAAGATAAATAAATATTTGATTTTGTTCAATAACAAATGACAAACTTTAAGAACAGGCTACAAGGGATAAGCTAAATAAATTGATGTATGTCCAGATACATAATTATTATATTTTGGAGGAGGGGGTAAAAATATGGTGTGCTAATATATTTAATATATTTTAATATATTTTCTAAGGAATAATGAATTACAACATAGTTTTCCTGCTTGAATCATTCCACATATATCATGCATACTAGTTGTACAGTATATAATTATTGACCTGATAAATTTTGTTTCTGGACATACATGAATATACATAGACTGACATTCTGAATTTTCCCAAGCTATTAAAGTGTCCACTTTTTACCAGTTCTATTATTCTATGAGTGATTTCTGGATTTGCATTATTGTTTGTTAATAATTGGCCTTAAAACTATCCTTTTCACTGCGCAAAACTCCCATCACTTCAATAGAGGTTTGTTTCCCAGTATGCTTTTGTACATCTCCCTCTCTGGAAATATCGAGGAAATTGTCAAATAAAGTATGGAGTTTGGGGAGTTGATAGCTAATTCTCGAATATAATGCCATGTTTATTTGGCTTTGAAACTGTCTTTTTCCTTCCTCAAAAATCCCATAACATCAATGGGTGTTTGCTTGCTAGTATGTGTCTTTACATCTCCCTCTCTGAAAATATAGAAACTGTCAAATGATTCATATAGTGCATATAAACTTTTTTGATTTCTAAACTCAATGGATACAACATACTTTAATATTCATGATATCTGGCAGCTTTTTCATTCCTTCTATAATGCCATTATATAACTAGAAAAAACTCCACGGAGCAGCAAATCCCACCCAACAAAACATATTTTGATAAATAGCGTCAATCTTGAAAATTTCTTCTTGAACAGACCTCCTTTGTTTCTAGGTATCACCATATAAAATTTGAACCCAAACCGTCCACTGGTATTTAAGTGATCAAATATTTTGTTCCGAAAAAATTCAGCTGCCATTTTCGAAAAGTCCTTCTTGACCAGAGTTTGTCTGTAGGTCTTGGCATATAAAATTTGAACCATGTTTGTCCATTGCTACAAGAGTAACAAAAGATGTTTTTTATGAAAAATAGTGGCCATTTTGAAATTCAACTGCCATCTTGTAAATTCTTTAACAAACAGAAATGCTTTGTCCTCAGGCATCAGCATATCAAAGTTGAACCAAATCTGTTCACTGGTATTTGAGTAATCAAAGGTTAAGTTTCTTTACAAAAAATTTAAATTTGAAATACAGCAGCCATCTTCAAAATCTTTTCTTGAGCAAAGCTCCTTGGTCTCTAGGCATCAGCCTATAAAATCTGTCTACTGATATTTAAGTTATTGTCCGGACACACAGACGAACGAATGGACAGACGAATGGACAGACGAACGGACAGATGGACAGACGGAGAGATGGCTTCTCTATAGCCCTCTCGAACTTCGTTCACTGGGATAACTACTGGTTCATTGACTGGTTCCAGGACCATAGCCAGGATTTGCCAAAGGGGGAGTTCACGTGTGACAATTTTGGTCCAAAAATGGCCAAAGCCACTTAAAAAGTGCTTAGAATGGTGAAAAACTGCCAGGGGGGTTTTTGGCCAGGGGGTTCGCTCGAACCCATCAAACCCCCCCTGGCTACAGGCCTGGGTTCTTTCTGCAAGTCAGCAGCTTAAAATAAGCATACTCCACTTGCTGATCAACTTACTTAATGGTATATTGGATTTAAGTGAACTTACCCTACTCGCATAAATGGATTAAACTGCAACTCTTCAGTAATCGTGGAAGGAATAGTTGGTAATTTATTTTTTCTTTGACCCTGAAATGAAAATGTAAACATCACAATTACAGTATAACCTGAATAAGTGGAATGCCTTAGAGTCCGTAAAATGTTCCACTTGTGAGGTGTTCCACTTGTGAGGTGTTCCACTTGTAGAGGTTATGGTATCACAAGGATTAAAAGAACAAAAAGACAAATATATGATTTACATACTGTACAGTTACAGAGTAGATGTTGATTCATTTCAAGGACTTCTGAATTGTAAAACTATCAAAGTGCGGACATCGTACATTCCAAAATATTGTTTTTCTAGCATTATTTTTTTTACGATTATTTTTTACAATATTTACACGACGGCTAACTGTGAAGTATGTATGAAGTACAAAAAGGAATGTCTTCGATAATGTCACCACAAATATTAACTTACATCAGACAGATCATAAAATAATGCATAAACAATAAATTATTATACCTCCGCCCAAGATAATTTCTCTTTGATTGCTGCATTTTTGGGTTCAACATGTATTGCATACTTCAGGTTGTTCACTGTGTATTCATGGCCACAATACACATTCTGAAAAACATAAATAACATCATATGTTTATCAGTCATTTCTAAAGAAAGAAAATACACGACGTATGTTGATGTTTTTAACATGGTAAAATGATTTTTGAACATTCATGAATTGGTGCTTATATTGGTTACCTCATCTCAAATTATTTGGTCAGAATAGAGTATATTGTACTATTAAAAAACGTGTGGGCTTTTTGTTGGAAATACTGAAATACATAATTTTTTACTGAATACTCCATATAATAAGGATATTGAATAATCCAAGTGTGTTAAGCTGTAAAATCTACAGGACAGACATGCAGCTATAGGCAATTTTGAATATCTTTCTAAATCTGTCTTTCAGTAGTTGTCAGCAGACTGATGATTAATAAGGAGTTCTGTAAACCTATGTAAGAGCAACACCTTTGGGACCACAACAAAGTGTTCCCCTGACTTAGCAGTTTCTACTGTACTGAACTTCCACAACTTTCTGGATTGGTTGAAAGTATGCAAATAAAAACTAAATACACCATAAATGAAGGTTTTTGTGGGAATAAGCAATTTGTGCAAATCTGGAGCTAAATCATTTACTTTTACTCGCCATACTGGTCTCTGAACACATTTGAAATCAAAATACATTACAACCAATATCTGTTTTACTTACTGTGTTACCAGGAAGCTTACTAAGGACCTCGATTAAAGCATTATACATCTGTTCTGGCGTCCCTTCAAAAAATCTGCCACATCCACCAACAAACAGGGTGTCACCTATGAAATATAGGGTTGAATTTAGAAAATACAAGATGTCACTTTTGAAATATAGGGTTGAATTTAGAAAATACAAGATGTCACCTATGAAATATAGGGTTGAATTTAGAAAATACAAGATGTCACCTATGAAATATAGGGTTGAATTTAGCAAATACAAGATGTCACCTATGAAATATAGGGTTGAATTTAGCAAATACAAGATGTCACCTATGAAATATAGGGTTGAATTTAGAAAATACAAGATGCTACCTATGAAATATAGGGTTGAATTTAGCAAATACAAGATGTCACCTATGAAATATAGGGTTGAATTTAGAAAATACAAGATGTCACCTATGAAATATAGGGTTGAATTTAGAAAATACAAGATGTTACCTATGAAATATAGGGTTGAATTTAGCAAATACAAGATGTCACCTATAAAGGGTTCCATTAATGCACTTATAAAATAAACAGTGTTACCAATACAATATAGGACTGCATTTATAAAATATAAGGTGCCACCCATAAAGGGTTCCATTAATGTGCTTATAAAATAAACAGTGTCACCAATACAATATAGGATTGCATTTATATATACATGGTGCAACCAATGAATATAGTACAGGAAGACACCCATAATGTACACAATGTAATTAAAAAGATTTATGAACAATCATGTAGACATGATGTTTCAATTTTATTTTACCTGTAAACACAGCTGGAGACTCATTGGGACTTCCAGTCACAAAGTAACAAATGTGACCCGCCGTGTGGCATGGGGTAGACAGACACTTAATATTAAGAGCCCCTAACTGGAATCGGAAATCACGAAAGAAACATTAGAACAAGGCACAGACGTGAACAACATCGTACCTAAAACACAGCAGTGTGACAGTGAAGAATTTAGGACGGAAAATCCAAAATGGCCACCTTAAAATTTACCCAGAATGCCCAAAATCTGATAAGTTCTTAACTTTGATACGTAGAAACATCCCTGAAAATTTCAGATGAATCCATCAAATGGTTTGGCTGGAAACCTGTAGACAAGTCTTGAAAGTGAAGATTTTAGGACGGAAAATCCAAAATGGCCACCTTAAAATTAACCCAGAATGCCCAAAAACTAATCAGTTGTTAACTTTGATACGTAGAAACATCCCTGAAAATTTCAGATGAATCCATCAAATGGTTTGGCTGGAAACCTGTAGACAAGTCTTGAAAGTGAAGATTTTAGGACGGAAAATCCAAAATGGCCACCTTAAAATTTACCCAGAATGCCCAAAATCTAATAAGTTCTTAACTTTGATACGTAGAAACATCCCTGAAAATTTCAGATGAATCCATCAAATGGTTTGGCTGGAAACCTGTAGACAAGTCTTGAAAGTGAAGATTTTAGGACGGAAAATCCAAAATGGCCACCTTAAATTTTACCCAGAATGCCAAAAAACTAATCAGTTCTTAACTTTGATACTAGTACGTAGAAACACCCCTGAAAATTTCAGATGAATCCGTCAAATGGTTTGGCTGGAAACCTGTAGACAAGTCTTGAAAGTGAAGATTTTAGGACGGAAAATCCAAACTGGCCACCTTAAAATTTACCCAGAATGCCCAAAAACTAATCAGTTCTTAACTTTGACACGTAGAAACATTCCTGAAAATTTCAGATGAATCTATCAAATGGTTTGGCTGGAAACCTGTAGACAAGCTGAAAAGTGAGACGCCGCCCGCCCGCCGCCCGACCGTCAAGCTGACTACAATATCGTACCTTTATTAGGTACGATAAAAACACGTAAGTCAGACCCCTATGAAAAATAAAGAATCTTTTATTTAAATCAATCTAAATCAATCACATAAGAAACATTGGAAAAAACTAAGTCAGACCCCTATAAAATTAAAGAATCTTTTATTTAAATCAAAATTTAGTCAAATCAACTATGGGACTTGAACTGATACCCCTCACATTACCTGGAATTCCTGACCATGCTGAACCTTGCTGTTCATAGCTCCAATTCTGTCATCTCCACCATGTACAGTCAATCCAGAGACCTTCTTTACCAAATTTTCATTGCCACCCGCATGGTCCCTGCAACAATTTATATTGTAAGTACCTCAACTGAAATACTTGATTCTGATTGGTTGATTAGCGGTCAACAATATGTACTGTTGACCATATGTTCAACATAAAGTACATTTTTGATTATTAGACTTTAATAGCTTTAAAATACCCAAAAGACACTTGATAATGAGCCGATGTCGATGGTTTTATTGGATATTTCGAAAAGAAGTTGACATTTTTTAGAGAAAACAGGGAGGCTTCGGCCCAGGCTAATCGTAAATATCGCATCTCAACAACACACACGACGTGAGAACTATTTCACATCAGAATGGCGAATCTATAGGGGGGTACAGTCATTAGACTCCTCGAAACCACTGGTGATGAAGGTATAGCATGAACCTTTTTAAATAAATGACAGGTGGATTTATTACCATGGAGTCTAGATCACCATTTCCTAGACTTATCATAATCTGAAAGAGCATAGTTTCAGATATTGTCTAGATATATACATGTAGGCCCATCCCCTAAAATTTGTATATTTTACATTTTGTACATTTAAATTTTAAATGTTTGGAATTACTTTGAATTTAAAAAATAAGCAATCAAATGACTCAGACTATCACATGCTATCTATTGCAAGACTTATGCCTGGCACAACCGTCACCATGTTATTAGGTGTTTTTAAGTTTCATAATATACCTAATCAATCTCAAGTGACATTCCAGGTATAGTGCACCGATGATTTTTAAGGCATAATTGTCAAAAAGTGTTGAAAATACAGTCTTATTTTAATCAAACATTCTGTACAATCTATGTGGTCTCTCCATTCCAGATTCATAACAATTCATAACTACCGATCCTAGGTGTTACCATCAGTTTGTATGTATATCCTAATACCATAGATTGATACAAAATGAACCACATATATGGTATAGAAGGGTTGAGATCAACAGAATGTCGAACATTTTAACAGTTAATACATTTTGAAGTTGGTTGTCGAAAATATTGACTGCTCTCAAAATTGACCTACCAATGATGATGTGTTGTGAGGACAGTTGTAAGATTGACACCTTCTTCTTTCACAGCAGCTAAAACCTTAAATGAAAAAAATATGGTAAGGACAGAATTGGTAACCATGGTTTTACTTTACATACATGCAGACCCATAGCCAGAGCCCCCCCCCCCCGGCAAAAAATTCTTTCAAAATCATGCAGTTTTTCACCATTCTGAGCACTTTTTAAGTACATGTATATCAATATGAAGACTTTAGTTCTTGCATTAATTATTACTGATCTACATAAAACTGTAGAAACTTTTACCATGGAGACTATGGGGTGTTTATTTAATACATTATTATTTATTTATTCAAGTCTTGGTAGAGTCTCACCTTATCTGGTTCTACAGGATCAACGACAGCACATTCCTGGGTGTCCTCATCAATCAAGAGGTACATATAGTTGTCATCTAGGGCCGGTACAAGTTTCACCTTCATATCGGGCTGGGGAAATGTTAAAGGTTTGGAATGAAACTTTGTAGAAACTGAAAATAAATATATTATAGGATGTATGACAAAGAATAGGCCAATGTTATACCAAGATAGGAACTGTAACAACCTTGTATAGCAAGTTGTTACTCCAGCCCAGCATTGGTTGTATTTTTTGCGCCTGTGTGTGTGGTGAAAGTCACTGCTAGGGAGATCAGATAGTACAGATACTATATTCCACATAGAAGAAAAACTTTGAAAAGTGTGGATGTATGAATGCACAATGTATGCTATGTACTATAAATTTATGTTATCTAAGACCGAGACCTCTAATTTTTAAAGTTTCAGCATCAACATACGACACACACATTTGTTAACAAACAATCTTATTTCTGTTTTCATTTTACAGAATAGTAATATGGTCAATTAGTTGCCACAAACAATCCGAAATGTGTAATATATTGGCTGATTAACCTTAGAATAAAAAGTTTTAAAATTTAAAAGCAAGCAGTTTAAAAGAGTCGAATTCGATTGATCCATTAAATTTTTCATAAACCGATGTTTCATCAATACTCACATCCACAATTTAAGTTATGTTGAGGTCTAATTGTTCGTAAAACAGTAAAAGATTGGAGTAATTTTCCTGCAATTCTCCTTATTGACATTTCTTTTCCAGCAGAGAAAAGGCAAAGAATAATACACTGGTCGAAATTTCGCTACAGCGAGGGTGATCCCGGGAGTAATTATACATTGCAAATGGCAATAAAAATGTAAAACGCTTCGTTTAGTTTGAATCCGCAACTCTGAATGAAAGAGCTTAGTGTATACCCAGGCCCGTTGTAAAGAAGTTATTCGTTGATTCTTCTTGGCTCTGCTTCGGTACTCAAAATGAACTGGCTGACTGGTCGATAGAAAGATGGCAGAGTGGGTTGTTTAGATAACAGATATACCATACTGCCACCTTTCACTCAAGTCGTTGTCTAAACAAATTCGGCTTGTAATTATGGGATATCCCCGGAACATCTTATAGACTAGAATCATATGATGATAAAAGCCTCTAGAAAGTGAAAGTACTTATATTTTAACGAGCAGGCAAGAGACCTATATCAAAATACTACTTTATGTATAACAAAAGATTTGTGAGATTTAACATGGTGAACGAGGTGTCAAAAGGCACTAATTAGACAATTAATTAAAATAATATTCTCCATCCCTTAACTAGTTCAAACGATACAATCAGTGTTGATCACCACATAAATAGTTGTGGTCAACTTGTCATTGTGCCAGGTTGGAGCTCTGCCAGCCAATCTAGTGTTACGATAATTGTACTTTTTCTGGTTTGATTGACTTTATTGAACTAGTACGGTCTAGAACCAATAATCACCACTCACAATCATCTCCCTATCAAACAAATGCAAAATAGACTTGTTAGTCAATGGTTCAGACAGTGGGGTCTATCACACAGAAAACAGTATGCAGTTTCTGTACTAAATCCAGATGGACAAACGTTATAAAAAGTTTAAAAGAAACAGTTGAACACAATACAAAGAACCTTGAAAATACAATTGAGGCATAACATCCAAACAGGACCTCTACAGATAATTGATAAATCATATGATATATTTTCAACAATGGGGAAGGTACAACGCCACAAAAGTTAAAATGGCACAATACATTTCTGACATACCAGTATAGTGTACAACAACCAGTATAATATAATTCTCGATAGTACCAACAATATCCATCATTGGAATTGGTATCACCTAATGTCAATGAAATGCAAAGATCATCGAGACAATTTTTTCAAAATTCAAACGTGATACAACATCAGTATCTATTTGGCATGCAGCATTCTCTCACAAGTGAATTTTCTTCTGCTCATGCTTAAGAGGAACATGTTCTTAATTGTCAGATGTGAGAGAAAGATACTATGTATCAGCTTATGATCATGCCTTCTGCAGTAACATCATATTGGATCATAAAAGGTGTGAGACGAATATCTACCAGGAGCACCATTTACATTGTCATTATTTGTGCTGATTCATTTAATCTGCTTTTCAGTTTAGTAATAAATTGTGTGGAACATTGAAACTTGTAAAAACAGCCTGGTATACCCCAATGTTCAAAATGGCTGATGACAGCCTGTGGTGATGATACTGAAAATTGAAAATATGTTTCCATATAACATTGTATGTATCAATGTCAATTTTATAGTGTTACATTTGGATTTAGTAAACTGGTCATTGTGTTTGCAAAGGTTTAGAATATATTAAAGTATGCTTTTTGGTATGATTTCTTTACTTTTATGAATATGTGAATAATATAACTGAAGGAATGTGACAGAATGTAGTACGGAATAAAATTGAATTAGAATATATTGTTTTCTTGGTGAAATGCTAATTTGAGTAGTAAACCTAAATATTGTCTCTATTAGTAATGCAAAAGAATTGGTAATTGACTATTTATTCCACTATACATATTATGCCAACCACAAGAGAAATCTCTAAAAGCTTCCCAAAATCGATCAAAAATGGTTTATTTTCACTTTTTATACTCTGTAGCCAGATTGTATTTACAAAAATAAAATTTCTAAAAAAATTTAATGTTTAATTTTTGTCTGCAAAAAAACACATTTTTACCCCAAAACGCATTATGACGCCTATTTCTTCTTGTTAAATCTCAGTATCAATTAAGAAACCATTTACCTTTCAATTAGTTAACATGACTTGCCTGCTCATCAAAAAGAGGTCATTATATTTTCAATGCACTGATTCTAGTCTACATTCATTTCACTATGACAACCACAAGATAAATCTTTAAAACCTCCCCAAAATCACCAAATTCAATCAAAACTGATTTATTTTCACTTTTCCATAGTCAACCAGACTGTATTTACTAAAATAAAACTTCTAAAAAAATGTTTTCATTTTTAAAGAAAAATTCAGCAAAAAACACATTTTTTACCCAAAAACACATTTTGACACCTATTTCGTTTTGTTAAATCTCAGTATCAATTAAGGAACCCTTTTCCTTTCAATTAGTGAACATGACTTGCCTGCTCGTCAAAATATAATATGTCATTATATTTTCAACCCCCTGATTCTAGTCTATTAGATGACATTGTGCTGAAATAAAATGTAAATTATCTTGTTTCTATTTTTAGACCTCTTTAGTGTCCCTCATGATATGTGTTTTGTGATGGTAAAAAGGAGTGAAAATCAGTCAGTGAGTCCAGGGGCGGTTCTGAAAATCAAGATGGGGGAGGGAGCAAAAATTCTTTATTTTCAATTTCTAATTATTTTAGGACCAAGATTTAACAAAAAGGCCCACTACACTTAATTTAGAAGGAAAAAATAAAAAATAATCATTGAAACATGTTACTCACACACCCGCTCAAATATGAAACAAAGCTCAAATATGAAACAAAGTTTGATTTGCTTTAATATTGAACCAAGAAAAAAATAACTCACATAGAAAAAAGTATTTGAAGTTCAGAGATCATTAGACATGCATGCACATGATAAACAAAGTGCATGTTTTGAATTACTTTTGATTTAAAAGATGGCGACACTTCCATAAAAATGAATGTATCATGTAATACAAACAACTGCAGCATCTTTCAATGACATTGATAAAAACTTGATGTATCAAGCTTGACCGATCGAAAATATTTTTTGATTACTTATTGTAAGCTTTGATGTCCGTTTGAGCTGTTGTTAGTGTCAAATGAAAGATAAGGTTCTTATCAATACATTGGACATTCTAGAAAATCCAAATAAAAGTCTTTATTTTACCCAATAACATTGAAAATACATATGAAAATATTAAGAATATTGACCAGTAATCTCAGATTGTGAGGTGGTTGAGGTGGTGGTGAGGGTTGATGCTACAGAAGCTTCACTAAATAGGAAGACCGTCTAATAAAACACTGCCATCTTTATTACATTTCAAAACATAATTCAGTGTTAATGCAATACGTAACTTGTCCAATAACTTTGAGGATTTGTTGGTATCATTGATTTGGTATATTGAGTACGTCTGTTAGTAATAGAAGCCTATTTGCCTGATAAAATAGCCAAACATTTGTCTGCCACCTGAAAGAAATATTTCACTGAATGATAAATGAAAAAATTAAAACAAACTTTGTTGATGTTGATACAACAGGTCCTCTAGTAAGATATGAACTATTAAAAACCAATCAATCTATACTGATAAAGAACACCAAGCAACTATTGAAACAGCTACTGGTCCAGCTAAAGTGCAGGTACTCGACATATCGGAGACTCTAGTGTTGGCGCGTGTCCATGCACGGAATCAGACTCCACTTTCGAGGGATGAAAGGCTTTAAGTTGCCTAAAAGTTACCTTGTGTTTACAAAGGAAGTTTTGAAGTTGTAAGTTCAAACACAATTCCATCGGCTTTATGAATGGGTTTCTGTAGTAGATACCAGTGATATTGTATGCGTTATATGTTGTGCGAAGGAAGTTATTTCAGTTGTTAGTAAACTTCCACGTGCCTCAAGCAGGGACCGGTAAGATTAAACCTAACATCGTTTTAGTTGATCCACTTTTATCCCGTTTATCCATATACACATTTAAGATAGCAGGGTATTCACAAAGTAATTTCCCATTTTGTTAAATAAATTTGAACAATACTTAAAGGTGACAGAATGATTTTGAAAGCGCCCTACCCGAATTGCACATTCGTAATCCAAAATAAGTAAATTAACTTTTGCGCGAAATCAGGATGCTCGGAATGTGTCAATTATGCACGACATACACAATCTATGACCCGAAAGTTCTCCTTTGAGACCAGATGTCCTTTATTCGTATTGGGAAAATATTTGAATTGGCCGCTCTGTTTTTCTACGATCTAATAAGGGAGTTGATGATGTTATTTCATCTAACCGACTTTCACCCTAAATACCCAGGCCGTCATGTATGAATATTCATTAGTGGGAGGAGAAAGCATTAGTCTTCTCAGAGCTAGAATCTGTAAATCACCAAAGCAGATCGAAAACGTCAAATGATATGCCTGTGCAAAAAGTTAATTGGATTTTATCGCTCCAGATTGAATTGTGAATACAAACACAGAATTTGTCCAATGCATGAAAGCGCCGACAATTTTGAAGAAAAGATTGGGGCCGATTCTCCAAACGCACGCACAATGAAACGCATTTCCCCATGACGTACTAAAGGACACCACCATCAACAATCATTAGTTCGACTATTTAAGGAAGACATTATCAATGACATACATACAATTGAATCATTGCATAATAAAGTGAAATATATGAATTTTCTTTGACTATTTATTAAGGCCTAAATGCATATCAAAAGGATTTTACTTTAAAGTCATCTGATTAAATATGCAGCGGTATAAGACATAGTGTGGTAAGTACATTTTTGTATAGTTATTAAAAATGTTTGCATGGCTTCCATTTTGTTTTTTTAAATATGCATAACCGAATTTAACAGTTACAGCACACTTTATACCTAAACATGATATTTTTTATGAATTTTCATACGAATTCATAGTATTTAGAAATTCAAAATACCACAGTGTTTGTTGAACTGAATTTTGAACTATTTAGTGGTACTTTACTCGACATTTTTGATTTTCATGCACTTCAAACATTGAGATCTCTTCCCTTTGAATCACCGTACATACTTTTAGTATATTTTCAAACATATGTCACATTTGTTAATCCAAATAAGCAACACGGTGTTCAATGACAATGTTCGTGAAACCATAAGGAAAAAATAATGCCGAGAGAAAACCGAAAGAGATATTAGGTAAGGGTTCTACCATGGAACTCGTTTGAGTAGTCTATATATCCATATGTATTCTTTTATGTCACAGTTTGTAGCCTCATTAACTTTATCGTATTGTATCCTGGGAGAGAAGCCTCACACCTCGACGCCACCCCATTCCATTTACCTCGTCTTTTCCATCTAGCTAAGATATTATGTAATTTTCCATCACCTCCCATCCCTGCCCTGGAGTGGGGATCCCTACTCGTTCCCCAGATACCCCTCGGCGTTGACCTTCTACCTTCATTCATTTCTCTTCATTCTGCCCAAAACAAGATATTTAATGAACATTTTTGTTGCATCAAAGTACTGATCAATTTTGTAAATTAGAGGGAACATTTTAAAGTGGAAATATTATACCATAAACCAGGCCTAGTACAAGTATTGTCCATAGTAACCGGATAGTATCATACTTATCACTATATTACTGATCATCTGACCTTTATTTTAGGCTAATTCATCAGAAAATGTTTATTCAGGTAAGATTATGGAAACATAAATAAAGAAACGTTCCATTAATAACTGTAGCAATGTCTATAAGATAAATTACTTATTTACAATGGCCCTGTATTTTTAATTTTTGTTTATCAAAAGTTGAAATGTATTTTATCAACTGAATAAAATGTTTTATTTTCTGGCATTCCTTCAGATAACCGAATCACGCATTTCTATCAAAATTAAAAGACCAGAAAACAGAACATTTATGCTCCATTTCATATACAGAGAATAATCTCAAAACTTGATAAAGAATGCAAAAAAATCTGCGGAAGCTATCAGAACACACATTGTTTTACATAAAACAGATATAAAATGAAATCTTGCTTTAGACCAGAACACAACATTTAAGTACATCGGTGGTTTAAAATATGGTATGGTAGACACCTCCAATTTACATCTCAGATACAATAGACCATCTTCGACTTTCAAAGCGGTATATTTCATAGAGCAATTGAAACCTTATGGATCGTGATTACAGACAGTAATATTTCAAAACACACCATTAATATTAAAAAAATTACAGGTACCATACTAATAGATAAACAAATCATCCCAAATTGACATTTTCAATATAAAATACCAAAATCTCCCAAATTTCACACCGTGAGGTTTACCTGTTAAGCCCGTATTTACACTCTCTGAATATCAAAGTGAGAGAACTACAAGTAATCTATATTGGTTTGTGATGGGTAAATACACCTAAATTAGGAGTTTCCAATTGAAAATTCGAATAGCCAATTACCCTGAGTGAAATCAAAAGAATGCAAAGGGGAATAATATCTAAACATATACCCCTTTCCAAGACGTCACTCCTTATAGGAGAGCTTCAGAGATGTATTAGGCTCTCACCCTGAGGGCATATTGTGTTCAATGCTCAAAGGTTACTTTCAAGAGAATGCGGGGTAAACAGAACAAGAGGTAACATTTGTGGAATTTAAACACAAATCCGATAAACTATATACAAAATCCACTTAATGATTAAAACTGCCCCAGGTAGTTCAATTACCATTAAAATGATACCACACAAACGCTAATTGGTAAATGCCTAAAAACACAAAGTTGGCTATTGAAGGGTCTAGCGTAGATGCTGGAGTTTTTAATTCTTATCAGTTATCAATAACTTGATTTTGAGTAATTATATTTCATCCAAACAATTTTACAACTTCAACACAACAAGATGTACCATGAAATGTCTCCGCGTGTGAATTATTTAGCTTCATTAAATCAGAGTGAAAATGGGAGATATGATGGCATAACCTAGATGCTTTTTGAAAATATGGTCCAGACAAAGCAAAATCTCAACATGTGCCAGGTACCGCAGGCATACCTGCCAACCTACCGTATTTTTACGGGAATCTACCGTAAATTTTTCGTTTTTCCGTAAAAAAATGACAAACTACCGTAAAAAAATACCATTTTTTTCCCGTAAAAACGCCCGTAAAAAAATCTACCGTATTTTTTTCGTAATCTACCGTAAATTTTATTTTTTAAAAACTTGTTTATTCCATGAGAATGGCCGTAAAATCGACCGTAAATTTTTGAAAATCTACCGTAAATTTTCGAAAATCTACCGTATTTCTGCTAAAATCAACAGTATTTTTGTTCAAACTACCGTAAAATTTCCCGTTATTCGTTGGGAAATGCTGAAAAATTGAATTCTCCCTGTACTGTCCCTGTAATATTCCTTCAACAACCCGAATATAAATAGGTATCGGCAGGTCTGTGGTTATCAGGTTATTGCGCATTTATATAAGTAAGCTTGCGTGTAATCAGTCCAAACACCAACTACCACACTAGCTAGAAAGAATTCTTTCTGCCATGATTTTTGTAGTTAACCAAACCCTTTTGTACACAGATCTTTATTCCGAATGCAACAAAAATATGATTTTAGTTGCGCTTCATCTAAATAAATGAGTGGAAATCATTAATGCGTATGCATATTTAGCGTATGAAATATGCGTAGTTTGATTTGTTATGATCAGTAATGAACGCCACATATACATTATACATAGTTTAATCAATTTGTTTACAGTACGATAAAATGTTGTATTTTTCATCAGAACATTTTATCAGTAACAAATACATAATTAAAAAATAAAGCATTGAGTTCTGGTTTATTATAAAAGTATTGTGATATCCGAATCTGACGATGTCTCAGTGGAAAGGTTTCAGCAAATGCTCATAACAGATTATTTTTGAAAGACAATTGATCTGTACTTATTTTCTATTTGTGCCAGACAAACACGTTGATATCATTAGAGACTTGCGAGTGAACAAAGCAATATTTAATACCATATGATTCCAATGTTATATGAACATTATGTCTGTCATTTCAATTCGTTAAAGTGATAGATCATCTAAGATGGTGAGTAAAAACGTGTAAAATCCATATTTTGTATTTCAGTAAATGTTTCATTCATGGTATTTCCAAACATCCTGATATCTAAAAAAACTGGTTAGAAGGTGAATAAAAGTGGAGATATGAATATTGTGTTCGTATTCTTAATCAATCTAGATTTATTGTAAAAGAGTTGTAAAAGAGTTGTTTATGTTCATTTTGCTGAAACATTAAAATCCATAGTTGCTGTCAGTCCATTGTAGGCATGGTAAATGAAAAATAAAACGTGTTTAGTCTCTATTAATTTTTGAAAATAGTATTATACTATAGATATTATATCTATTTTTTCTTGAAAATAATAGTTTCGTATAATTCTCAGGCAGTAGTTCTGATTTAACAACAATATGACCACGTAAACATTGTATTAATATAGAAAACCGCACTGTAGAAAGGTTTAACTACCGCATTTTTCAAAATCTACCGAAAAATACCGCATTTTGGCAAATCTTCCGCAAAAGTACCAGTTTTTCAAATAATTACCTAAAAAACTACTGCAATTTTCAAAATCTACCATAAAACTACCGCATTTTTTCAAAATCTTCCGCAAAAGTACCGTTTTTTTCAAAAAATTACTGTAAAAACTACCGCAATTTTCCAAATCTACCATAAAACTGCCGCATTTTTTCAAAATTTTCCGCAAAACTACCGGTTTTTCAAAAAACTACCGCATTTTTTCAAAATCTACCGTAAAACTACCGCATTTTTTCAGAATCTTTCGCAAAACTGCCAGTTTTTTAAAAAACTACCGTAAAAACTACCGCATTTTTAAAATCTACCGTAAAACTACCGTATTTTTTCTAAATCTTCCGCAAAACTACCGCTTTTTTCAAATTTTACCCCAAAATGACACTTTTTTCAAAAATCTACCCCAAACCTCTGAAACTACAGTATTTTTTAAAAATCTACCGCAAAAACTACCGTATTTTTTTTAATCTACCGCAAAAACTACCGTTTTTTCTAAAATCTACCGCAAAAACTACCGTTTTTTCTAAAATCTACCGCAAAAACTACTGCAATTTTGTTGAAAAATACCGCAAAAACTACCGTATTTTGAAAAAATCTACCGCAAAAATACAGCAATTTAAAAAAAATCTACCGCAAAATTTTGGTCTTAGGTTGGCAGGTATGCGCAGGTATATTGTAAACTCTCAACTGAGGTGATATTCAATTAATAAAACATAGTAATTACCCAGTAATAGCCAGCTTGACTTGGCTTTCTATCAAACCTTAAAAACATATCTTGACTGCCTTTTTACAATGTACGTATATAATTAGGAGCATAAAATATTCACAAATATAAAGATGATTTTATCTAGGGTTTTGACAAGTCTTTTATGCAGAATATTTCTCTAAACACAATTATTCACCCATCTTCAAAAAATGTTGTCTCTTTTGATAACACATTATAGCTGAGATAATTATTGTCATTTAATATTAGCATTAACTTCTTTAAATTCAGTTTTAGTTAATGGCAATCATATTTGGTTATTCGATTGTAATGTACTCCTTATAAACGCTAAGTGTGGTTAGTGAGTGAACTTTTTTACTACACATGTCATTCATCTATAGACTGTTGGATATTAATTTTATTCAATATGAAATTAAAAAGTTACCTGAAAAATTGAAGTGAATATAAGCTAGCAACCAGAGGATGAGTGAGGATTACACATTAAAGACGTCCAGTTTACAATGTGTCAGTTTCCTTCTCATTCTCACTGCCCTCGGTACATTTTTAAATGAATTCAAACTTGATTTCATATCGGAGAAAATGAATCTTCGGCATTTCAGATCTTTAACATTTCATTTTAAAGAAGCTCTTGATTCATTGACACCCAATTTAAACTTACATTTAAGCACCAAAAGAGACAATCACTAACAACAGGAGATGTCATTTGAAACACAAGGCAGGAAAATAAATAAATGGATTGTAAATCGGCTATACTGACTTGATCAACTATTAAATCTTTGTAGTCTAAATTGTTATAGTACTATTAAGTTTATTTCAATTAAAAGATGAAAGAATTCCATTAAATGTTAGACATACATCTATAATTAGATCAACTTTCTCAATATTTGCAGTCGCTAATGAATACATTTACCTTAGCAACTGAAATGTGACCACGCCTATTTCTTAAAAGTATGCAGTCTCCTTCTAAATCAACATCATAGTACTATCAGTCTTTCTCTTGCTTGTGTGTAATCTCCGACAGTTGTCAAAATAAAGATCTTCAGAAGTTTACAAAGATGACAAAATAAATCATAAAAACAATTTTTCGTTGTAACTATCTAAACCTCAAACTATCTTACTGGACAGTTGACAGAAAACCGAGATGAGAGTCGAGATAGCGATTTGAAAAATATGAATAAAAATAAAAGTCAATGTGCATCTTTTTCAACATAAATTGAAGCCTTGGATTCATATGCCACAGATCTGTTAACTTTTGAATTCAGGTAAAGTTTTGGTTAACCACTTTTCCCCGTGAGTACTGGAGAATTGTTTGTAAATGTTTAGACATATCAGAACCCGGCCACACGTTCAGCGTGTTCATTTATGCTTTGCTTATATCTATTACCACACTGACAACTTACATGCAAGGGACCGGAGATATTTGGAGAGAGGCCTGTTCAAAAAGTTTTATTCACAAATGTAACTTACTCATTTTATAACAATTGATATATTTGCCGTAGCCTGTAACGATATGCAGGCGTATGCAATTGTAAAATATAAAGTGATGGCTGAGAAAATATTACTATTCAATCTTCCAACCCATGTATGTTTAGCCAAAATTTCCAGGAATGAAAGTGCGTTCATTTCATTTTAGGCGATAGATGTCTCTGATGGTGGGTGTATGGAATGGATGGCATGTGCCCCAATATTTTCTACATTATCTGGGGACTGATCCTTGCACTGAACGAAACAACAGGAATGCCTGTACTCACACCATGCTCAGGTGAGAGAAAGATAGCAGAAAATATATTATCTCTACAACTGGAAGTAATAAATCATAATGCAACTTAATTCAAAATGTATAAGTAGGTAGGCAGAAAAGAAAAATATGTTTTAATTTTATTTTATTTACTTATTAATTCATGAATCAATCTGTTTTTTGCAAGATGTAATATTTACAATTTCGTCAAAGACTTTAACCACACCTCGTACATTCTGCATACTGATCAAGTTTGTTTGATGTAGTTTCTCTTTAATTTATTTTCGCTTATCGTAAAATAATTGCCACATTGCTGGACATATGGGATTACGATATCTGATTAGTGGTTCCTGCAATTTATTTAAATACCCGAGAATCATTGTTATTACAATATAAAGAGTTCTTCCTTGTTTTGACTTGTGATCCATCATATTTAATTATGCCTAGATGTATGTGTGAATAATCAAAACGGTAGGCGTCTTAGTAGTTTAATTGTTTACAAAAATGTCAACAATTCTTTGGGCATATTGTTAAATCTTATATGTCTACAAATCAAACTAAAACAATATGAATTTAAAACTATTGAACGTTTAACCTTTACTTTGTTCAAAGTTATTTGTACTTCCGAGGACGGTTTCATAAACACAATCATCTTATTGTAACGCAATGGAACATATACGAGGACTGTTTCATAATCTTTTTTTGTACAATTGCAATAAAACATACAGACAAGGAGTGTTTCATTTTACATAATCACTCTAATGTATAATGTAATAAAACATTTAGAATGTCCCTCAGATTGAAAATGTCAACAACTTAATCGTACCCAAAGTTTCTAATAATATTCCATTTATGTACCAGTGTGTTCTTGTACTGTGGTCAACATTTCCAAACGTTTCCTATAAATTAGAATGTCATTATCATAGGTATTGTTTGAGGTATTGTTTGGGGTAAGTCCCTTGTCATGAGTAGGCTATTATGGATGAACGTGTGCATGTAAGCTTTTGGATAAGTGGTAGTTTGGGAGTAGAACACAATTGAAAACATATTTCTAAAATGTATTGATGTCGATTTGATATGCTGCTTGTTATGCCTTGTGTCACGATCACTGAACAAAAAGTCTGAAAAATATTTCCTCAGAAAAGTTTAAAATGTGGCAAGGGGTTTTACCTGGACAACATCATGAATGGGCGGTCCGCTATCATTTATAACGACATCAATTATAGAAATTAACCAAAACGCTGACATTTTATTAAAGCCTATACAGGGGTACATTATAGCGGGTTATATTACTTCTTTACTATCAAACCCATTGATACAAAATCATTACCCAGATCACAATTGATATCAAAGAGTCCAAACTTAGAAGAGGTGTTTAGAAGTTGAAAATAAAACTACCAGAATTGAAAAGTCAAAGAAAATATAGAGGCGAAATTAGAAGGTATGGATTGTTTATCGTTTTGACTTCTCCGTGGGTCCCCTACTTCAAAGGGGCTCGAGCTACCTACAGGGATGTCTTTTATGGAGTTTCGTCCACATGGTGCAAACATCCTTGGTAGCATGGTGGCCATCGTATGGTCGTGTATCTCATTTCATATCATTTTTGACTCAGTTAATATTTCCATTTTCTTCTTTTTGGAAATTCATTCAATATTGTAGTGTATATTATAAGGTAAATGTATTCTATGGATAATTAATATATTCCGATTGTGTAATAGATTTTCAGTTACTAATGACTCTTGTCGTATTCCTATTGTAATTCTTATAAAGCGATGGCTCCGTTATAATGAATTAGATAAATTGTATCTATTTAGAAGTGCATTACATCCAAGAAGTTATTTTAATTGTATCTTTATATTCAATGCCTATATATATGGGAATTAAGATCAAAGTGAAGAAGTACTATTTTTGAGTGAAATACTAAAATTTCAAATGGAATGTGAGCTATGCTATTCCACCTTGAGGCGAAATCACTTGTTCAACATTGTAATTATCCCATAGATGGTAGCATGATTGAATAAATGGGGCGGAGATTGGGCAGTAATTGAGTTGTGCCTCATTTATCAAAGCACCGATATTGCTGTTAAATAGATCTTCAAGAAGTCTTTGATAGCGTTTGGAACATATCTGGCCGTGTCTGTGTGATTTATGACAAGAAAAACCATTATATTTTATTGGGTAAATAATGGAGCGGTGGAGAATAATGATTACTTAGATACATTATGGTCTGCTAGAACTCAGACAGACAAGATCGGAAATGGTGTAGCGCAGGGCTGGACGATAAGCCCCTTATTATATACGGGAGATATTACGGATACTTTTAACAGAAATGCCTACACTTTTATCAGAGTGTTTCACAGTCTTGCTGTTCTCTTGTAAGTTACTGTTTCGATTTCTTTTGATCTCAACGTAAATTGTATACATAATCAATGTTATTAGATAAAATTAAAACAATCGGTCGATTGTGGTACCGTTAAAATGAAGAACCTGCGAGAGTCCAGATTGCATGTCTCTACATAGCTCGGTGACAGATATTCACGTGCTTTCGTCTCATTCTGGCAAATTATAACGCGTCGAGATGAGTCCATCTATCAAAAGCGCAAGTGTTAATTACAGGTTTTGAAACATAATAATAGCTTTGTTCAGCAATTTGTAGCACATATTGACATTTTACCCTACGGATATAAGGGTGACGAATGACTTTGCAGCAATATCATTTAATCTGGAGAACGATGACAAGTGTATGTGTGTAATTATATTGTACAGTGTCCAATTAAGCAGACCTTATCATGCACCTCGATGTTTGTGGCCTTTGATTATGTTGGGCCGACATTAACTATCTCTCTCACTAGACCACTAAATTATTGAAATAACTTCAAAGAGATACATGTATGTTACATATAGGTATTTATGAGGATTTGATTCTCACAATTTTCTAAATATTTGTACAACTATATGAACAAGGTGTTTGTGCAGTGTACTCTGCATATATCAAGGTACAATGACTTAAATATAGGGCACGTTTGATGAATATGCTAAAATATAAAAGTATATGTTACTAAATAGTGTCTAATGTATAGAGACTTAACATTAAGCTCCTCCCCTAGGCATCAATCGAACCGCAAATTTTTACAACTCATTTTTCAATGTTTAAAACTATGGTAAAATAAGATAAAAGCTACATTTGTACAATTGATACTTTATGTCGCACTGGATAAATAGAAATTCTATTAAAGTTTTTATTTTATCTCTAAACTTTTTGTGTTATATTGTGTTGTACATGTTAACTGTCCACACTCTGGCGATCAAAGCTGCGAAATTGATTTATTATCTTATTCTGAAAAAACTATGGGGTCTTGGTAATGCACAAAATGTCATGATGGAGTCCTTACATGTGTACGAGGCACTGTTTTTATCAATGAATTAAAACAAATGTTTCAATAGCATGCTTGACATCAAAGTTACATCTTAGTTAGACTGGTCAGATAAATGTCATCCGTGTCTGGGAAAGAAATCGTACAAGGCGCGTACAAAAAGTTTTAATAATGAAAAGGTGAACAAATACATGAAAAGGGATGTTAGAAAAATTATTGCAAAGATTGAATTGCATAGTTTTATACAATGTAATAACATTTAATATGTACACACACTTTTCACTATCAATGGTCCTGTCTTGATGATATTTCACTATTTACCATGTATACTTGAGATAATGTCTGTTCAATTTATACCTTTCTATTTCCAGATCTCAAACCTCTCTACTTGCTCAACCGTGTGGCACCAGATCGTCACCACCTACCAAGAGGGATGGAAATTGCTTATGACGATGAATACCTTCTTCACGCTTATAGGTTTACTTCTTCGACTCAATCGATTCATTTTCCTGCCAATGAAATATTTACAAAATGTGATTTCTTCCCAGAGGAATTTTCCATACTTGCAACTGTTAAAATACCTAAAACAAGTAACAATCGCCGTGACGAGTGTATTTTCTCATTAGTACCAACACTATCAAACAACATTAAATTGGGGTTGAGACTTACAAAGGATAAAATAGTCTTAGATTATTCCGATCATAAAACTAGTCTAGATGAAAAGAAAACAGTGGCATACAAAAACAAGAAATTATTTGACGGAGGGTGGCACACAATTATCATCACAGTGTCAGGCAACACTGTCACCTTGACAACCGACTGCCAGAAGACCCGCACCAAACGCATCGATAGGATATTTCCAGCACTTCTCAGCACAAAGGATTCTGAATTCCACGTTGCAAATTGTCATGGAGCAAAACACTTTTCAGTAAGGATAAACAAATTAAATAATTATGATGACACAGAAAAATATGGGCAATACTGAGAATGTAGGATAATTATAAGAATATAAAACTTAATTAAACAATATATAAATTGTTATTGGAAATAAATAGTTAAACTGTGTTTATAATGAAACTTTATAATATCTCATTTGTGATAAATGATGTAACTTGTATTTTAGGGTCTCATTAAACAGCTACTCATCTTGCCTGGTTCAGATGCCTCCAAACGCGCATGTCCATCTAAGACGCCATCTATACCAGACTTTAAGCCTCCATATGATGGATCACCAGGGGAAGATAACAACATACCAGGTGAACATACTTGACACTGTACATAACGTCTGTTAAATCCATATGAATTGAATAGCCTCAAGTTGATACGACTTTGAAATATGAATTCTATTAGAATAATAGTATTTTAGAAATTATTCCATTTTCAGGGTCATTAACAACGCCAGTCGCTCAATGTACATGGCGAACAACTGGAAAACTCTGGTACGACGTTCATTCAAAAACACTCAGGGTTTGTTATAGTGGCATCTGGCAGCCTATTCTTCAACCTCCAGGTAAAACTTATTGAACAATCCTCATTACGTATGTAGTTTATTTTACCAATCTCGCATTATTACATCGGCTTTTCTTTTTGATACGAATGTTCTAGAATTAATGAATCTATTGTTTTTCTCACATTACTGTTCATTAAATGTCACATAATATCGGTAAAATGTGTAATCTACACATTAACTTCTTGTCCATTATAAAACTACTTGTAATTACATCAGCAAACGACATACCTCTTGTATATCTTATTTAATATCTATCTGTCATCATTTTATTTGCTTAATTTTATATAAAAACACATGTATACATTTTGTATACATGTACAGGGTGACCCAAAAAATGCAACCCTCCATTTCTTCTATATTTTTCTTAAATGGAGGTAAATTGCTCTGAGATTTGGCACACAAGGATTTCAATCAATGTGGGATCCTCTGGCAAAGTTTTAATAATCATAGTCTCATATTGATAGAGTTATGATTGTTTCAAAATATGAATTTTGGGGTCACCCTGTAAAATAAATATGGTCGTGCGTCCTTGATGCATTTCAGGGCCCCATTACATAAAACTAATTTCTTAATTTTTATATACTGGCAAATTACATAATATAATGCTTTTATTCATTTTTAGAACAGAAGCCCAAACAGTTGGACTATATAGAATGGTACCAGGATCTTATCACACCGGCTCCAGCCATTGACCTAGATGTCTTCCGAATTCCTGGGGAAGGACTCTTCATGACAATGGCGAATTACAACGACAGCAGGAAAACTAATCAGGTAGGGGTAGTTTCTCATGTCTTTCTTAAAATTTTAGAAACCTATATCACATACGACAAAAATAGTGTTTATATTAGAATATAATTTTCTTACTGACCTCCTTTGTTACTCCTTTATTGGCTGTGATGGCGCGGTGTCGTGTCTTGTAATTTTGGTTTGAAAGACAGGGTGGCGATTCTTCACTATGTAATATCACCGATATTGTAATTTTTATCACTTTTATTCATTAAACATAATTTTGTTAATTTAATACCGTTTAGATCAAATATATTTATTTTACTGATAGATGTATTCTACGCAAAACTATCTTTAAATCTAAAATAATTTGCGTTAGTGAGATTAGCCTCCTACCCAATGCAAAGAATCGTTTTTAACAATTGTATACATGTATTTTCACTGAGACTTTAGATATGTTAGTCTTGGAATTTTACATCTTAATGTTTTGTTTTACTTTAGGCGTCCGTAGTGTATAAGTGGACTAAGGGCACATTCAGAATGTACCAGCTCCTCACAACACATGGGGCTCAGAGTTGGGAACACTTTAGGATTGGCAAAATGGTGAGTGCTTAAGAACTTTTGATCATCTGAAATTTGATGTTTGAAAAGAAATAGTTTCAGAGTTTTGAACATAGTTTATTTTTTATTTTATTCGTTGCAGTTCTTTATCGCAGTAGCAAACTACGGCAGCTCTAGAAACGAACAGACCTCTTCAGTTATATATAGATGGCACTCAAAAACTAAACGGTTCAGAATACACCAGGAAATACTCACGTGGACAGCACGCGACATTGAACATTTTAAGATAGATAAAGAGCATTACATTGCAGTTGCTAATCATGCAAAAGGTTAGACCATTTTAGGAGTTTTACCAATTTCACTTGGTGAAATATTATTTTCAAGTGATATTGATTGTACAAGTATAAGCAAGGGATTATCATCTATATCATTATGATATGCGATAATATATTTGTTCATTTATTTGTATTACCTGCTGGAGTATTTACGTCACTGTTTGTAATATCTGTTGTTTTAGCTTTTACTTTCAAATTTGACATATAACACATGAAAAATCTCAACTATATTTGAACAGTCCTCGTAGCTTTATTAATCGTTAAATTAAACTCATCATATTGTTCATATTTTCATATATTCCAGGCCAAGAAAACAAGATTAATTCAATCATATATAAATGGGATAAAAAGATGCGTAAATTCAGGAGTATTCAGGAGATACCAACAGTTGCTGCATATGATTGGACCCATTTCGTTCTTGATGGATACCACTTCCTCGTAGTCGCCAACGCATTTAATGGTGTCACTACCAGGATTGATTCAACCCTATATGTATGGCAAAGTGGTCAGTTCGTTCAGTTCCAGACATTTGAGGTTAGTTTTATGAATAGATGCATAAACGGAAGGCTATGAATGTATTGTCGTTGATAGCCCACTGTTGATATTGACCACAAGTATTACTAGAGTAAAACCTGTCTTGGTGAACACCACTTCAAGACACATTTTACATTGACTGTGCAAAATCCCCTCTGTAGTGAACACCTACGTACAATGAACTCACAATATACTAGCTATGTTTATACTGGTTACACTTAAATTTGAATGGTTACACTTAAGGTTTAACATAATATAAAGCTATTGGTTACACTTAAGTTTGAACATAATATCATAATATAAAGCTAGTGTGTTACACTTCAGTGTAAACGATACAGTGTAAACGATACAAAGTTAGATTTTGATAATTGCATGTCCCGAATCTTGTGACTTAAAATTGTATTTCTTTGTAGACTACAGGAGCAACTGACTGGGAACATTTTCGTATAGGATACGACCACTACCTCGCTGTTGCAAATGCATTTAATTATGGGCCTCAGAACTTTGAAAATAGGGACACTTATACGTGCAATTCTACTATTTATAAACTAAACAGAGTGAAGAAACAGTTTGAAAGATACCAGACAATTCTCACACACAGGTAATGCCTCAGTCACATATTGCTCTACGGTGGGCGTACGGCGACCGTAGCTTCCCAAAATCAGAAATATGCAGCATGAAATATGTAGTGATAAGTAGCACAATGCAGATTTTCTATATATCGGTTTGTGAAGCTACAACCGCCGTACAGCCGCCGTAGAGCAAATGTGACATTTGCATGTATCAAGTGAAACCTTCAATTTTAGAATAGTTTATAATCATACATAGTTCTTTTATTTGAATCCCGTGGCTTGTTCTATTGAAATGTTTGTTTTGTATCCCTTTTATTTGTTTTGTGTTCTCATCGTATTCTGCCCAGTGATTTCTCATGTTAAAAAAGGTATGAAGGAAAAAGCAGTTATACTCAAGGGGCGAGGAGGAAAATTCTCAATAAATGGTGTATAGTTGGTTTGGCAGCATTTTCAGTTAGGGGAGAGTCTTGGATGAAACTTCCACCTAGGTGATAGCTTCACAGAGTGGTAGGAAGTTCTTTTTTTGAGGAGTTAGCCCCCCACCCCCCCAAAAACACCCCACCCTGGGGAAAAAATTGTTCACACTAAATAACCTTAGATATTTTGATGTTTGTAAGTGACATACATAGATATTATATATATGAATCAATTGCAGTATAATTGATGCTGATAACTCCTAAAGAATTTGGAAATTAGTACAAAGTATGTACCCCAGGGGGCAAATTCGTGACTCATTTTCTTACTATTTTGATTCTAACTTTTCAATTAGACACTGTAAGAGGTTGGAAAAATTCATGTGAAGTGCCCAATAGCAGGGTTAGTAACCCTGAAAGATGCAAAGCCATGGAAGAGGTAGGAGCTGAGAAAAAAATTGTTGATTTTTCGAAAAATTTGACATTTTTGACAGCTGGATTTTGTGTATGACTATAGCTGACCCTTATAACTTCTAGATCCATCCCTCTATGATGATATTTATGGTTTTATAGTGTGAAACTAAAATGTAAAACATAATTTAGATGGGTTTTAAGGAAGTTAAAGGTTTTAAACAAGTCCAAAATTTGAAAAATTGTAAATATAAGGTTTCAAATTTACAAATTCCAGGTATAGCCATGGCTGACCCCTATAGTTTCTAGATCCATCCCTCTATGATGATATTTATGGTTTTAAAGTGTGGAACTAAGATGTAAAACATAATTTAGATGGGTTTTAAGGAAGTTAAAGGTTTTAAACAAGTCCAAAATTTGAAAAATTGTGAATATAAGGTTTCAAATTTACGAATTCAAGGTATAGCCATGGCTGACCCCTATAGGTTCTAGATCCATCCTCTATGATGAAATTTATGGTTTTATAGTGTGGAACTAAGATGTAAAACATAGTTTAGATGGGTTTTAAAGAGGGTTAAAGGTTTTAAACAAGTCCAAAATTTGAAAAAATGTAAATATAAGGTTTCAAATTTACGAATTCCAGGTATAGCCATGGCTGACCCCTATAGTTTCTAAATCCGTCCCTCTTTGGTGATATTAATGGTTTTGTAGTATGGAACTAAAGATGTAGAACATAATTTAGATGGTTTTTAAGGAAGTTAAAGATTTTAAACAAGTCCAAAATTTGAAAAATTGTAAATATATGGTTTCAAATTTACGAATGTTAGGTATAGCCATGGATGAGCCTTATGGTTTTTTCATCCATACCTCTATGATGAAACATATATTTTTAGAGTATGAAACTAAGAAGTAAAACATACCGAAGATGAATTTTAAGGACGTTTAAGAATTTTAACAAGTGCAATGTTTAAAAAATTGAGAAATATCAGGTCTCAAAGGAGCACAGAAAGTATCGCAACATATTTCAGACAGTCATTTGTTAGATTTTGTCTGTTTCCCGAGGATTTGAGCAGGTGCATATGATATGATATCTTTTAAACCCCTGATGGAATGCATTATTTCTTTAAAGGGGTTAACTGTGTGTCAAAACACAACATATTGATGCATGTGGGTGGGTTGTTTGCACCCTGTCTCAAATAGAAATTATTTTATCATCTCTATGAGTGCTTTTCCTGGAGGAAATGCATTGGCCTAACATATGCACCTCCTCAAATCCTCAGAAAATAGCAAAAATCCAACATGTGACTATCCTAAATCTGTTGCGATACTTTCAGTCCTCCTTTTCGATTTCAGGTATTGCCTTGGATGTCTCTTTTTTTTAATGTATGACTTTTTAGCTTAGAAATTAGATGTTGAAAATATTGTGGTCAGGTTTGATCCATGTTACAAGTATTGTTAAAAGTAAATCATTAGAGTTGAGGACCTGACCCTAGAGTTCCTAAGGGGGTGAGAGGTTAATAAATCCCCCCCCCCCCCCCCTAAAGTGTAACTGTTCCTAGGGATATCGTATACAGTGTAGTAATTGATTGGTTAAATGGATTATAACTAACTATTATTTGATGATATTTATTATGTGATATAGCATTTTTACTTTTTCACATCAACATGTTCGATGTAATGTTCTACATTGTCAAAATACATAAAGACATGGTTAATTAAAAGAAACATGATTTCTCTATATTTTGTTATGTCCATACTGTAATTAAGCAATGATCATCTTCTAATACAAAATATTATTATAAATTATCAAATTATAATCACTACACTCCCAATAAAACAACTTGTCATCAGGCAACAGTAATTATTTGGGAAAATAAGGATTATAAGGATCATACCCCGCTGGGCCTAGAAACTCCCGTTAGTGCAATGAGATTAGGAACTCCAGGGTAAAAGGGTCTTATCACACTAAAATCTTCATGTAGATCAAAAAAGTATATGGTGATATATATGATCAATATGTATTAAACAAACAGACATTGTAGAAAATGTTTACATACTGACTTTGCAGATGACGTTTTCTAGCAGTTGAAGAATTTTTTACATTTATTGAAATGATAGTCATAAAATTAGAATATCAGTGTCATTTGATGCAAATTACTGCAGTCCCACATGTTCTCCTACTGAATGTAAAACAGAGTGAATAAGTTTAAAATCAGTCTCTTCAAGAGTGGAATTTAACGGGGGATTTCAGTTATCATTTTCACAGATATTTAAGTTCTCTCCAATAGTTCCACTTAAAACAATCTTGACATTTGGCACACTTTTAGAATGCTGCTTTATTAAATTTCTTTGTAATCTTTGAAAATTTGTATTATATGACTTGGCCAAAAGGTATTCATATTTTTAGGTAATGGTGTAATTTCTTCTTTGGATTAAAGTTCAGTAGGGGAAGCATCCATTCTTCGCATTCTTTCAGAATCCTTTACTGATGGAGACTACCAGGAGTCTAATATGAAATCTATTCTTTGTGCTCCTTTACTAGATTTGATGGAGTAGTTTATATAGCTATAGCAAATATAGCTTTCCAAAACTCTCAAAATTTCAACATATAAGTTAATCTTAATTTTCCTTTTGTCATAGCCATTGCATCGATCACGAAAGTTTTATCAATTTGTGGTATGGTTTCATCGATCTCCATTTCAAACCCCTTTTTAAGTTCTGATTTTACAGATAAGATAGATGATCATTGTCAAACGAACTGTTTGTATCCACGTAATAAGATCATAGTTTACTCACACATAGCTAGGCAACATGTGTCCAATTCCAGCCAATTCAATACTTCATATGACTGCATTCGAATTTACCACTCTCATAAACCAAAGGTCAATTTTAGATTCTAGAGAAAGTAATGAAACCAATGAGCTGATCAATAACATTGACAAAAAATCTATAAATAGCATCATAGGGAATAGCATGCCAAGTGCTTGTATTTGAATTTATGTGGATTACTCATTTGGTAGACACCTTTATCAAATCTTAAAGTGTTGTTGATTTTCAAGTTGTACAAGCAAAGTGTCATGGGTGCTTTCTTTTCCTGACATAGTATTAACATTGTGGTAAAAATTATCAAATGCACCTAGTACAGTAGTTCTAGTTCATCATCTTGTATAAATGATACATCATCAGTGAAACCTGTATATCCCAACATCTGACTATTGTGAATACCTACCAATCATCATATCTAATTGAAAAATTAATCCGTCTAACTTGAACTCTTTTTACCAAATATCACATATTTCTTACAAAATTGTCAGTTTAACACTGAATTGTTATGATATCAAAACTTTTGAATTGGATTTTGGAATGCTATTAAGCTTTTTATGTGGTCAGTATAAATATTATTAATATTTTTCATTGAGAATGCATTCATATTTCTTCAAAATCCAGAACTTGTATTGTAGATGTAAAAACCTCAAAATTCAAACACTCCTAATTAGAATGCTTTTAGCTGGTCCAAATACCAGTAGCATTCAGATTAGAGAGATTTTACTGTAGTTCACGACTTTTCACTCCACCTATATGCAGCAGACTAACTGCTGCAACAGGTATATGTTCTACACCTGGTCTCTAAGCTATGATATCATAGTTGATACTATTATGCTCATAACCTTCAATTATCAGGGCTCATTCAAGGCTGTACCTGAATAACGTGAATTTGAGACCAATTTTGAGATCAATTTTTCAAATTTTGTACTTGTTTAAAACCTTTAACTTCCTTAAAACTCATCTTAGGTATCTTTTACATTTTAGTTAAACACTCTAAAATGATATATTTCATCCCTGAGGTATAGATGTAAAAACCATAAGGGTCATCTTTGGCTATACCTGAAATTCATAAATTTGAAACCTAACATTTATAATTCTTCAAATTTTGGACTTGTTTAAAACCTTAAACTTCCTTAAAATTCATTTTGGATATGTTAAATCTTAGTCCCACACTCTAAAACTGTATATTTAATCATAGAGGTATGGATGTAAAAATCATAAGGGTCAGCCGTGGCTATACCTGAAATTCGTAAATTTGAAACCTTATATTCACAATTTTTCAAATTTTGGACTTGTTTAAAACCTTAAACTTTCTTAAAACCCATCTAAATTGTGTTTTACATATTAGTTCCACATGGCAAAACCATAAATATCATCACAGAGGGATGGATCTAGAAACTATAGGGGTCAGCCATGACTATACCTGGAATATGTAAATTTGAAACCTTATATTTACAATTTTTCAAATTTTGGACTTGTTTAAAACCTTTAACTTCCTTAAAACCCATCTAAATCATGTTTTACATCTTAGTTCCACACTATAAAACCATAAATATCATTATAGAGAGATGGAGCTAGAAACTATAGGGGTCAGCTATAGTCATACACAAAATCCAATTGTCAAAAATGTCAAATTTTTCGAAAAATCAACAATTTTTTTCTCAGCTCCTACCTTTTCAATGGCTTTGCATCTTTCAGTTTTACTAACCCTGCTATTGGGCACTTCCCATGAATTTTTTCAACCTCTTACAGTGTCTAATTGAAAAGTTAGGATCAAAATAGTAAGAAAATGAGTCACGAATTTGCCCCCTGGGGTACACACTTTGTACTAATATTCAATTTCTTTGGGAGCAATCAGCATCAATTATACTGCAAGTGATTCATATATATGTAATTCTATGTATGTCACTTACAAACATCAAAATATCTAAGGTTATTTACTGTGAACAATTTTTTTCTCCGGGTGGGGTGTTTTTGGGGGGTGGGGGGCTAACTCCTCAAAAAAAAGAACTTCCTACCACTCTGTGAAGCTATCACCTAGGTGGAAGTTTCATCCAAGACTCTCCCCTAACTGAAAATGCTGCCAAACCAACTATACACCATTTATTGAGAATTTTCCTCCTCGCCCCTTGAGTATTAACAACGGCGTTGGGTATTTAAGTTTCGGTAATTAAGTTCATGATTGAACAATTAATATATTTTTTCTATGTTTATTTATTTATTCTACTTTATTTAAAGTGCAATAGATTGGGAGTCATTCAGGATTGGTGACGACCACTACCTAGCGTTATCAAACGCCCAAAACGAGCCAGAAAATTCCCCTTCCGAGAAGACCAGCGTCATCTATCGGTGGAGAGGTGTAGAGAAATTTGTAGAAGAGCGGAAGTTATACACGTTCCCGTCCACAGATTGGGAAACCTTCAGAACTGGTGGAATTACTTATCTAGTCTACGCAAATGCTAAGGAGAATATATCTCAGTTATATAAGGCTAGGTTGATATAAATTAAACGCAATTAGGGGAATTATAAGGCCGTTAATATCTATGAGGAGTAGGTCATTAGTGATCCCCTTCCTCTTATATTAAGACGATACTATATCTGATATAGGAATATAAGCGTGGGTAACTTACTCCCCGTGTTAGTATCAGGTACCTATAGTCTTCCAAACACTGAAGAAATCATACTCGTATATTTTATGTTATACACTTGTAATAAAATTGCTTGGAGAGACGTACTCTTCATTAATAGAGCTAAGATGAGCCTGTTTTCTTAACCTTGTAATGTTATTCTCGGTCTTCCTTAAAATCACAGAATGTCCAAAGAATACGTAATACTCTCAGCAATACTTCAGGTTTTTATGTCACTACCAGAAGTGGTGACATATTGTTATGGTCTCTAACCTTTTTGAGGATGGCGTTGGCGTCTGTAACAGCATTTGGCGTTTCGACAGTTGGAGTCTGTGACAAATGACAGGTGGTGACATTTTGCATGTTAATGTCATGTAAGAAATTGGCGTTAGATGCAGTTCAGGCATGAATATTCTGTAATTCTGATTTACTTGAGGGATTAATGTTGGAAAAAGTCCCTACAATTGGGAATTTGTTAGAAGGACAAAATCTGTATCCATTTGTTTAAATGGCTACCAAGGATAGAGGGTGTGTCTTTTTTTAATATCTTGGTGTAAAATGTGAGATATCTATCAAGTATGGAAGTAATTAAAGTTGCAAAATTGTCTAAAAATTGGACATAAAATAGACATATGATATGTTCTTTCAGAATAATTACAAAATAATAAAATAAAAGCATTTTTATTATCAAAACTATATTTAGTAACATAGCCATAATACTGAATGCTAAGAGCAGAACTAGTGTAAAATGTTACACTGGTGTAAAGCATCAGGATCATTGGGCTTAAGCAGTGTATAAAACCATTGTAAATATTGTACATTTTATTTATTATTGTCTACATGTATATATGTGTCTTATATGTCCTCGTATTCAAACTTACAATGAATGCATTTAAAGTATATCAATTCTTACTACTGTATTACATTATGCCAGACTATGCATTTACTATAGTTAAAGAATCTAATGGTTCTGTGTAATCTCAGAGAGGTAAAGGTGATTTATATTAGCATTAGAAATGTGTGAAATAAGCTAATTTTTATAAGCTCTAGATGAACTGTTTTATTACATATTGTAATTATGTTGTGTTATAACAATAAAAAACCAATATATACAGTATAATTTGATTTATTCAAATGGGTGTTCAATGCACATTACACTGCATCCACTTAGGGGAAAGACATGGGAATTGCAGACAATCAGTTCCACAGATTCAACCCTTATTATTCGATGTAGTAGGTAGTATGGTGTAGGTGTCTATCAAACTGGAAACACACATTACAGCTCAGGTTGAAAGCATGATTGCCATATTGGGAATCAGTCCACATCCAAAAAATGGAGTCAATCCACCAATGGATATTGTTAACCTTCACTTCGAAAACAATGATATGTTCAATTTTTTTGAGGATATCAACCATAAACATGCAAAATGTCTCCACCTGTCATTTGTTACAGACACCCCCATCGAACAACAACTGCCAAACATTGGACACAAAAAAAAATTGGAGACTTTAACAACATGTGGTGACATGAAAATCAGAGATTAGGATCAACTTTCAAAAATAGCTTTCGTCATTCTTTCTAAAAATTCCAAAAGTTTGTACATAATGTGAAAAAATTTGTGTGTCCAAAATGCACCATTTGATATTTGGAATATATAAGATCAAAACTAAACTGCATGTGGAATAGGATTTGCGATATTTCCATCGCAATGAGCCAAACTCCCAAACTCACCCATACAATACATTTGAGATTTAGAAAAATACATGTTATTAAATTCAATAACATATTTCAATTTCGCCATCTATTAACAGCAATCTTCCTCATAATTTGAGAGCAGGTAGTGTGGCAGATAACATTATTCAAGATGGAATATTAGGATGACCCAAGGCATTTTAGTTGTAATCTTTGACTGGTTGAGAAAGTAAGCTGGTAAGAGGTGTGAGTAATAATTCAATTTGGACTATTTGAGAAATGTAACTTGGCAATTCAATCAACAACTTGATTTTTTGGTCATTACAATTAAATGGCATGCAGATAAGTACAGCTAAATAAGTACAAAACATGTTTATTATAGTCTATTTAAATAAAATATATTTGTATACTATACCTACTGCACATAAAGCAATTAATAGAACTAGCAAATGACAAAATAGCATTACACATATTCATATTATACTCTCCATAAACATAAAATGGCAATTTCTGTAACTCTGCTCCTAAATCAACCTAAAATGTCTTATTCATAATGATCTGTAATTCGACCATCAATGGACTTTGGCACAGATTTTTTGGCAAATATCAAAGCTTGAAAACATTGCTTGCCTAGTAACCAGTTTGAAAAGATCTAAACTGAAAAGAGCTCTCTCATTTTTAATTCTAAAAGGCAATTTATTCCAGTACTACTTGAGCGATTTTTAGGCTTTTATATCTCTAGAAAAATAATTTAAATCAAAGTCAATTGATGTTACAAAAAGTTACAAATCATAACAAATGAATGAAAAAAAAGAAGTTTTTAAGATCAGAATTACAGATATTGCCTCTTTTAGTGATTTCCCTGCCAAGATTGAAATCTTTTATATTATAAAGAATAATTTACACCGGGGGGGGGGGGACTATACAAGGCATTGGGTGAATAAATAAGATATCCAGCATACCCTTATTCAAACCTCATAAAGAAAAGAACCATGTGACATTTGCTGAAAATAAATTTTGATTCTCATTATGTTTTATTGTACATGAGGATATGTGACAATCAAATGTCTCATCCTTACTAAACACCCTAATAACCCCCCCCCCAATTACCCGAGTCTAATACTGATAATTGTAATATTGGAATGACTTTAAAATAATAATCAAGAGTTTATATGTAACTTTATGTAGGATTTGTTAAATATATCCATGGATATAATTCACAATATGTGACTTAAAGCTAGATATTTCATAAAAACAAAAAATGAGATCAAGATTTTCAATAACATTGTTACAAATGTTTCCCTGTTGGTGAACCACCCTGTAAAAATCTGACAATGTAAAGTCTTTATTTTATTCATTTACTGTAAAATATGATCAATCAGTATTATTACCACCTTGCAGGGCCTGTTCTAGGGGTTTTAGTACTAGTTAAGAAGGCATTTAAATTGCTATATTGACGTGAGCAATATTGTGTTGGGCGTTAATGACTTTAATCGGGCAATAATGACATTATCCGCCCGGCTATGTTTCCAGGGAAAAGTGATATCGTTCAGTGCGTAAGATTTTCTTTTTCAAATTTGCTATTTCAGCCCTGGACATTAACGGTGGTAATAATAGTAATGACGTCATTTCTGCGGGCAAAATAGTGAAATATTGGACCTTGGGCCTGCGGCCCTTGATCCAATATTTCACTATATTGCCCTTTGAAATGACGTTATTGTACTATTGTTGGTTCTTTTTTTCATTTTTGGCTCTTGGTCTCATTTTCGAAATATGATTAAGAAAATAAACACTTTTTTATTTCAAAATAGGACTCAACATGTTGACCTCAGTTGATTTAATAAAGTCTACAGGTATGTAATGTATATATTAAAGAGTGTCAATGTGGACGGACAGTAAAAATAAGATAAAATATGACAAATAAAATAAAACATCATATTTTTTACACAGCTTATGCCTTGGTCACATTTGCTCTGATCCATCAGCCGGCGCCTGCCCGATTGAGTGTTTTGTTCAATATTGTATTCAATTTTGAACAAAATACTCAATTGGCCAGGCGCCGTAGTGAAAATCTGAGCAAATGTGACCAAGGTATTACACAGACTCTGTACATAGTACATGAGAATGAAAAGTAGCCTGAATAAAACAGTGCAATGGTCAATTTTGCTTTTTTAACATTTGATTTCATTATATTCAGAATATTTTGAAATTGTTTTATTTATTGAATTAACCATTAAACTGCTCTACCTAGGCTACGAAATATATATATATCTTTTATTGACTAACAGTATAACAGTTTATTAATATTATTTGGATTATTCAATTTCTGTCTTAAAAAAGACCTAAACCAGTTCTAAAGAGTAGATCTCTTGGCAAAACAAATAAATAAATATCACAAAGTATTCAAAAATTAACATTTTCATAAACATTATTTCTTAACATGTTATTTTTAGCAATAAACTGTACTGTACGTTACACTCGGTGTATGTGTACAGTACTTATCATATATTCATCATGAACCTTTCAAAACTCATAAATGTAAATACATTTTATGCATTATCATCATATTATTTCTTTGCCAAACTAAAATTGACATTTTTCAAAAATATATTTGTAAACAGCCATATCTATAAAAATGTTGATACTAAGTGTAACAGTATATAAAATATAAAAGCTGCTCATTGGCAATCACATTTAATGAGTTTAGTTTAACTTAATTTAAACAACAATTTAATATGCAGATACTGTATACAGTAATAATTATTACACTGGATGAAAACTTAGTGATCATACAGACAAGCTAAGGCAAGCAAACAATATATAGTACTATACAAGGTATATGTATATGTACATAATTATAAAATTATGCTATTCATTATTACATGCAAGGCAATCATACAAGGCAATATCTAAAAAGTTGGATTTCATGGCTTATCTTTGACTCTCCCACACATGATTTGAAAAATGGATGTACTATATACACAATATAAGTATTATGAAACTTAATTTTAATATTTCACAGAAAGCTCTCCCAATACTAGGCTTGACCTTAATCTTAAAGACTGTATATTGTTGCGGGCATCAGTGTTCTAGGTCAGGTCCAGCCTCTTTAAATCATTGGAAAGATTCAGCAAGGAAGTTTACAGCCCAATTGTCCAGAATGGTCTTCTGTATAATTGAAAATCGATTCATTTGAGGTTCTGCAAGTCCGGCTTGACCTGGAGTAATGCCTGATCCACTTTCAGTGTATGGGTTGAGTCATTGCTGAGTTTCACATATTGATTTTTATATTCAACAAGAAGAACTGATCAAAGTTTTTCTTGATATCCAAGGCGATCATGTCCAATACCCTTTCCCAATAACCCTGATCCTCCACCTGTCACATTGCAACTTATTTGTCACATGACGACAGACTTCTCACATTACAATTCTCCCAAATCATTACTGGACCGAATCTTCAAAAACAAAGTCCCAGGTTTTTCAACATCTTTTTCTTTCTTTCCCTTGCCCATGAGTTTGTATTCCTTTGACTCTTCGGAGTCGAGGCCTGTTTCTGGCACCTCAGCTATTCCCATAAAGTCATCTAACATTGTATTGTGGTTCATCACCTGAATATGAATGTATATATTTAATGAATCTCCATCAGTAAAAATATAGTTTTTACAATTCAACAATGAACGCAATACAACAGTCAAAATTTTCAGAATACAACAATCAATTTTACAGTACATCAAGTTGCCGTTCAGTTTTTCACAATTTTCTATTGAGTGTTGCGATGCTATTTAGAAATGCTACACTCAAACAATTTGCTATCCAGTTCTACACCACAAATTAATGATACATTCTTTCTAAATTTACCTCAACAGTAATTGGAATATCTGGTTTCTTCCTGTAGAATATAGTTTTCAAGTTCCAGACTGGATCAAGAGTTTCTTTGTTCCACTCTGACTTGACAGTTTCTCCCTCACATTTGATCACAACATATGGGTCAGTGGCTAGAAGATTAAACAATATACATTTCAAACAAGGCATTAACATTAAAATGTCACTACCTGCCATTTGTTAGAGACATCGACATTGAACTTCTGAACTTCTGGTGGCGACATAAAAATAGTGTAATATATAAAATATTAGTGTTTTATATGTATTCCAAGTATTATGAATTACACCTTGAGCTTGCATGGCCATGCCCATTGTAATATAAACAGAACTATGTAAATGAAATGAAACATGACTTCATTATCCCTTATTACTTTATTGTGAATTATTTATTACTGCATTCATACTTAACATGTTCAGGTAGTTTATTATGGGCTTCATGGAATCTAATTGATGCAATTTAAGTTTTTAATGCTATTTTATATTTCAAAATAGAGCTGGGTCATGGAAGGGTCTGGTTGAGCTAAAACAGTTACAAGATCAATTCTATGCCAATTGGCACAAATCTTGGCTCAATTGATAATATATGTTATATAATTGTAATTGATAGAATAAATGGTTATGTTCTGTCTGGACTCTGACCATGGAAATCTGTCCGATTGGGTTGTGCCAAGGATGTAATAATAACAATGGCTGACTGCATCCGGGCATATCAGTTCACCTGCCCCACGTCTATTTGAAAACATTATTTCACGATGTAATTTATCCATGATTTGTTACTTACTGTTTTTTTCGTTCTTGGCGAGGCCCTCTGCATTTATGATGTCAACACATGTTACCATGACATGTGGCTTAACACAACACTTGCTGGCAGGTGCGTCCTCCACTAGTTCCCTACAAAAATGTACTAATTGAGAGCTCCTGAATATGTTTAATTCTGCCTATTTGTGGGATCTATCTTACATTCATTTTACATTTAAACTCTTGAGAGTTACATTTGAGACTAATGAGATTACCTAATTGAAAGGGATATATTAAGGTAAGAAAATGATGGTGTTTAAGTTAGGATCTAAAAGATTTAAAATAACTTTAATTATTTTGTTATACTTGCTATAAATGGCTCTTAAAACAAATTAAATGATGATTATCAACAACAACTATCAACAAGACAAACACATGTAATCATAATACCAGCAATATAACATTGTTGTGATGTCTATTTGAAATCTTAATTCAAAATGGAAGCCATCAGTAGGTTTCTTCATTAATACTAACACTATTAAAATGTAAATTTGTGATAATAAGTGAAATTAGAAGTGTATGGGCTGTTTTGGAGAGCCAAATAGAGAAAATATTTGGATATACTTAGTAGAAAAACACCCATCATGCACAAAGAAGAAACATCCCCAAGAATATACAATGGATTCCTCTAATAATGTTTCATTTAACACCCTAATATTGGCTCAAGGAGAGCTGGAAAGTACATAAACTCAAAAATAGGAGAAAGTACACAAACACACAGAGTTGGAGTTGATTCTATCATTCACATGAATTGCTTGAAGTACATGCAGTAGAATGTGGAAGGTGCCCAATAACACATCCTAGGCCTACCTTCCACTCTTGAGAAAGCATAATCTCAAGGTTGGAGGCCAATGGACCTTACCTAACTAGTTGAAGGTTTCTGAACACAAATAATGAAGAACAAAAAAACTTTGAAAGCAGTGTTAAACAGTGATAAAATAATATATATGCACAGTTGTTGTTTTATATAAGCTATATATTTGTACTCAGAATGTACGAGTACTGTCTCATATTTACAGTATCATGAAGTGTGAGTTATCTTACGTAAGGAACATGTTATATTATTTTCTAGTCCTCGAAAAAAAAACTGACTGAAGTCCAATGACCCAACTAAATAGGGTTTAAATCAATTTCCCAACCTAATCAAACCCTAGAACTACTCCCTGTTAATTATTATCATGGGCTTTCAATTAGAGTTGAAAGCCCATGTTATTATTAAGGAAAAACTTAACTTACTTTGCAAGAGCATTACTTCCAGTGTAAAGCCTTAGTAGGAACTTTCCTTGAATGCCTGCTTTAAATATGGAAGGAATTATAACATAGCGGCCTTTCTCTAAATGGAATCGTGCAAATTGGCAACGCTTGAAGACAAACTCAGTTTCATGTATCTTCTCACCAGGGACGTGCACTCTGTAGCGTCTGTTCGTTTCAACCTAACAAGTGTTGAGAAAATAAAAATGTATTTGTCGTGAAAATTGTTTTATAACAAAAGTTCATATATCACAGACATGTTAAAGCTAAATTTTACTTAAAAATACTTCATTTTTGGATGTGGGATGAAATATTTTACAGTAAGATTTATCTTGAAAATGTCTTTGATAGATGAAGTTTTGATAGAATATGAATACTGCCACTGCCAGACAGATACACATTCACTCTCATGATAAAATTGTAGTGAAAATAATAATTTATTTTAAGAGGGATGGAACTGAAGAATTTTTACAAATAATCTAAGGTGCCCTAAAATGTTCTCCACTCGTGAATTTGAATAGTTAAGATCTTCGGGAACAGAGTCAGTACAATAGAGTCCATAAATTACCCTGAATCCACATGGGGTCACACAATCCTCTGACTAACACAAATGATTTCAAAGTTTTGATGACAATAACAATTTAGTGATCTCAAATATACCTTTCATGACCAATGTATGTGTTCTACCATATTATTTGTAGAACCAATTACAACTGTGCCTCTTATTAAAGTAAATGAAACCAACAAACTCCTGGTAAGGATAGCCTCCTTTGTATAATGGTCTTACCTTCATTACATGGAATCCAATCTGGTCATGTGATGATCCAAGTTTTCTTTCCTTTCCTGCATCATCTTGCTCTAGAGATATCATGATCACATCCTTTGGACCATTGATGTCAAACACAAACTGAAAACAAACGGGGTGATGTTGGAAAGTGTATTCCATGATCAAAATACAATGGGCCCATTGCTCAATCTTTGTATGTTAAAAATACATACTGTAAACATCTTATATGATCACAACAGAATGTGCACATTGTCAAATCTTGAGCAGTTTGTATGTTAAAAAGACATGCTTGAAACACAAGACAGAGTGTCAGTTATCACACATTTCAGCGTGTGATTAAGAAAATCTTCCACGAAAGTAAAATTGTATCACGACGGAAGCGAAGCTTTTGGGAGAAAGCAATTATGTTGCATATGCCTACACATTTCTTACACTTTATATATGCTATATTTCTAACCTGAGGGTTAAACAGGAACCCTTGTGGGTTCTCTGCACTGCATCCCCCACTTAGTTCTCTTGTCCAATTTCCAGGCAGTAGGGCCTCATGCCATGTTCGCTTTAGTGAGAAGAATGCAGTGTTCACAAAATGGCAGACGTCTATACCAGTAAAGTGCTTCAGGAAGTCATCAAATGACATCCTACAATGAAACAATGAAGAATTGTAATATCTCCTTATGTTTTATAGAAAATATGCTGAGGCAAGGTGCTTGTCAGGAACCATAATTATGCATTTGTTCATCATACAGTACTATCCTTTTGCATGGTCAAACCTCAGAGAAGCAATGGCAAAGACTGTATAACATGGAATTAGTATAGTTATTTATCAGACATGCACAACATTTTACATAAACATATTCATGTGTACTCAAGAAAAAATGATTCTCAAGTGAGTGCAGAATTCTAATTTTGCAGTTCTACCAATTAGATATGTACTCAAAAAATGTGCACATTTTCAAGTTGAAGGTGCAAGCCTATTTTCCAGATGCTCTGGGTGCAGAAGCTGTTTGACTCAATATGCTGGATATATATCAGTATTAATATGAACATACCAGAACTCCCCCTCCTTGTCAAACACTATCCCCATCTTGTCTCTGTCCTGTGCATTTACCATCTGCCACTCCCGGGAACTGAAAATAAAGTGCAGGTTTTGCATGTTTTTCATAAACTTTTGTACATCAGGAAACATAACAATAACAATATAATAACTGAAATTTCTGGCACCTTGCATTTTACACACATCGGGGCATTACTGCATAAATAAGGATGCTTTGCAAGCTGAGCTTTTGAATTGTATATCTGGTACAATTTTCTTTGATTTTACATAACTTGGGAGTGCAGTATATCAAAGTTTGAAAAATTCTTCTGTGCTTCTCACATGAGATAAGAGGTGTTTATCAGAAAGACGTGTATACAGGGGAAGTGTTCACCAGTGAGAAGTATTCACTAGAAATGTGTTTACCAGTAAAAGGTGTTCATTGATCACCAGAGAGATGAGTTCTAAAGTGAACACTGTGCAAATTAAATCTGATAGCATATGGCCAGAAAAAGACTTAACATAATCAATACAAGCGCAACAGTTACAAGAGAAGCACATTATCCCATAACGCAATTGATTAACTTAATATTATCATTCAATAATACACAAAGCCTCTGTTTCTGGTTAGCATATTTATATTGATCAACCATTGATGAGTTTCCCTTATAATATATATGAGTATACTTTAAAACCTGTATTATCTATTGTTAACTTTCTTTTGCTAGGAAAAATTGTTCACTATATTGAGGTGTTCACTAGAGATAGGTGTTCACTAGAGATGAGGTGTTCACTAATACAGGTTTTACATTACAGCCGAATAATCTTAATGGAGTTTGAAATATGAACATTCATATCTCGTGGATTTCTAAGCTGATCTGAATGTGTATAATCTAATTTTTTATAGTTTTTCTGTAACTGTCCCTCTCTTTTAAGGTATTTTATTGGAATAAAATAAATAAATAAAGGACAAAAATATGCGTAGGTTCATTCCATTCCATTCCATTACAAAAAGCGAGTAATGACTGTTTTCTCACTGAATGAAACAAATATTTACTGTATAAAATGGAATTTCCTACACATAATGTAATAATGTAATATGCTACCATAAAATCCTACTCCCTCTACTCAATTTTCTGAATTACACCCATACGTGCCAATACTAATGAAGATACTGTATACTTTATAATATAAATAATTAATAGGTGATTCTATTTTATGGATTTGTATGAGATACACAAAAATACTACAGACCAACAAACTCTACAGAAAGCCCATGGGAATACCATGAAACTTAAAAACATTATATCTTCACAGTCCTAGAAATGAACAAAGCAATAATAGAAAATACATGTACACATATTGCCTATTTCACTGAAATGTTCCAAAATATTTCCAAAACAATCAATCAGCAATGTCTAAAATTGGAAGACCAACCCTGCCTGTGTAGGCCTCATTTATATATCTGTGATTTTCTGATATCAGTAAAAAGTCCACCTCATTGCAACTGGACAGTCAACATTATGTGTGAAATACTGAATCTTACTTGTCTGACCATGCTCCAGTCCATTCTTCTGTTCCCCATGGATTCCTTATCCTAACCAGGTAGAGTTCATTACCAAGCTGGGCCTTGAGATTTTTCATCACTTCAATTTTCTTAATTGCCGTCACACCGTAACTGTGACCCTTTTTTAAACCTTGCTCACACTCTTGTCCAATTTCATCTTTTTCGCACTGAAATTTTAATTCATTATTTTTTATTCCATGGTTTCATAAACTTATTACAATAACAAAGATAAAGTCATTTTTTGGTAGTTTATCAGGAGTAAATGCGCAATAATGTAAAATGTCAAGAATGCAGATTCATTTAATTTTGTGAGCACAAAAAATGTCAAGCTTGAACACTCAAGTGAACCAGTCGGCTCTGCTGAACCTCCAAAAATCATTTTAAAAATAAACCTTGGCATTTACATACACAAGTTTAACAGTTCTATACGCCAAGCATTTTTTGTGATCTCATCTCTCGTGAACCTAGTACAATAGTCTGCATTGTTCATTTTGATGCATCCTTGTATGTGGTATGCATAGGACCAATGTCTACAATTTTCGTCTTATATTCCATCAGGACTAGATATATTTATCAGCACATTTTCTTGTTTGAGTTACCTCATTTTCTTTTAACTAATTAAAAATTTTAAAATATTCATGGACTTACACTGATGCAAGCAGTAATTAATGAGCGATTTTCAATTCCATCTCTCAAGTCCAGAAAAAAATTATTTAGACCATCCTTGTCGTGTAAATCGAAAAGTGTGAGATCATGTGACTCTGCGACTCCACCAGTGAAGTCAACGAGCGTGTCTGCTGTGCATCCATTTACTAGAGACTCATAGTCACCATACAGTCTAAAATAAGATATGCAATTAATAAAATGTACTGTTTTTATAAACAAATCTCCAAAATTGTTTCACCTTATTTACATCTAAAATAGCTTGACAAAAAGTAGCCTCTCTTTACTAAAATGAAAACTTTGTTTTGATAGAGTTGATCTTACCTCAGTAAATACTGAAAAATGTTTTTCAAAACAATAATGGACCCATATTCTTTCCAGAGAAAACCAACTCACTTTGCATACGCCTTTTCCAGCAAAGCGCTCCAAAATTCATTGCTAGAATTTGAGTGACAGAATATTAATTTGTTATCCTTTGTAGGAAGTAAATCGTCTATCACTACATCTATCCAATCGCCAAATCGCCAAAATTGGAAATGTAATATCCCAGCATATGGGGCTTCGTTGCTGTATTCCTGCTCTTTTATATCTGGGATAACCTAAAAAGTACATTATATTTTTGTGATAATTAAGGCAGCCTATTGCTTGTCCCTCATTAGTAGTAAGGAAGGGGTTCACAAATTAATTTGATAGATTAAAAATACATGTATACTCAAATAATTTTGATCTTCGAATCAATGAATCAATAAAGAAATGTCCTGTTATAATAACCCAAGTTAAATGCTGATTCCATGTACTGATATCATGTTAATTATTAAATTGGTTAAAATATAAATAAATAAATATGGCCATGTATTCTTCTTCTTCTTACCTTTGCCCACATCTTTGACTCCTGTGCGAGACTAGAACAAGCGGAAACAAACCAGCAGTTTCCCAGTTCTCCCTCACTCAGGTCATCGCAGGACACTCCCTTTACAACCAACTTTGGCACTTTGCACAACTCCTACAAGGACAAGGAGCAGTTATTCATACTAGTTCAAAGTAAAACTTAATCTGAATGCTACTGGGACCAGCCATATATATGTCATCCTCCTAAGCAGGTATCCAGAATCTGTACCTCCTTCTTCCCCCTGCTATAACCAATTTGGTAGGGCCCGATTAAACTGAATCACGTGATCTAATTATGCGCAATGACTTATACATGATTTTTGTCGCAGTGTTGCAACAGCCAATCAGATTGCGAGTTCTTAATCGGGGAAACGCTAACTGCTTGTCGCAGAGGGTAAAAAGAAAAAATATATTCTGGATTTTGAACCCCTGTGATCGGAGGATGTATATATGCCGACAGACTAGTGTTCAAATGTCTTTTTTAATGATCCGAACTTGCAGATTTTATTCACTCTATATGAAAATGTAAATAAACTTATACAGCTTAATTCAATCTCTTATTGTTTCAGTGATCACAGAATGAAAATGCTCAGAGCAATAAATATATGCTTATTCAGCATTTTTGGGTTAGCCCAGATGTATGGGACACCTGTCAATAAGGAACAGTTTTATCCAGTCCGAAGAGTGCTCCTTGTTTGCAGGCTTTACTGTATTTTAACATGTAAGTATATGGCAGATAAAAAGAAATGGGACCAAAAAGAGCTGTATACGAGTAAGCACTGTAAGTAAATATTATGCAATGTACTCTGTATTGAGTGTTTTTCATTGTTATAGCAATTACTCGAGCTGTTGATAAGAAAGGGTTGAGATAACCTCTGGGAGATATTGGTTATCTATCAATGCTAATATTCAATGAATAATTCAAAATGAGGATAGATAGAGCTCTATTTCTCAAAAGAGCTAAAATGGAAAGAGTTGCTTAGGTTTTTAAGTTATATGACAATTGGTTCAAAAAGGGGTTAACTCCTTTTAGGGGCGGGGTCAAAATATCGATGTTCATATGGAGACGAAAGTACTTTCGCGAGGGGAGGGGGTTTTTGGGCACTTTCGTTGACCAAAAAGACATCGATAATTCGGATCATAGGAGACAGGTTACCTGAAAAGGAAGATAGATATCATTATCAAGGACTGAAACTGAGGCAAGTCTACCCTGGCTGAAATCAGCTCTAAAATAACAATTACTGCATGTCAAGCCGTCATTCAATGCTGATTTTGTAGAAAACAGATCTGTCCATCCTTCTACATGTGAGTTTTTCCCATAAAGATGCTTGATTAAGTAGAAATTCATCAAATTATACCCCTAGAATATCAAAGTTCAACTGTACATCAATCGCGTGAGGAAAAAAAACAAATCCATTCTTCACCTTCTGTTCACAAACCCTTCTTCTTCTTCTTGGAAAAGTTGTCCCTCATTTGACTAACAGCAAATGTGTATGTTTATGCAGCAATATATGTTAGTTTAGAAAATGATTAATTACAATCTTACCTGTACTTCACAGAAACATCCTAACCCTTACGGAAAATAAAAGCTGTGACAGCGCTGCCACAGCGCTGTCGCAGCGCTGTGACAGCATATAGGCTTAAACTGATGGCTGGATCAATTTCAGCGACAATGCTCTCACATCCATACGCTGCGAGAACGCTGTGAGAGTGCTGTCACAGCATTGTATTTCCATCCATCGCTGCGAGAGGGATGTGACAGTAATTAAGTGGCTGGATCAATTACAGCAACATGCTATCTTAGCCAGAGTTTGTGGCAGCGCTCTCACAGCGCTCTCACAGCCCTCTCACAGCAGGAAGTACCAATGCATTGTGGGTTATAAAATTCAAACTGAAAATCAGTTAGAGCAGGAAGTTTGTAGGAGGAAAAAGCAAAGGAATTATGCTGAAATGGCCATCATATCATTACTGATTTATAAAGCACATGTAAGGTATTGTACTACTGATTATTTATAGATACCTTTGGAATGTTTTAGTGATCTAAGGAAAAGGATCAAATGATATGAATTTTGTGCAAGTTAGTACTGGTTAAACTAGAAGTCTGAAATATCAATGTATATAGTCCATATAAACTATATGTCCATATAAAGACTTGCAGATGAACTTTGTAATTTCAGAAAATTCCAGGTTGGTTCACATTTGATAAGTTGAATGGGTTAAATGACTTTAAATATGTATGCAAAAATGCAAAAGGAAAGGACCAAAAATTGTTGCAGAACCCATCCAGACATAAGAAAAAAACATGTTGGGCCTGAAGCCAATGAGGGGGTCACCTTTCAGAAAATTCACAGTTGGTTCACCCCTCCTCCCTCTCCTGCCAGTCATAAGGAAAACAAACTCCAGCTAATTTCATGGCCAGTTCATTTAAATATGAATATAAATGAGTTGGTCATGAATTAGTAGGTTAATCCATCAGCCAACAACCAGCAGTTGGATTGGCAAATGTAAGCTAAGTCGATCAAGTCAAAGAGAGTAATTGTTTATGAAACTTGTCAAATAATAGTACAATAACGTCATTTCTAAGGGCAATATAGTGAAATATTGGGCCGAGGGCCGGAGGCCCAAGGTCCAATATTTCACTATATTGCTCGCAGAAATGACGTTATTAGTATTATAACCACCGTTGACAACCAGGGCTGAAATAGCAAGAAAATCTTACGCATTGAACGATATCTAATTTTCCGGGGAAAAATTGCCGGTCCAGAATATATTCTAGACCGGTCCATATGGACCACCACTATGACGTCACACATTTCTCAGGTCGATATAGTAAAAAAATGAATGCCTTCTAAACTAGCACTAAAACCCCTAGAACTGGCCCGGGAAGGTGGTAATAACTGGTAATAATAAAGGTTGGAAACAAAAGAAATAGCTAATAATTGCTCCCCTTAGCAGGCACGATCCAATTTCAACCCATATTTTTAAAATCGTTTCTTATTAACGTTTAGTCAACTAGTCAAATAGAGTTATTAATTTCGTTAATGGGAATCATATTAATATTGGTATGTATGCAGCAAAAATAGTGACTGGCCAGGTTTAACAGTGTGACTGGTAAGATGTAACAGCTATTTTTTAATTTTGATTACCTATTACTAGTATTACAAGCCTAGAATCTACTTTTTCCATGCTGAATTTGAAATTTATAATTTGGAACGTTTTAAAGATATTTAAATTTATAGGCTATAGGTAATTAAGATTTATGTGTATGAAGGATACATAATCAATGCCATATATGGCAATGCTGTGACAGCGCTGTCGCAGCCTCATTTGCATGGTACATTCCGATGGGCTGTCACAGCGCTTTGAGAGCGCTGTCACAGCGCTGTGAGAGCGCTGTCGCAGCGCTGTGACAGCGGGCTGTGAGAGCGCTGTGAGAGCGGGCTGCGAGAGCGCTGTGAGAGCGGGCTGCGAGAGCGCTGTGACAGCGTGCTGCGGGAGCGCTGTGACAGCAGGCTGTGAGAGCGCTGTGACAGCGGGCTGTGACAGCCAGTAAATTTGTATAAGGGAAGTATGAAAATATTTCACTAAAAATACATGCTTCCATTTTGTCACATGTTCATAATAATTTACATATTGACCATGTGATGTTGACAGGGAGTGTAAACGCACCTAGCGTACAGGAAATATGTTATGATATTTATTAAGAAATTAGGTATGGTAATCATTATTACTTATTGTATTAAGCCCCCAACCCACTTCACAAAGTTCATGAAGTACCAAGGAAAGACCAAATATTAAATAAATTAGAAAAATTTGAATTTCCCAAAAAATCAAGTGGGCGATAATAGAGCCTCTGAAACATGGCAAAAGTGACATATTTTGTAATTTTCAATGCACTCCCGATAATTATCTATCATTGTGTGCTTTCCACACCATATCAAACTAATATTATCTAAAAATAATGTATGTAATAAGTTAATGAAGGAAAAATTTAATGTTTCAGAGACTCTATTATCGCCCACTTGATTTTTTTGGAAATTCAAATTTTTCTAATTTATTTAATATTTGGTCTTTCCTTGGTACTTCATGAACTTTGTGAAGTGGGTTGGGGGCTAATAATGATTACCATACCTAATTTCTTAATAAATATCATAACATATTTCCTGTACGCTAGGTGCGTTTACACTCCCTGTCAACATCACATGGTCAATATGTAAATTATTATGAACATGTGACAAAATGGAAGCATGTATTTTTAGTGAAATATTTTCATACTTAGGATGTTTCTGTGAAGTACAGGTAAGATTGTAATTAATCATTTTCTAAACTAACATATATTGCTGCATAAACATACACATTTGCTGTTAGTCAAATGAGGGACAACTTTTCCAAGAAGAAGAAGAAGGGTTTGTGAACAGAAGGTGAAGAATGGATTTGTTTTTTTTCCTCACGCGATTGATGTACAGTTGAACTTTGATATTCTAGGGGTATAATTTGATGAATTTCTACTTAATCAAGCATCTTTATGGGAAAAACTCACATGTAGAAGGATGGACAGATCTGTTTTCTACAAAATCAGCATTGAATGACGGCTCGACATGCAGTAATTGTTATTTGAGAGCTGATTTCAGCCAGGGTAGACTTGCCTCAGTTTCAGTCCTTGATAATGATATCTATCTTCCTTTTCAGGTAACCTGTCTCCTATGATTCGGATCTGATATACAAAAAATAATTGGACTTACCCACTTTTTCTGGCGCTATGTTCTGATAAAAAGGCTTGTTTTCAATAGTTTGTGAGCTTTTTTGTGTGATAGGTCCAAAATATCGGTAGATAAAGACGATAATTCGATCATTTTTAAAATAAATTCCGTACTTTTCCCTCCTCCTTTTGAAGAGTTCAATGCAGTTAAATTGCGAACGTGTGTTAATTCACCGTAATAATAACCCGGCAAATAGGATACGATTATGCCTGAAAATCAATGTTTTTTTTAAGTGACCTAAGCTTTCGTCTAGAGGGGGGGTGGGGGGGTTGTTGTCCAAACGAAATTACTTTCGTCTCCATATGAACATTGATATTTTGACCCCGCCCCTTACAATTCTAATGAATTTGAACATTCTTAAATATTCCAAAACCTCGATTCTTTTCAATTTCAATTACATCTATATAATGAAACGGAGTGGCTCCAGGACCGACAATTGTCGGTACTGGAGACTGTCCAGGGGTATTTGCTGGGGTACCGACAATTGTCGGCACTCTATCGTCACCTAGTAGTGTCAGATAGAGAACCGACAATTGTCGGTACGCAAGTGGCTGCTACGTGTTTTTGCTAGAGAGCCGACAATTTCATAAATAAATCCACTACTTTTACTCTCTAAAATAACCTCATCACTGGTAGTCTAGTGGTTAGCGAGCACTACTTGAACACATTCGATCCCGAGTTCGAATCCCGGCCGAACCTACTTTTCTCTTTTGAGGGGGGGGGGCATATAGTGCTTCTTTTGCAGTATGGAATCGTACAGGCATTAACTTGTAGTGAGCCATAATTTATTTCGACAAAAATTGATTCAACTTCCATCAAAATTGTCCTACAAGCTTCAATATTAAAAAACATTTTAAAGCTCTTTTCTTGTTCTATCTAATGGGTCGATATATACAATTAGGGGAGGGGATGCTTTCGCCCCCGTCGACCTCTACCCTAACTACGCCATGGCACAGGAGAAATATCTCATTTGGAATATATCACTGTTTACTTTGCGTTTGGTAGCTCTCTCATGCGAGATGGAATCGTGGCCATTAACTAAGGGAGCCAAATGCAACTTCAATGAAAAATTGTGCTATAAGGTATGAGTACCGTAATCCAACACCAAATTCAAAATTCATAACAATACTTTGCACATATGGCGTTCGTGACCAACTATGAAACGCTTATCCCCCATAGTGTTATATATCAAAATGCACCTGTCCATATAGGGGTTCGATTGACCTACATCAAATTATAGGGAGTCAGGTTACTTTTTGAGATATCAGCGTCCGTTTATTGTAACTCGCGTTTGCTACCACTTCCTCAATTCTGATATGACGGGCAAACGCGTAGTAAACATGCTCACGTTCGGAACTATTTTGACCTACATCGCTATTTTCGTAATTCAAATGAAAGTTGAACTCCTCTTTATTTCGATACTAAATAGTGGCATACTAGGTACCCTAGAAGCCAACTATGGGTTATTTAGAACGATACCACAGGTTTTTAAATGGACTATATACCATTTGGCGGATGGATATGGAACCTCATACCATACGATAAGCTCTAAATATCTGTTTAGAATATATATAGCCGTTTACTCTGCATTAATAGCTCTCTAACGTCTTACTTGTTCATGTTTTTTTTATTGGGTTTTCAACGTTTACTACCATTCCCTGTTCCCGGGCTACCATTTTTTGACTGGGTTTGGTAATCCCCGGGTAACCGGGGCTAATGCCCTCCCAGGGTTTTGCACTTGTTCCCAAAATATCCGTATGATATCTGAAATATCCCCCCGCGCATTGCGCATGCGCCAGAAAATTCGAAAATCAATATTTGTCGGTCCTCTAGCGCTTAAACACAGCATATCTCCCGTACCGACAATTTATTTGTCGGTCCTCTAGCGTGCCACCACATCAGAGTCTAGAGTACCGACAATTGTCGGTACTCTAGCCTTTACGATAATGAAAACATTAGCATGGTTTTTGAAAAAATAGATTCTACAATTATCCATCCATCTTTCTTTAACAAATTACTCAATAAGTAATTATGTTTATTAACAGTGAAAAATGACAACACAACATTAGTGTATCAAATGTTGTGTTCATGTATCAAATGTTATATCACGCAAAACTCACCTTGGGTCTTTTCCATTCAATGTCATTGTCAACTTTACTGTAAAATAACGATTTGTTGTTTGGTGGAAATTCTGAATCTACAAATAGTTCTCCTTTTTTGAGGCACTCTTTTTTCAAAGAAGAAAATTTTTGGTTTTTGTATGAACTTGGCATTTTGGGAGATATCCGATGCTTCCTGGAAAAAAGAATATCAAATGAAAATACTTTCATGGTTTTAATAACTGTATCACTTTATCATTTTTCAATAATTTTTATTTTGAGGAGTTGTAGAAAATCCCCAAATACATGTAGCTCTGGATTTCACCAATAGATGGAAGGAGAATACAGTATTTAGTAATTTGACTTATTGTCATTTTAGAAGTACATTTAGGTAATTCTGTACTTAATTGACAATGTATTTTCACAAAGGTATCTTTGTCATACATTTAAATAACATTCAACCTTCAATTTAAACATTCAATCAGTCAAGAGTGTATTCGTCTTCGATACCCGAGGGATACACATGTGGACTGCATGGGATGAAAATCGATATGTTGCCGGAAAGCATGTTTTTTATGGAATTTATTTTGTATCAAAATTAGACATTACATCCAATGATGATGTACAACTTTAGCTTTTCACCATCAGCAACATGCAACAACCTGAATTCCCAGATCAGTGAAATGATTTTGTTACAACAAGAATTATCACACTTATATTGGTATCAATTTACTTTAATATGAAGAGCAATGTTGTCAATCGAATTAACATCAATAATCAAACAAAATATACTCACCCTATTCCATGAAATCAAGCATTTTTAGTTAAAAAATTGATAATATTTTTTTGGTCGTGAACAACAATCAATGACAAACGCCACCTATACTATTACCAAATTAAATTTAATCAAATAACAATTATATAAAAACAATTTGGTAAAGAATTGACATTAGTTATTGCTATTAAATTCATGTTCATCAAATAATATTTTTATATCAGTTTAAATGTTCTAAGAAATAGTCAATATGAATTAGTTGTTCCTTGTCATGAATTTACCTGGCATTTACCTGGCATTCACCTGAATATTATGAATGTATTGATTATTGATTCTGAGAGTGGCCTAGTTCTTCAATAGGCTACTGGGCAACATGAAAACAATTTTGAAGATCAAATAAAATCAGCTCATGCTATTAATGTGTAAATACTATAATAAAAAAGAATGGACACAAAGGGGATTACAAAGCAATGGTATTAAATATCAAAAGTAAATACAAACATGTACATGTGTGCGCATGTAAAGTGCATGTAACAATCCTGGAGCACGATCCAGTAATATTGATAATCTTTTGTATTGGATTAAGCTATTATAAACAAATAAACTATTTTTGGAAATAAATACCATTACAGTCATAAAATAAATCCAACACAATCACAAAGCAAAACCATTTGACACAATCATAATGCAGAACCATCCAGCACAATTTTGAAGAAGTATTGGCTGCAATTATGACACAGAACCATTTGACACAATAATTTAACTGATCTATTTGACTCAATTACAAAATAGAACTATTTGACACAATCATGAAGTAGAACAACCATATGACACAATCACGAACACAGAGAACCATTTAACACAATAAGAAGCCAGTTCCTTTTGACACAATCATGAAACAGAACAATTTGACAAAATCATTAAACAGAGCCACTTGACACAATCATTTAACAGAGCCATTTGACACAATTACAAAACAGAACCATTTGACGAATTTAACAGAGCCATCTGACACAATCATTAAACAGACCTATTTGAGACAATCATTAAACAGACCTGTTTGACACAATCACAATATAGACCCATTTGACACAATTATAAAAACTGAATCATTTGACACAATCATTAAACAGAACCATTTGACACAATCATTAACCAGACCAGTTTGACACAATCACAATGTACACTCATTTGACACAATAATTAAACAAAGCCATCTGACACAATAAAACAGATCCATTTGACACAGTCATTAAACAGAGCCATTTGATACAATGATAAAACGGACCCCTTGACACAATTATTAAACAGAGCCATTTGACACAATGATAAAACAGATCCATTTGACACAATTATTAAACAGAGCCATTTGACACAATTATTGAACAGACCTATTTGACACATCGATTAAACAAAGTCATTTGACACATTGATAAATTAGACCCATTTGACATAATCACAAAACAGACCCATTTGACACAATGATTAAACAGAGCACACAATTAGAAGACAGATTTGAGCATTACACTGTTGTCTCAGGAGACTCTAAGGAGACAAAACAAGCACTCACCCAAACTCTTAAAGGTCTGAATGATTTGAAACCATGTATGTTGCATAACTTAAAATTTTGAATGATACCTGCGATTTACTAATTTTCTGTACAATTTAATAAAAAGTGTGAAAATTAAAAATTGCTTCCAAAATAAATATGAAATAATATTATTATTAGGAAATTTGTTGTTAGAAATTGCCATGGCAATTTTTTGTATAATTCATGAAATAAATGCTTTATTGTTAAAATATTATAAGGTACAAGAATAACATAGTGAACTTTATAGAAATAATAAATTGATAAGTCTAACTAACCTTTTGCTGGTCGCCATGTTGATGCCAAAACTAACAATGTCTGAAGTCGCAACCAATCTTATAAATCTAGGACTTTGGAGCCATTGTAGATAACACAATATCACATTCTCTCATATTCAGCGTGAATAAGGGTGACCAAAATGTAGATGAAAATAATGCTCCACATGAGCACAGTACATTGTTTCACTAATGATTTTGGAAGTTTATAATATAAGGTATTGGGCCATTTGGTCAATATTTTATGTTAAAGTTTGTGTCTAATTTGTATGCATCATGTCTTTCTACTTGTATTGCCATTACATATATACAGGGTGGGCCAAAAAAACGCCACTTTTTTTTCAAGACACTACAACTTTTTTATTTTCCGACCTACATACCCCACATTTTGCAGTTATATAGTGCCAAGGGTTCTTAGTAATAATATAATGTAACAAGTCCTTCAACTTGAATTATATTTGATCTAAAAGGGGAGTTCAATTGGTCCGCCACCCTAATTAATGATATATTTTAGTTTTAGTCGCCTTGCTGATATTGCAGTATCAATGAAATGTTAGCTAAGTTGTTTTCAACCTGTCTTAATTGCCAGCTTTAGTTGAGCAAATTTCTAGATGGGGTGCCTTTATACAATCTCCTGGAGACCTTCCCATACCCTATACTCACTGGGGTTTGCATCAGGGCTATTTGCTTGGCGATCATTAGGCCGTATCAGTTCAGGAACATTTTGCAAATTATGCTTATTTCTCATGGCACACCACATGTTTAAGTGAGACGCTGGTGACATATTCTATTCAAGTAAAAGTATATAATCTATGATCCATGGGTAGAAAACAACCTCAAGTTTCATTTGGTATGCAAATTATGATTTAATATCAAAAAATAAAAAAGTTATAGCATTTTGAAAAAAAAGTGGCGTTTTTTTTTGGCCCACCCTGTATATAGTTATTCAAAATGTATCAATTGTTATTTTATCAATTGTTTATTTGTTTTGGTCTTGAAGATCAGATAATGACGTTGGTTTATTTATTGACATATAGTGTATTGTGTTAATTGGACAAACATGTACTATGAATACAAAGTTTACGTTTCTCCTCCAATGATATGATAACTCAGGGGAGGGGGGGTGAGGTCATCCATAATCATGCTACAGAAGTAACCATGGTAATTTTTTAAGATTAAGTTTCAGTTATATAAACAATTAAATTGGATCACACTACCCTACCTCGATCGCGCATGCGCGAATTTTTTGGCTTTCAACCAGGTCGCTTTTGAGTATATCGACTGCTTATTCAAAAGATTAATACGTTTGGTGCTCGGAGTGAGTCAATATTGCTATTCGCTGAACTTCAGTGGTGCAATAGTGAAGTCCATGTTCCAAGTTATATGATGGTTAAAGAAAGAATGTAAATAATATCGTTTTAGATTTTAAAATATTTGATATATCATAGTACACGGTACACAGTTGCAAAAGTTGATCAATACAGGGTACAAGGGATGTAAATTGTTCAATAGTACAGGGAGCGAGAAAGTAAACTGATTATACAGAACGATTCGCTTGTTTTACACAAAAACCAATCCTGAGATAGTCAGTAATATACCAGACTCATGTTTTGTACAATAGTGTGATAGTATATTTCTGAACCACTCAATGTTATTGATCTAATCTTTATTTTCAGACGAGTATAATAACAACGTACATGTGCCAATCATTATTTCTAATGCGCTTGATATCCTAATCCAGTGGTACATGGAGCTGTATTTGACATTCAAAATCAGAATATAATGAGTAATAGAAGGAATGATACGGTTCATTGGAGTACATTGATGCACGACGAATGCATACAAGGGGCGTCATTAGAATATTTCAAATGCTTTATAAATGGAAATGTTTGCCTAAAACTGCAAAATAACTTGATATGTGGAATATGACATGACTCTACTATTCCTAACCCCTAGAAATGCATAAGATACTCTGTTTGTCCAATAGTATAGTTTCCATATAGCTTTTGAAATCTCACTAAATCTCGTTTTTCGTGAGATTTTAAGAGACTTGCATATTAGACCTCTAATGACTTACATTACCTTCTTTTAAATGGCATATTTGAATTCAGTGACATGTTTTCTCCTTTAATAGCTTTGATTTACACAGTTATCTAATTTGAATAATTTTCTATAACAATTTAAAAAAACTCCGGCCAAATGTCCATAGATGCAATGCTAAAATTCTTTAAATCCGTGGATTATTTGTATGTCAATCAACATTTGCATGTTTAATCACATCATGTACATAAACAGGGTCATCATGTGGTATATCATTCAAGTTTTATACAGATTCAACAAACACACTCTGATAAATCATGAAATTAAGCCACTTTTCCAAGATTTTAGCATGTAAATGAATGGAGCTCTAGCCCAAGTTAAAAGCTGAATAAAAGATGGCAGCACGAGATTTCATTGATTTTTCTGCTATTTAGAAACTATCCTATTGTATTGTTTAGTATATTTTTGAAAGTACCTTAATAAGGAACAGACAAATAAAAACAAATAACACAATCATTACTAATAAGCCAAATGGGTTGCTCATGAACACCCAATTCAAGGTATAGTAGAGTGGACATATCTTTGTATCGTGTTCATCGCATAACCGTTACCCCTGCCATTTTGAATGTTGACTAGACATAGTGCTGTACAATTAGTGTATTTTTATTAAGTGGATTCATAGTACTATAACTATGTTTAACCCATACGTTTAACTCTCAAAACTAATACCAGATCGATGTAGTCTTACATGACATGTTGAATGTCAGATGATTTAGGATGGTAGCTGCTCTTAAGATTTTAGAAAAACAATTAATTCACAAAAATAAAGATGAATAACACACTAGAAAACGTATCCACATATAACTTACACGATGACACACAGTTTAAATAACATTTAACTGTGTTTTTTGTTACATATCAATGTCAAAATAAGTAAAATTATGAAGTGAAACTGACATGTACGTTGATAGATTTACTGAAATGTATCGTGTATTGCATTCGAGTTTGCTTTACTGCGCCCACTATTATCTATCTTTGGCTATAGTGTTTTTTTGCCAACAATATTCTACAAACTGCTTGATGAATCAATTCTATGTCTGGTAGAACACTAGAAATAAATGTAAAGTGTATTTTACGTTCAGAAATATGGAATTAAACCCACGTCCTCCATTTGCAACTTAGCTGTACCCTGTTTCCCTTTTAAACGTGGTCACGTGGTAGGGTAGTGTGTGGATATAAGCAGAAAAGTAATGTAATTCATGAGGTTGGAAAAGTACTTGTTAGAACGAAACAGTTCTTTAGTCATTTAAGCACTTATGGCAATCTGATAGTTACAAATACGATAATATATGGCATTCTATAACTAGCATACAACTCCATGGAGCAACAAATTCCAATGAATAAAATGTTAATTTTCACTATTTTATATCTTTGAAAAGTTATGGAATGTTTGTCATCACATTTTAGGCCCTAGGATTTCTATTGAGGAAAAACTAATTCCTTAACATAGAGTTGAATTAATAGAATGGTCAGGGGATATTGAAATGGCAGTCGGGAAAACATATTAACCCCAAAATATGACTTGCCAGCTAAAACAAAGAGGAGGGAAAACCACATGATTCAATTGATGACATACGATTTCCTACTTCGCGCACCTCCTTTTGTTGAAATCTTACCCTCCATCTTGATTTTCAAATTGACCTAGTTTTAAACCAATCAACGATCGACTAGCTAAACCAATCAGCGACGATGTCATCTCAATACAGATTTACATGATAAGCGTATGTCATCTTTGAACCCTGGGGCTTCTCCTCCTCTTGCTAAAACATGTATAGCAAGATTACCTTGAACTTAGTAGTTTTAGTCGAACACTTCAACATACATTAGATTCTATGGTACTGCACAATACATGTACATGTTCTTGAACAATATGCCCTTCCCAGACATCTTAGCCCTTATTTTATTGTTACAAACACTGCCAAACATCATCCACAGAAAAGTTGGGATACTTTAACAATATGTCACCACTTCTGGTGGTGACATAAAAACTAACATTTCAAGTGTTTTTAGGTAGCAATCATTTTGAAGAACATCTTAGCACCATAACAGTGACATATCCCTGCCAAATCTGGACACAGTCAAACCAGTGGTGTTTGACTTATTGCCTGCTGGACACACAGAAGGTACTAGAAATATGTCCCTGTCAGACTACTGTATGTTCATTCATGGAAATAATAATACAGACAAACACAATTTTATTTCAAAACAGATATACAATTTTATTAACATAAAGAGCATAAAGAAGGATCATTGCACATAACACTGTATTCTCATCACCCCTAGGAACAAATGAAACAGCCCATTTTAGATTAATGGGCTAAACCAAGTTAGTTCATAGGGGTGTTTACATGTCGTCTGCTCATAACGTTTATTCTTCATAATTGTGTCATATTTGATATAAATATTATTAGGAGATACTTCCATATTTTAACACTCATATATGTACACTACTATACAAAGTCTTTGTACATTATTCCCATACACTACACTTTAAATGTATGGGAACATTTTATGTTTGACTCCATTTTGACATCAGTCATTTTAAGCCTCTCTTTGGGACATTAGCCTAATTAATTCAATTCTACTAATTATTTATTAATTTATTTTATTATTTATTTATTAACATAATTGATTACTACGGTTTATGGCAGCAACCTACTACCATATTCAACTCTGCCACATCTCAATATGGGTTAATTAATGTAGAGTGTTTTCATGAAAAAAACTATAAAACTTATGGTCTACACTAACTATCTGTATCTAAATGCCATTTCTAATGCATCATCATATTACATTTGGATTTGGATTTCATACCTGGCTCATATTGTCTTTGTTAATGCAAATTTATTTGCCTTAGTTGAATCAGTCCTCTTATATAATAAAACTTGAACAATCTTCATGATCTTATAAGTTTCCTTTTATATGATCTCTAAATATGTCCAGCAAGTTTGTGATCTCATATTATCCATTTAATGATTCAGATTTGGAGTATCAACCTATGAAGTTTCAGTTGCTCCTTTTTATTGTACTCCAGCATCACTTACCATTTTCATATTAACATGATTTCATAATTGATACTATAAATATGTATGTCTCTGATATGTCCACAAGTCAATTCTAAATATGGTAAACAGGTATTTAATTTTTGGAGTTGTTCAGTTGATAATACCAATGTCTAAACCATGGTCAGCTTCAACTAGAGTATACTTGGAACTCCAATTTCTCGACTTGAGGTCAACTATGCAGCCAATTTAATGATCACTGAACATGGTGAATTATGCAACATATTCAATGAACGCTCTGAACATGGTCAATTATGCAGCATATCCAATAAACAATGTCTTTCTAAACATGGTCAACTATGCAGCATATATCCAATGAACAATGTCTTTCTAAACATGGTCAACTATGCAGCATATATCCAATGAACAATGTCTTTCTAAACATGGTCAATTATGCAGCATATTCAATGAACAATGTCTTTCTAAACATGGTCAATTATGCAGCATATTCAATGAACAATGTCTTTCTAAACATGGTCAACTATGTGGCATATCCAATGAATTCTCAAAACAAAGTCAACTATGCAGAATATATCCAATGAACAATGTCTTTCTAAACATGATCAACTATGTGGCATATCCAATGAATTCTCAAAACAAAGTCAACTATGCAGAATATATCCAATGAACAATGTCTTTCTGAACATGGTCAACTATGCAGCATAAACAATGAACAATGTCTCACTGAATACCCTCATTTTTACTTAGTATTAAGAAGTCACTTCATCTATCTGAAAATAGAGAATGTTGAATATAAATGATTTGAAATAAATGGAAAAATTCACATGTAATACTAGTAATAATACACAATTATAAGTGGGGCATACAATAATAATGAATACCATGTACATAACTTTATTAAGAAAATTAGGATTGGTTGTTGTCTTGTCCATGTAAAACAAAATGAGCTAAAAAGACAACATTCTAATGTTGTTGTTTTTGTTGCTATAGTTACATACCTGATGCCTCCTCCGAGACACAAAGTCAGAGAGTCGACTAGTTGAAATTAAGTTACGTTTTAATGGCGCCATCCTCAGAGCACTTTTGATCCACTTGTTCTCCAGACACGCCTGGCCATCTGCCCTTGAACTGAATATAAGAACACTTATAGCAACAGATCCTTATGAATGGTAACATGTTGCTTATGAAAGCATGCATCTTGTGTTAGATTGACTTGATTTACAAAATAAAAATGACTTATATGAAATATAAATATTTATGTGTTTTGGAGTTGTCTCAGATCACAAGATATATTGGGTTAAAGTAGTGATCAAGCGACTCCAAACCGCACACAACTCAAATAAATATAAAAATCATTTCCTAAGAGATTTTCTTTTGTCGTATTATTATATCTTGTCAAACTGGTTTATATTAAAAAATTTGAGTACAAATTTTGAGCCTTTGTCAGAAAGCAAGATGAAACCCTGAAGCAAATGAGAGCAAAGTGTATTTCAACTTTGTACTCTGAATACAAACATAAATAAACATGGAACAATATCACAAAGAAAGTGTTAAAACTCATTAAAGTGTGTCTGAATAAAACAAAATGGTGAAAATGTGATAATAAAAATAAAGCAACATTCTGACTCCAAAGTACAGTACAGAATAAACAGTTTCTGAGATATGCTTTAAATAAAAACATAAGTTTCTCATACAATAATAAAATCAATAAAACAGTAAACTACCTTAAAAATCTGAAATATTTGCAATAAATCAAAATCAAACATATGCTTTCACAAACTGTACTCCAAATACGTTTGTTTTATAACTAATGCTGTGGTCACATTTGCTCAGATTTTCAGTTCTGGCACCTGGCCGATGAGCATTTTGTTCAAAATTGCATTCAGTTTTCATGGCTTAAAGCATCAAATTTCAAATTTCCTGAAAATTAAATGGCGAAACACGCGGGCCAAGATAGGTTAGGGTAGGTTTGGGCGGGTCCTCCCTCTAAGAAATTTTGAATAAATGAGATTTGATTGAGTGCTTTTTAAGATTAATGTCAACCCATTATATATACTTTTAAATTTAGAGCTAGAAGAAAAAGTATTTTCACAGGAAAAAGCATTTCCATAGGAAAAAGTATTTCCATAGGAAAAAGTATTTCCATAGGAAAAAGTAGACAAATATGACCTAAATTTTGAAACCCTTGCTTGACCCCCTACTCCCCCCTAGAAATAAATCCAGATTTGTATTGATCTCAATGTGGTCAGATTTTGTCTCATTTTTTCCTGAAATTACCTGAAATTCCTGAAGACTTTAAGCCATGAGTTTTGAACAAAATACTCATTGACCAGGCACAGGTGTTGGATATTAGGACAAATGTGACCACAGCCAATCATTATAGTAAGCATCTGATATCCAACATTGCTTTTTGAGTAATTGGTTTTTCTTATACAAGCTTACACCAGACTAGGACGATCATAATTCTTTTCTGGACTTTTCATTTTTGACAGTTATCAATGTTGGAAATCACAAAAAGGCTTGACTGTAGTGAGAATGAGAGAAATAATTCTATACACATCATACCTGGGCTCCTGTTTTAGAAGAGATTTTATAAGTGTTACCGCATCTACTGGTAAGGTATCAAAGATTGCTGAAGGGAAGCTGAGTTGATTGCGTGTTATGTTCCCCTGTGTCTCTATAGAGGTAGCCCCACCATATGGGGATGTACCACTCAGTAATACATACACAAACACTCCTATACTCCTGTAAAGCAAACATAGATGTCTCTAGTAGTACATCAGAGCAGAAGCTGAAGTAACTTCAATGCACATTTGAAAGATCACAATCACAACATTCTCTACTAATGCAAGTTGTATGATAAAACACAATGGCCATTCTCTTTTCTCTTATTGCAATTTAAAGTTGTGTCTAAGTCTAAGTCCTAATGTTATAGATGTACCAGTTTATGTAAATCATGGCCATTGTATTAAGATTCAGACTCCGCAACGGGATTCACATTTCAGAAATTGCATATATCAACTGATACAAAATGCTGAGAGTATGATTCAGAGCAATACATGTACTTGTAAAAGCCATTCCATTATATGTCAAGTTGGGATCATGAAAATTGCAAAAAATAGAAGCCACATAGAGTAAAATTCAAGTTAAAGTCTATGCGCTTTTCATCACATAGTAACATTTATGCAATCATTTCATTGATGTATCGCACACTCCTACATACACTTCTACATAATAATCTAAGTTAAAAATACAGTCCTGCAAACAATTACTGCCGATAATAATTCACTCATAAGAATCAGGCTATGGATGAGTGAAATCTATGGCAAGGACTCAATTTTTGGGCCCATTTCTCAAAGGTATTTTTCATTACGACTCCAGGCTCAATTGTAAAAGATACTTAAATTTGGTAAATCACAATACCAACCAATTTCAAGGAATGGGCTCCTATTTGTGTATTGAAAGCAAGCCACACATTAAAGCCACATACCACATATCAGTAAAAAATGAAACTGGCTGTCCGGATACTACTTCAGGTGCTGCAAATTCCGCATTTCCCAAGAGTTTATGTACATAGGGGTCACTACTGAGGTAACGGGCGTCACCAAAGTCAGTTAACTTCAACCTCGGGCAAACACTATGGACTTCTAATAATATATTCTCAGGCTGGAAAACATTTAACAAGGATTATATAGTAAAATAATTATGAACACACTTATCTGTATCTTTCATGAATTTCTATCCTGTTTGAATTAGAGTGAGTTTAATGAATTCTTTAATAAAATTAATAAAACTCATTGTATTATTTAAGTTTTAATTTTTTTTAAATATTACAAGATTTATAGAAACAAAGTTTTATCATGAGCATGAGCTAATATAAAAACAACAGAAAATATGGATCTTGACCATTTTGCAACCTTGCAATTTAAAGTATTTTGTAATTTCAATTTCTGTGGATAATATCCTTACTTTGATATCCAGGTGTACAACTGAACAGTTATGTAAGAACTGAACTACATCCAGGAGTTGGTGCGTATACATTGCTGCCTGGTGCTCTTCAAACTGACTCTTTTTACAGATATAGTCAAAAAGTCGTCCTCGTGGTAACCTGGAGCATCAAATTGACATGTTTTAATGAAAACATTAGCAAGAACATGCTGTCTGCAGTATATACAACAAATTGAAACATTTGAGAATTGTTTGTAGTTTTTTTGATCATTTTGAAAATGATGGAGAAGTTCGAAATATCTTATTTGGAAAGTAATTAAACATGCTTATGCAGTGACACTTGGCTCACAATGATGTCAATGTTTCAACGATGGTGGAGTTAACCCCCCCCTCTAAATGGAGGATAAGCCAATAGCCCTAGAACGTTTAATTGGCCAAAACCATACAGGTTACTTATTGGTGAAGTACGTTTTGAAACTTTTGATGAAATTCATTGCCAGGAATAAGATGAAAAAGATGCCATTATAACTACTCACAGCTCCAATATGAGAACATAGGCATGTGGTGTGTCATATGCATCAAGAATTGTGACAATATTGTCGTGCCGTAATGTACTCAGGATGTGGTGCTCCAAATGGGCATCAGCCTCAGTGCTAGATTTTTTCTCAATATATTTAGTTGCCACTGTTTCACCTGTGCTGGCTTCCACTGTGCGCTTTACAACTGAAAATCTGCCCCTGAAACCATACAAAGGTACTTATTTCATTATATTATTGTACATTAAAGCATGTAAAGTGAAACACCACTAGAAGTGGAACATCTCATTGGTAGAACATTTCAGAGTCCCAAGACCAACTGACTTAATGTAACATAAACCTCTATAAATGGAACACCTCCCAAGTGGAACATTTTTAGATGTACCAAAGGTGTTCCACTTAGACAGGTTTAACTGTATCATTATTTATTTTGTGTAATTAAATCAGTTTTCTTGTTTTACATCAACCATTCATTCATTATTTTTCCTAAAAATGTTTCCTGTCACTAAGTGACTTTTACCCATCTCCCAAATACAGTTGACTGAATATGTGGAGGCGACAAATCGACCTTGACCCTTAAGTAATAATAAATAGAAGCCACTTACCTGGCGATTTCATCCAGACTCGTGTAATCCCTGGCAAAGGAGGACTTCCATTCTAATGGATTCAGCTGTGGGCGAGGTTTAGATAGGGTTGTAACTGTTACTGGAAGTGAGGGGAGACCAGGGTCACTGATGCCTGCCTCGTTGTGGCAACTAATCCTGAAGACGTATGTCTTACCAGGCTGTAGTTTTTCTATGACAGTTGACGTGGTTGGGATATACGGCACAACTGCCTGCCAGATGTGAATATCTGCAATAAATATGTAAATAGTACTGTGATATCAGTATTATTGTCAATTGTAGTTTATATAAAGAAAAATGTTGACAAAAAATTTAAAAAATCTAAACCATTGAATATCACTTTTGAAAACATGGAATATCACTTTTTGAGAAGTGATATTCGATGGTTTGGGGATTTTTTGCGAAAATATGATCCACATATCAAATACATGTATATTCACATGATATTCGATCTATATCCTTGTAACCATGGGATAAATGTATATATCATTAGCAGCAATTTTGGTGATTTGAAAAGGCAACATGCACATGGCATCCATAGGGTTTCTGTGCAATTTGGATTATCTGATTTATTTCATTTAAGTGAATTAAGAACTGAAAACTGACTGAAAAAGTAAAAAGTGTTGGAGCACCAGTAAAAAGCAAGATTTATTATTAGGCATTGGCTGAATAATTTTCGGTAAAATGCACATCTTGCATAAGACATTTCTTAGAAAAAACATGAAATTATACTCATCTAGCTATATAGTAGTCAATCAAAGAGTATAGCAATGAAACAAACCTGCTTCTGCAAATTCTACAGTGTAAGCATCAACTGCGGTGGGGGTAGAGGAAGGGGGTGGAGTCCACTGTAGGACCACCCTAGGGCCATTATGGTCCACAACCACTGGCTGACTTGGGGGCCCAGGTTTACCTGTAACATACAAATTACAGGATCAATAACATCAGTTCTAATTGTCTACAATATAGGTGAAAATAGTCTCACATAGCATCAATCTGAACACACAATTTTATTAAATTCTATTAAACATGAACTCCCTAATTTCTTTAAAAGGTTTCTCAATTAGTTTAATCAATAACTAATCAAACTTGAATTGAGCTGTGGTAGCGAGAGAACCAACCTCCCCACTGACTATATATTGGCACTAACCTAGAACTGTGAGTTTAGCTTTGGTGGTGAGAGAACCAACCTCCCCACTGACTATATATTGGTACTAACCTAGAACTGTGAGTTTAGCTGTGGTGGTGAGAGAACCGACCTCCCTACTGACTATATATTGGTACTAACCTAGAACTGTGAGTTTAGCTGTGGTGGTGAGAGAACCAACCTCCCCACTGACTATATATTGGTACTAACCTAGAACTGTGAGTTTAGCTGTGGTGGTGAGAGAACCAACCTCCCCACTGACTATATATTGGTACTAACCTAGAACTGTGAGTTTAGCTGTGGTGGTGAGAGAACCAACCTCCCCACTGACTATACATGAGTATTCTCCACTGTGCTGTTGTTCAACACGTAATATCTAAAACACAAGAAAGAGATGCTTAGTGGTCTCAATAATAAAAAGATAACAGCATGTTATATGGATTTCTGATACACAGTAAATCTGTTAAGTGAAACACTTCTACCAGTGTTAACTTACTTAAATATTTCATTAAATCAATGTGAAATGAACCTCTGTAAGTGGAACACCTCCAAAATGGAACACTATTTTGAGATGTCAGAAAGATTCTACTGGACTGGTGAAAATTAAATTATGTACTAATTGTCATGTCATTTTCCTGTAAATGCTGGCAGTAATTTACGCAGAGAAATCTTTAGTGAGCTGGCCCAAGGACAAAGGGTGGGCATCTCTGCCACACTGAAGATAGTGATGAATTTTATTTATATTTTTTCATTTGAAACAGCACATGTGAACATTATATGACATATACAACGTCACACTGACAATTTCTGTACATTGTATATCCAATGTTCCACAAGTTATATTTAATTGGGAAGACTCTGTATTTAAACATTTTGAAAATTTCAGAATAGATGGGCTTTATATATATGCTTAGCTTTCAAAGTTCCAAAGCTGTTCAAGAATTATATGTAAAATGTTGAGCTTGATAAATGTCTTCAGTCATGATTCAATTTACAAATCTGATTGTGAAATAGAGACAAATTCTTACTTTTAAAGATGACATCCCGTCATCATCATCTGTTATTTGAATACGATCTCCTGACTTCAGAATAGTTTTATCTGGCCCTCGCCAAGTGATGTTTGGTCGGGGTTTTCCGCAAACTTTACATGTCATAGTTGCTGTTTCACCAGCAGCAACCATGACATCACACAGGGGTTCAACAATCTCAGGCGATATTTCATACACAAAGTCAGGATTCAATAACTGCAAAAAAGAGTTCAATCATAGGTTAATTCACAAAATACAAACAAGGTATTAACATGCAAAATATCACCACCAAAAAAAGAAAAGATTTGTATGAACAGCGAAATGGTTTAACAAAAACAAGGGACACGTCTGACACAATGTATTTTTCAGTTTTGCCTGTTTCAACTGTTTTGTCTAAGATAACAAGATCACAGTTTGCTACAAGTGCCTGTTTAGCTGTTTCAATTTCAATTTCCTTGAAACATTTTTGATTTCATTTACATTTCAAACAATTTGGACATTTTCCCCCTTCCCAAGACATGGTTAATATCTTGACTCTGTTCCCCGATCCTTAGAAAGATCAGATGCTTCAAGTCTCAAAGCTGAATAATTGCAAAAATGGTGAAATAATCATTTTCAGAAGTTAACATTCTAATTCTTGATATTACTTAATATAAAACCTGAAAACAAATGGTAACTAGTTTGTAGACATTTAGGAAACCACAAAGTTCATACCTTAGCCCCTACTTTATCCTTTGATTTATTTTTATCACGCTCTAGGGTATTTTTCCCTGGGTCCTTCTTATCTGACCTGCCAAAGCTAGGCTTTCTGATTTTCAAAGCAGAGTGCCAAGATTTTCTTAAGGCAGAGTCATTGTCCTTTTGACCAATCACATGGCCAGGAAGCCAGCCTTCTGCGGCTGGCTGATCTTCACCCCCTAGTCGGTGAACCAGATACATGTTCTGTTGGTTTGTAGCTATTATTTGAACAGTGTCACCCTTTTTAAGTGTGATTTCATCTTCTCTCACAGCAGTATAGTCCATTAATACTTTCCCACTAGATGGCACCTCACCCTGAAAGTAGCAGACGACATGTTGACACCCCTTAAGTAGACAAGTCTATTACATTGAAGTAAATGTGTTAACATCCCTTGCATTGATTAGTCATATATAGTTCACATATAATCATGAATTACTGTGAATTGCTTTATGGTGCTTTAACCAAATCTGCACAAGATGGGCAATTGAAGTCTGTGTCAATGGCAAGTTCAATTTCAAGAAAGTATTTCAAAATGAATCAAATGGTCACCAATGTCAGGAAAATTGTGGTAACTTCTAATTAAATAGAGCTAAATAAAACCAATTTATGAAATCCTTCAAAGCCAGGGTTTTATCAATTTTTAATATCTATAGCCATTCAAAAATTTTATTAAAATAAGACCTCAGGGATTTATTAAGATTACAGCATGGATTACAAGAGGCATGCTAAAAATTACAGATTCAATATAAATTCATGTGGTATAGATAGGATTTATCTAACATGAACTTGAATTGAACTAACACTTTAGTTGGATAAATCCTAGCTTGGTAAAAACCAACCAATTGTTAAGTATTGTTAACTTACTGGAGAAAGATCCTGATCGCTCTCTGTACTGTTCTGTTTACTTGTACTTTCTTTCAGGTCCCTTACACCATTACCCTCCGGTTCACCAGAATTATTTGCATACTTAGCTTTTCCTCCTAACCCAGAGTCTGTTTTTGCCTTAGATCGTATCCTAAATCCATCAAAGATACTCTTTTTGGCTAATTTCGGTGAATTTGGGGCAACTTGTGTAATATCCGTTTTTGACTTTGCTGTATTGTTGTCCAATGGTTTCCCAACAGGGGAATTAGGGCATGAGTGCTTCATGTCTATATCATTGTGTTTTGTGTCAATAGTTGATGTAAGTGGACTTGGCACTGATTTTGTACGTGAGTGCTTGGCAGCTTTGTTTTGCTCTTTTTGAGCTTTCTTGAGCTCTTTCTCTTGTTGCTGGGCCAGCTTTTTCGCTTCCTTTTCTGCCTTTTTCTGTTCCTTCTTTGTAGTGCTTGAGGAAGGATTGGATTGGGTCTTCCTGAGTAATGAGTTCTTTTCTTTGCCAGCCTCACCGACTCCAATACTGGAATTTATCAATTCAAACTGGTAATGAAAAGGTTCACTATGATATGTTTAAGGAAGATCCACACGATGAGAATATTTTTGTGGAACTTTGAGGAATTTTAAAATTACCAATAATCAATGAAACAGGTTAACATGTTACGTTAGAATACATAGTTGAACACCTAAATATTTTGTTTAACTTATGTTGAAATAACTTCCCCAACAGCGGGCGTATGATGATAAATATACCCTGTCCGGAATGAAGCACTATAAGGGGTTTATATTAAGGGCTACATCATGACTAATTGATGGAAGTGAATTAAAAGAAAATTCAACTTGAATCAGAAGAAATATTCACAATTTCCGATAAATAAAGGAACAATAGAAAAACAGAGTGATATAATAAACTGGGTATGTTGTTTCGTTCTAATGGTTCCTTTACCGAGATAACTTAATATACAAGCCAAGGCTGGACATCTATTTTTAATTTAATCAAGCTGAGCCTCTATACATTTGAAATTCTATTGTTGCAATTACATGTTTAAGTTACAATTGTGCTCCAACAAAACTGGTAAAAATATTTTGAATAAGAGTGATCTTCAAAATAAAGAGTTATTCTGCATAGTTAATCAGACTGCATTTTAGTCGATCAATTTGAAGACTTTTCGGGTCTCATTTAAAATTTCATAAACAACTCAAGATAATGTCTAACTGATAATTAGCTGATAATTGTAGCTTTTTACTTACAACTCTTTAGTTAAAGCATTCTGCCTTGCTTGGTATTCAATGGGAGATTGGATTGCTGAAAAGAAACAAAGAATTTTTAAGATCAAGATATGATGGTCCAATGTCCATATAACTCACATATAGAGAATAAGAGGTCCAAAACTCATGTCATTTATTCTACCTCTCGTATTCTTTAATGAAAGAATACTTGTTTATTTCATCCTCTGAAATTTATGAGGTAACATAATCAACAAGTTAACTACTCATCGTTGAGTTTATCCAGGTATGATATAATTAAGAAATATAGACCGAAGAGCAGGGGTAATATCGTCGAATACACCCCGCAGGGCTAGGCACAAACGTTTTCTGTTTGAAAGCTTTTGTGCCTAGCACTAAGGGGTGTATTCGACGATATTACACTTGCTATGAGGTCTATATTACGATTCGAACATGAAAACTCACCAAAATGTTACGAATATTCATTATGGTCCGCCGTTATGAAGTCACACATTACCAGGCGTATTGCTCACGAATATGCCCCAGGTGAAATGTTGAATTTGTTCACAGTTTATAGAAGGCGCGAATAGTCATGTTCGAATCATAAATATATTTCTTTCTGAGGTCCCTGAACTGTGATGTATCATGGGTTTAACAAAACAAGGTATAAGATAAATTCAGGGACCTCTGATAACCACACCTCAATTAAAAAAATCATTATTGAGGTACTGAGATAAAACAAGATGGGTGGACCCAGAAAGATAGCAAAATATTTAAGATATTATTCAATTAATGGGTGAAATTTGTAATATTATTCATAACCCATTAGAAAATGATTTGCATTACCATACCTCTTAAAAAATCACCCTGGAGGTCAAGTAGGTTACGTATCTTAAACATCCAGATTTGTTTATTCTCATCTGTTGAGGCTTGCACAACAAATGTCTGCTCAGAGCCTGGTGTGCGATCAGTTAAAAGGAATCCTAGTGGTTCATCTTCTACATTATCCTCCAAGGACATCTTGTTGATCTGAAATAAAATATTTAATTTATTAAGATTTTTTTTTTTTTTATAATTTTTTTATTTCAAAGAATAAGCATGTTAAAGCAATTGCAAAAAAACAATTTAATGTACATTTGTTTTAATAAAGACAGACAGATAGATGAGTGAGCAATTCTGTAGGTTCATCATTAAACCAGAACAAAATATGGTTAATAAATGACTTGGGTCTGTTTTACAAACATGACAAAGGCTTGCATATACATGTACATAGTGCTTATAAATTCATTAAAGTCTGGCAAACTGAAAACAACAAACCATAGAAGTATGTCTTAATTAATATTAAACATTTTCAAATTCTTTTCTAAAACATTTTATTGGTCTCTGTATGAGAGAGAATTAGAGATGAGGGTAAAGAGGCTTCCAAGATTACAAACCTTTATGCTATTCTTGAAGATATAAGTAGAGTTAGTCATAGCTCCCTTCTTCCTCTCAATCACTTCACTGATGATGATGATCTGCTCAAAGAGGAAAACACGTCGCTCCTTGAAGCGGAGATGTTGACCAGCCACCACCTCAGCCACTTGTACGGTGTCTTGGTGCAGCAGCTTCCCTTGTGCTGTTATCTTACCCTACAACAGAAAAAGTACAAATAGAAAATATGTCCCACCAGATCACTTGGTGCTCAGTAAGTTTTTTTTATAGACTGAGGATGATTTTGTACATTTGATAGAAATCACACAAAATTGTATATTTATTTATTATATATTTGACAAACAATTTCATATCAATGGCACACTCCAACATATATGTAAGTATCTTGGTTTACAATATTCCCAAAATGATATTTATAAATGATCAGCAAATCTCAAAATTCTTATCCAAATCTATATATTCATCAATTATTATATTTTGAAGTCAAGTGCTTGGCCAGACATTCTGAATTAGTACATCTGCCACTCATTATGTCACAGTTGATTCACAGTTGATCAGCTGAATTCGAAAAGACAACTCTAACTCCATGGAAAAGGTCGATATGTACCTACACATACATGCTGCACTTGGTCATTACATATTGATAGCACACACAATAATTTGAAAAAGGAATAAGTGTTCAGATTTCTAGGTGGATTTCAAATGTAACAACAAAATATTGAACTGGTCCATTAGGGATATCTCTTGTATCAATATCACCCACTAGGTAGGTACTAAACGCATTTATCTGTATACAAATGGATATTGTATGTAATCTGACACAAATGTCAAGACTTTAGATACTGAATATATGACACATCTGGGAGTACATGAAACTCTAGCTGGTCTGCTTGACAGGCTTAATTGACAAACACTTAAAAAACTGAAACTTAATCTTGTTTACTACAATCAGGTAATGGACTTTCGTAATGTGCCATATTTGTCCAATAAGCTTTCCGCTAAACTTAGGGAGACAGGTGCAGCCAGGGGGGGGGGGGGGCATGCAGTTTTTCACCATTCTGAGCTTTTTCCAAGTGATTTTGGGTAAAAGTTGTCATATGTGAACCCTGGAATCTTTTGAAAAGTAAACCCCCTGGCCCTGGGGAAAAGCTGGCTATGGATCTGGGAGATGTGACCCTGCATTTTGTTATAACTAATGAATAGGATCTTGTAGGGGTAATATTAAGTATCAGGGGTATCATTAGTAGAAGGTAACAGGTGTTTACCTGTGGTTGTTAATTCCCAATAATCATGTCTGTTGTCAGAAATTGTAATGGAAATCCCTAAATATGATCTATATGAATATGACTACTTATATGCTCTGTCATTCACGCAAATCTAAATTGTATGTTATAAATGTTACTCTTTGTCCTTCATTTAAATAAAGTACCTGTTGTGTAGCATTTTATATTATTATTACAACATGGCATTAACATGCAACCTTTGAATGCCAAATGCCGAACACCATCCACAAAAAGTTGGAACCTGTCACCACTCGAGCAAATGCACTCATTAAATCTTATGATCCATAATGTTCACAATTTGGTAAATGTATATTAATTGAGTGTTCATCATATTTAGTCTGATATACTTACATCAAAGCCCTGCAACCGTCCCACTTGCATCATGTCATTAGCTGCCTTAGGTACGACGTGCATCACTTCCAGTGCTTTCTTCAGATCAGTTGTATCGAGTCCAGCCTTCTCAGTATGCTTCATAATGTCCTTCAGGAGCAGCTGGTATTTCATGATCCTCTGGACAGGTTTGATTAACAAGTCCTGCAGGAGGAGTCGGTGCCCAAGCTTTTGACGCATCTCCTATGAAAAGAAATGAATTCATGGTTTATAATTTATGTAAGGTTTATTGTATGGCATTAGGTTTCAATACGAAGCTCCTTCTCGTATTCTCACTCAAATACTTCAGCAGGTTTAATAAGAGAATTTGATGTGAAACTACAGGGTGTGCAATGAGACACACAATTGTGATTACAGGGTGTGCAATAAGACACACAATTGTGATTACAGGGTGTGCAATAAGACACACAATTTTGATTACAGGGTGTGCAATAAGACACACACTTGTGATTACAGGGTGTGCAATAAGAGACACAATTGTGATTACAGGGTGTGCAATAAGAGACATAATTGTGATTACAGGGTGTGCAATAAGAGACACAATTGTGATTACAGGGTGTGCAATAAGACACACAATTGTGATTACAGGGTGAGCAATAAGAGACAAAACATGTGATTATTGTTGTTTAATTACAGACAAGAGACTTGATGAAATATTGTTTGTTATAGTTAAAAGCTACTTTTAGCACTATTGGATTTACCTTAGATTAAACAGATGAAGCATTTAAGAAATGAAAAATTTGAATATTTACCTCAAAGAATGTCTCAATGTATTCAGATACAATATAGTCAGACTTTGGTTTGTTTTCACAATATTTCACATACATATACAGCCTCCTTTCCTATAAAAACATATAACAATCATATACAATCAGAGAATATCGATTAGATATTAAATATGGACTTAAAGACTGAAAGACTGAACTGCAAATTGAGATGAAAAATGTACAGCAAAACAGGCTATTTACATCCAAGAGGAAGTCAAATCTAATCATTCACAAATGAAAATATTTCCTACTGAATAAAGAAAAAATCAAAATTCATCCCAATTTTGAGAATGCTTATTTGTCAAATAATTTATCCATTAATGAGACCAGAATTATATTCCAAAGAATCAGACACCTTTCATACAGTAAATTTTACTTTAAATACAAAAAATGAGAAATTATTATTATCTTCTGGGAGATTGCGTATCTTTATGGCAAACATATCAGGTGTCTCAATATTAGTTCGGAGTCATATGATAAATACAGACTTGTAAACTGATATAAGAGCAGACTTACATATCTAACAAAAAGCCCTCCTATTCTGTCTGGTTCCTCAAGGCACTTCTCAATTTCATTTTGAAATGTCTCCTTGTGCCAGTCATAGATCTGGTGAATGTTTCCAAACACTATCTTGTCTTTGCCTATAATGCATTGAAGGTGAAATCTAAACTTTTTATTATTCAATTTATTTATACCAAAATAATATATTACAACGAGAGTTCTTCAATCACTTTGCAACATTATAGAAGAGAATACATATGTAGAAAAATAATTACAAATGTACATATGGGTGTTGGTCAGGCCCATGGTTCCCCTGGGTCTTGGGTGATATCAGGTCTGAATCTAAATTAATAAACTTGCATCATGTTAAAAATCCCTGGCACCCAGTTAATATTTCGAGAAATTATTAAAAACTGGAATATAGAAACAAGCTTTGGATATTTCATATTGACGATTGGTAAAATTGGTAGAGTTTCCAAACTGCATGGGAATGATCTTAGTCTTTTATTGCATTTAGCAGTTGGAATAACTGTGTAGAGGAGAGGAACCTCTCATAAGAAACCAAATAAATCATAGAGAAGTAAGTCATGGAGGCCTAGAAATCTAAATGAGTCTGCTTTAGATCAGTCTGCGAAGTAGCAAGAATATATGGCCGATTCAAACATGACCATGCTCTATCAGAGTCTATGATCCAATCAAATTGCAGCATAACTGTTCTCTTATTCTCCATAGATGAATGACTGTTCATTATTAAGCAATGCACCCTAGTTGGAAAGAAGACATTAAAATCGCACACTGAATTTTACCATATTGAATGGCCTATCATTATTTATTCTTTAACTCAATGAGCACACAAATAAATAAAGAAAAATTTGAGATTTTTGGGGCATTTCCTGGCACTTAGCTTTAGACTTTAATCCATATCACTCACCTTCCATATCTTCAGGTAGCTCCATCTCTTTCATGCCCCACATATAGCCCTCCACCACTTTACCCAGGTCTGCCACATAATCTTTCTCCGTCTCTATTAGTTCAGCTATTACATACCTAAAGAGCAACACATAATAATACTGAATATGCATGGAGAGTTTAACATATCAGGTGGAAATTAGAAACTTCAGGAAAATCTAATTTAGATAGTTAGATATTCATGAAAGAATAAACAAACAAAAAACTTTTGAAATTCTATACATCAATCAAAAGTTGTCTTAAATGTGCAAAAGTAACATAAAATGCATGGACCATATCATATATCATATCATATCAGGTGGAAATTAGAAACTTCAGAGAGATCTAATTTAGATAGTTAGATATTCACTGATATAGATAGATATTTATGCACTGATACGCCCAATTACTAAGGGTGTTGAGTGCACATGCTTTGTACATTCCATTGTTATATTATCATGAAATAAATAAATTCATGAAAGAATAAACAAAAAACTTTTGAAATTCTATACATCAATCAAAAGTTGTCTTATAACGTGCAAAAGTACATGTCCAAATTTATGCTGACAAAAAAGTTATGCAACATTTTGTAGCTCGGTGGCATTTTTGTGTCACACAATAAACTTTTGGATAATTCAGTTTCTTTTCTCTAGTTACATGATATCAATTTTAACTTCCATATTTTGACGTTCTGATCATAAAGTACAGTACTCACTTTCTTTTCTCTAGACGTTCTTTAACTCTTTTTTCTTTAGCCTCAAGGTCTTCTTCTGTAGGTGGTGCCTCCTCATTGTCACGTCTCTCATCCCCGGAGACTGGTTGTTCTTCTATAGCAGCCATATCTCCTTCAACTTCCTCTTCCTCGTCCCCCGCCTCCTCTTCCTCTTCGACTCCACCAGACTCCTGGATGAGAAAAATGGTGTGATGTTTAAAATGAATAAAGAAGAGGAAAACATAGGAATCAGTATGGAACAAATAAAAATATAATATAAAGAAATGACATAAATGGTTATCATGTGAAAAGTACTTGTTTTGTATTATTGCAAAATTTGAACATAAAAAAGTGATAAAAATTAGTTGGAAGAAATATTTCTGCAGCAGTTTGTTCAGCACATTTTTCTCTGTAGATAGTAAATTTATTTTTCTGGGGATTCCACACTCATTGGGAAATTCCATGATTCAATCAAATTTAAGGGCTTACATCATTTTCTTCACAAAATATTTTGAAATTTTGCCACATTTATTTTTTATTTTTTATTTCACTTTTATATGACATAATTCAGTGCAACAAAACAACACCAATGAAATAACTGAAAATCTTGGAAATAATGCAAAAGAGAAAGGATAAAGAATGATTGCACTGAACAAATTGCTAGGAGATCGGAGATACAAGTAACTTAATGTTAGTAAATATAACAACTTACAAGTCTGTGTTTGACAATATTTTCTATCTCAGTGGCAAGGTCAACGCTTGAGGGTCCGTTATGACTATCTCCCCCAGTTTCCCCTGTAACTATATCTTCCTGAGATGTAGGTCTAGAGAAGGAATGACCTTGTATCTGCATAGGGGGTGGGATCTCTATCTCACTGGCCCCCTCTTCCTCCTCAGGCTCAAAAACCTCACCAATGTCCACCTCCTCAACTTCAACTGCCCCCTGAGGCCGCTCTCTCTGTTCCTGCAAATATATAATATTTATGTCTTCATTAAAATTATTCAAGTTTGTAACTGAGCTGCCTTATAAATAAGCTCACATCTGAGCACTCTCCCTGGTTTGCATGCAGCACTAATTGATCAAACCCAAAATATTTTGTTTAATTCTCAAATCTCTGAAACTTATTTATTCTGAATAACCAGCTAACCAGCAATCGATCTATATAAACCAATAATAAGTAGAGCACAGTAAAACAAGTGTAAGTGAACACCTTCGTGATTCGGGCCATAAAAAGTATTCACTCTACACAGTGTTCACTAGAGATTTTCTCATAGACATCAATGGAGTATGCCCTGAAAAATAGTGTTCACTAGGAACAGAAATTCACTAAAGGCAGGTGTTCACTTCAATAAGAAAAGTTGTTCATCAAATATGGTGTTCGCTAGGGACAGGTATTTCATCAACTAGAAATAGGACAACTAGTATATAAAAAAAACCTGATCATTACCTAGAGCTAATCTCGGCATGATATCGCAATTAACTCCAAGTTTACCTAATATAGGAGCACATACAAGTTTAGCATCATAAACAATGCAAATCACAGGCAAACCTAATAATGAACTTCGCAATAATGATGTGAGAAAATCCGTCAATATAATCTGATAGCAAAACTGGCTAAAATGTTATCGCTCTAATCGTCACACGATGCAAGAATGAAAAGTACATTGTGTGCAAGAAAATAAGTGAGCTGATAATATTAAACCAGCATATAAGAGAGCTGAGGCTTGGCTAGCTAGCTTCACTCTAGACTTGTTCTTATCATTTCATTTGCTGGTTGCTATAGCAACCATAACGTAAATTCCCGGGAACAAATACACTGGTTGCAGGAAGAGGATCCTCGCAAAACTTAATAGATTCAACAAGTGATCATTGATGCAAACTAATTAAACATGTGTTTAACCTGTAGATGATTAGTATGGTAATAAAACTCCAATTAAAACATCTGAGATAAGCAAAAGTAACAAATATATATGAAATTTTATGTGATGCATTGGCTGACAGAAATAGACCAGAAAGTCTGGAAAAACTCGTTTCGGCCTATTTTATTGATGATACTATATTTGTTGACTCAAAAATGGCAAGAGTACATTAGGTATCATTGTACAAATTACATGATTTGAAACCTTATTCTGTGATTTTTTTCAGAATGGTATATAACAATCTTGAAGGTGAGACCACTGAGAAATGGGAGTATCTAACCAAGTTCATGGATTCAAAATTTATTTCATAATCACTTTGTTCTGTTGATTTGTAGTAACCCTTATAATTATATCTTGTATTGAGTAAGGTATATTAAAGACACAGTTTTCAGCCATAACAAGCCTATAATGTGAAGGTCAGGAGTCTATATTATAAAGGTCCACTATGATCTCATAAATTAGTGAATACTGTGAAGGTCTAATTTGAAATTACTGAAATGTTGTATTATGTGAAGGTCTACTAAAAATAAGTGAATTGTAAAGGCCTTATAGAAATGACTAAAAAAGGGTCTGTCTTCTTAAACAATTAATGACTGAGCCAGTAATTGAAATGTAAAGGTCTACTAAAAATGAGTGTAATTTCAAGGTCTATTTACAAATGACTAAAATAAAAATGAGTATATATTAAAGGTCTAATTAGAAATAACTGAGCATGTATTGTGATGACCTTACAAAGAAATTATCCAATAATATAAAAAGGTTTCTTTCCTGACAGTCTGTAGAATATCAACTTGTTGCATGAAGAATGATTCAAGGTAACAAGAATGATACAAGGTAACAAGAATGATACAAGGTAATTCAAATGCCTGGGAGGAATATCATAACTGCTTAAACAGAAGAGAAACATGTATAGAGAATTAGAACAATTATCGCCAGTGATTTGTAATGATTCGGTATACAGATTTAAGGAGTTCTCCATCAATTAGCTTCATGGGAGAGAGCACGTTTCACACCTGCTGTCATATCATGCAACCAATACCATACAATTATTAATACAGTCATCCTTTTACTACTTTATCTACTGTAAAACAGGATCATTTCACCAACTTCATTTTTTGGTATACTTAATTTTTTTTTTAAATCAATTAACTTTTATATCCAATAAAATTTGCTGATGGCTCATATCTTTATATTATCTTTATTCCCTAATAGACAAATTTCATATCAATTTAAAATGAAATATCCAGTAATCATGTGATAAGAAGATGTTCAATAATATTTAACAAATAATAATCTGAAAAAGATTGTGTTATGGCCTTGCTTAGTCACCTGATTATAGACAATAACAAGGTAGTCAATTGAACCATAAAACTGTTTTGCTATTTTCTACCCAGTCTACAAACAGCTTCAAGTAAAAATCATGTAAATGAATGAGACATAATTCCCTCAATCTGAGACATTGTTAGTGCTTTACAGAGGACTAAGTATAGTAAAAGCTGTAAAGTGGAACACCTCCATAAGTGGAACACTTCAGAGTCCCAGAACCAATTGACCTAATGTTAAATAAACCTTTGTAAGTGAAACATCTCCATAAGTGGAACACTTTTCCGAATAAATTAATGTTAAAAAGACCTCTGTAAGTGGAACACCTCCATAAGTGGAACACTTTTCAAAACTAATTAATGTTAAATAGACCTCTGTAAGTGGAACACCTCAATAATTGGAACACTTTTCCAAACTAATTAATGTTAATAGACCTCTGTAAGTAAACACCTCAATAATTGGAACACTTTTCCGAACTAATTAATGTTAAATAGACCTCTGTAAGTGGAACACCTCCCAACTGAAACACTTTTTAGAGGTACCAAATATGTTCCACTTACACAGGTTTCATTGTAGTTTACTTTAACATTTCTTTAATTCCAAATGGTAAAAGAGATGTTGGATTTGCTTGCAATTCCATTAAAACATCAGGTTACATCCCTATTTCTACATGAGACAAAAAGTCAGAGATAGTCATTTTAATAACAGCATAGCTGAATTCAATTTTCATCGGCTAATCTAAAGAATTTGAATAATGTTTGTTTGTTAATAATTGTTTTTGAATGTTCATATAACATCCCAATCAGGCTTAATTTATAGTGCCAAAACAAGGTTCTTTATTTATATACAATATCCTTCTTTTTATTGAATTAATGATGATGCCAGCACAGACAGATGGTATAAAAAAAAGAACTGACCCAATAACAAAACCATTTGAAACTGCCACTATACTGACCAGTAATGTCAATTTTATTTGGAATAATAAGACCCCATACATAAGTAGACCTCGATTCAGCACTATATATTAAAAAAATGTAAGACAAGGCATTGACATGCAAAATATCACTACCTGCCATTTGTTACAGACACAAATTGCCGAGCAACATCATAGAATATCAACCGTCAAACACTAACCACTGAACACGGTCTACAAAACATTGGTGGTGACACAAGAATACAATGGTTTTTCTGCCTTAATCACAGGAAACCTGTGGTCAGTTCATGTGGTACCAAAAACACTGGTCCCATGACTACAATCAACCATACATATGATTCAAGATTATTCCAATAAGCTCAAAATATACTACTTTTGGAATAAATAAGCAACTTTGGGGGTTTCAATCCCAAAAGCAACACTAAATAAATTTTTACCATCGAGTTAAATATTAATTTCAGCATAAAATTATCAAATCAACTCCTTTACCACACATGCCAGAATCTGGCACTTGGAATATTCATAAATAGGAATTACATCTCCTAATATAAAACATTAAGCTTCGGGCACTAAGTGGCTTTTTTGATTTATATGTGAAATATGTTGCATTACATGTGTCAGATTGTATTAAGAGTCAAGTGTATAATTGATCAGTGTGTTATATATGTTGCAGATTCTGACACTACAGTAGGCAACAAAAGAAATAATTATAATTTCCGAAAAGTGATTGGATTTTTGTCTGTAATATAGCTTGATTGAAGATTAGATCTTAGCAAATACCAAGAATTCCAATAAATGATTAGTTGTCGTACAGTACCTGTGCTCTTCCAGAATTGTTGTGTCCGTATCCACGTTTCCTACACATGCAGATAATCTTAAAGCTACCTATCTGGTAGCCAAACATGTTCTAAATTCTATGAAGACCTTAAATGTTCAAATTATAAAGAAATGCTATATCCTGTTATACGACATACTAGTTCACTGGTATATTATTTTGTATCCATGGTGACATTTCATTTAAGTAGTTATCAAAGCATATCTAAGTTGGTCATCAGAATTCCTTCTAATGACATTTCATTTTATAGTTTTAGAGTCCTCAGAACAATTCTAAATTCTCCTAATGAACCTGAGCGGTATAGTGTCACAAACCGTATGATGACAAATCTAAATCCAATCTGCTATTTCAAATCTAGCGAAACCATTTTGCGACATGAGTTAAACTTAAGCTTATATCCTATTTAAGTCCAATTATTAAAATAGAGACTTTAAGTCCAAGATTCTGAAGCTGATGCAGGTAGTCAATGGCGGCAAGTCCACGACAACGACTCATCCACGTGATCTATCGCTATATTCAACAATCACAAGTAATATATGCTGGAACTTGACACCCAAGGAATAAAATCACAAACTCTGGTGTTTTGTATCATTAAACAGCCACGAAGAACAATCACAAATCAGAAAAAATATCTGAGAAAAGACATAATTCATTTTGATATATTCAAGCATAGTGCATGTGGAAAATCGAACTATTATTTCAATTAATGTTAAAAAAGGATGCCTAAGGGGATTCTTTGTATCGGAGGTGTTAGGTTGCAATTATTACTGTAACAATCATACCATATTAGTCTGTGTGCAATTTGTAAGTGCTTACTGTATTAACACGACATCTTAATAACATGAACGACAAATAATTCGCAACTGAATTCAATTGGTATAGGAATCATGCACAAGATTCATTGTCTGTTTATATGGTTTTGGGGTTTTCTTATTTTGTTTAAAGCTGACAT